CTGTTTTATAACAATCAAAAACCAGGTATTTTTCGTCGGAGCAGGGGTAAATCAAATTCAAGGAACCCCCAAAAGGAACTAAGATCGAAAACATCCAGTTTCCATTCTTGTTCAGTTTGTGACCGTTCCAACCACAAATCGTCCGAGTGTGCCTACCGCAATTGTTTTTGTCATAAATGCGAAGTAAAAGGACATTTAGCACCCTTGTGTAAGCAGAATAACGTGGGTCAAAATTTTCTAAAAGACAACGCGCTCGAAGGTTTGGACGATAGCGACGATCCGTGCTTCATTATCAGTGATAAACCCTTGCACGGTCCCACGAACATCACCCAGACGTCCGTACAAAATATGTTTCATAAGAAAACAGAAAATGTCCATAGCTGTTCAATAAGTAACGAAAAACCTATTTTAATTAAATTAGAGATAGATAAAATGCAATTTAATTTTGAAGTGGAATACGGTTTCGCCCACGCGGCAATCTCGAAAAAAATGTATAACAAACATTTTCAAAAATATCCGTTAATCAGTAATGATTTGCGTTTAAAAGATTATGTCGGTGTATCTTTTCAACCTTTGGGTTTTGTAAACTTAAAAATAACATATGTCACATGTCAAAATTACAACCTAAAAACATATGTAATTAAGAACGGCGGGCCACCCTTATTAGGTCGCAATGGTCTGAAAATGCTAAATATCGGGTTTTGTAAATCAGTCGATAGCAATACCAGTTTATTATATGTAAATTCGGACGCCAAGTTGCAAAATTTATTTAAAAAATTCGAACCAATATTCAGCAGTACGCTAGGTACATTCAATAAGTTCAAGGTCACGCTAAAATTAAAAGAAAACGCCACACCAAAATTTTTTAAGCCTCGGCCGGTTCCAATAGCATTAAAACCGAAAATTGAGCAAGAACTGGACCGGCTAGTCAACAACAACAGACAGAATTTTCAAAGTGGGCAACACCTATCGTCCCATTATTAAAAAAAAACGGCGGTATAAGGATTTGCGGCGATTTTAAGGTGACCTTGAACCCCCAATTGGAATTTCAACAGTTTCCTCGTCCAAGAATTGAACACTTATTTGGCCAACTAGAGGGGGGAATGAAATTTTTAAAAATCGACCTTTCAGAAGCGTATCACAAATTTTGCTCGACGATCAGTCCAAAGAATTGGTTACCATCTCCACACATAAGGGGTTCTTTTCTTATCAAAGATTGCCTTTCGGCATACACTGCGCGCCCTCCATCTTCCAAATAATCATGGAGCAATTATTTAATAACCGAGAGAAACAATCTTGAGCATTTGGAGCGATTAGAACAAGTCTTTCAAAAATTATCGGAATGTGGCTTCCAATTAAAAAAAGAAAAATGTAGTTTCATGCAAGAATCTTTGACTTACATGGGTCATTTAATTGACAGGTTCGGCTTGCACAAAACCGATGAGAGGGTCGAAGCAGTGGTCAAAACCAAGGTACCTTCCAATATCACTCAGATTTCCTATCTCGGTTAGGGGGAAACACTAAAAATATATTTCACCATGCCAGCAATCCGTTACTATTCGGCTCGGGGAAACAAGATCAAATTTCACATTTAAATTACATCGAAAATTCAAAATTCCCAGTTAATTTCTAAAAGATTAAAGAACAAACCTCAAAAGATGTCGTTTTGAGCAAAATTCTATTTTAAGTTCGAAACGGTTGGCCACAAACTTGCCCCTCCACAGATTTTAAACCTTATTTTCTTAAAAAACATGAAATTTCTATAGAATATGGTTGTTTAATGTGGGGTTACCGTCTAATTGTGCCTCCAGTCTTCTATGACAGTATTTTGGGGGAATTACATTTAACTCATACAGGAATCGTTAAAATGAAAGCCTTGGCGCGTTCATATGTTTGGTGGCCAAAAATCGACGATTCTATCGAGAAAATCGCGCGTTCATGCAAAACATGTGCACTTTAATCGGAAAACTCCGCGAAACCTTCTTTAATTATGTGGGATACTCCTAAAGAACCATGGACTCGTGTTCACGCTGACTTTTTCGGATCATTTTTAAATAAAACATTTTTAGTAATCGAAGAAGTAATCAAAGAATGTTTCATAGTCTCAGACATGTCTTCTGCACAAACCATAAATATCTTCAGAGCTCTATTTGCTCGTTTTGGTATCCCAAAAGAAGTTTCCACCGATAACGGTCAGACTTTTATGTCCGAGGAATTCAAAAATTTTTTGGCAAGTTTGGGGATCATTCACAAAGCGGGTGCTCCATATCATCCGGAAACGAATGGGCTGGCCGAATCAGGCGTCAAAATTGCAAAAAGAGCGTTACGCAAAGGATATGTGGATGGGGTGACCGATTTACAACTTATTTAAGATACTTTTCTTTTTCAATGTCGCAATACACCGCACACTACGACCCAAGAATGTCCAGCAAAAATGCTTTTTGGTCGCTTTTTACGCACTAGATTTGATTTAATTTTACCTTCGAACGAAAATATTGTAAAAGAAAAACTAAACAAAATAGAACTTAAGCGCAAAAAGAAAGGGGAACTGTCATTTTCAATTGGGGAGAAAGTATGGACCCGGGACTACAGTCCAAACACGGATAAAAGCAGGTGGTGTCAAGGGGTAGTTCGAGATATACTTGGCCGAAGAACTTACGTGGTTGAGTTGGTCGGTCGAGTCACATGGAAAAGACATTCAAGTCAGTTAGCAAGGAAAACTCCATGACAGCCCCAAATAAAAAAAACTCCTCGATGACTCCACCTTCCAACATAACAAGAAACAGATCAAGTAATACTGTAACGTCAGTTAGGTCTAGCGATAACGAAACATCGGACTCAGAAAGTGAAGACGTTATCTCACCCAGTGAAAACAACCCCAGCGTCAATGAAGTCCCAAGTGACCACGGTGCGCGTGTGCTTCGTAGACATAGTAAGATTAACCCTCCAGATCGTTTACAAGTCGCCCAGTAAACGTGACACTCATATCTAAATGCAAGTGTACATAAACACCACAACACAGTTTATTATAGCGGGACGGTGTTCTATATGCGAGTTTTTTATATCGCAGTTTAGTTTAGGTTTTTTTTGTAAACCGTGATGCGGTACGTTTTCCTAGGGCTATCTACCGCAGTTACTTGCCGGGCCGCGTATTGTACGGAGTTGTGAGTAAACGGTTGCATTGTCGTGGTCGAGTTTCATTTCACGTTAAATGAATACATAACACGGTTAGTGTCACTTTTTCGCACGATGCGACGTACACACACGTTTGTACTTTTCGTTTTTCGAGGGCACAATCATACCGACTGCGCCAATTATGTTCAAGCGAAGATAAGATGGTTTTTTTAAACTAAATTTTTAAAATGTAATTTGAAAATTACAGTTGCGGCAGCAACAGGTACAACAAGATTGCTTTCGAAAAATTGTCACTGGGCGTTGCAAGGCGCGGTGCAGCTTTGTATTTCAAAAAGAAGCAGCTTCGCGGTTTCTTGTGCTAGAGGGACGCATTTTTTTTCTATTGTACTCCTGTGGACCGCTATGGAACTTTCGCAAAATCTATGTAATTATATTGTGTATACACCCTGTATAAATATAAAAAATTATACAAGTAATAACGATTTACAATGATATTGTTCCAAGTATTTCGCGCACCCTGTATGATAGACGAAACCTAAAACTTTCTCGATACAGTTTATGACACTGTTCAAACCAAATTATCCCAGGATCCCATGTTTTATAGTTTTTCATTTACGGTTAATAGTTTATGCACGAAAATGGCAGATTTTTTTAGCCATAATCGACACACCCTGTTATAGCACTGAATCTTCCACGTTCTAAAATAGTAAATGGTTTTCAAGAAAATAAGATTAGCCTTATTTTTTACGATTTTTGATTTGCGGTTAATAATTTACTCTGGAAAAGAACAATTTTCAAGGTCTTTTAGATTTTTGCCTATAATTAAAAAACCCTGTATATAATGGAAAAAATGTTTGAAATAAATGTTATAGCACTGGATCCTTCGCGACTGCCAGCTAACGAATTTTGCCAATCGGGTGAATCAAAATTTTTTAAAAAATACTTTGCGGTACTTAATTGCGCTCAACTTTAATAGTTTAAATGTGAGTCTGAACTTCTACTTCTCTGACAAATCTGAAGTCGGTAGCTGCAAATTTAGGGCACCTATTACGTTTTTTAATATTGCACGGAATATCGCGAACACCCTGTACAATAGGTGAAAACCTTAGATAACAAGGTAACAAAGAAACTGAGATCTGAAACACAGTCCTTTAGTTATCGCCAAATTTCAATAATAGGGGGACCCATTTTTCAGTTTTTTTGAAAAATTGTCAAGAATAAAGGTTTATGCAGACAAATCTTCTTCGTGTTCTCGTTTAAGAATTTTTTCCGTTCCATAAACAGTTTTCGAGAAATGATCTTTTCCATATCCCTTTGCAAACGCAGTTTTTAATTTTTTTAAATACTTCCCGAACTCCCAAATTTAATAGGTTCCGTTAGGGGACCAAACGCTATTTACCTGCCAAATTTGAAGTCGATAGGGTCAAATTCCGGACACTTATCGTGTTTCATAGCAACGTCCAAAAACGGTCGAAAATCGAAAAAAAAATGGACGCCGAAGCTTTTTACATATCTTATGCACTCCGTGGACGGTTAAAAAGGAGCAAAATTTGAAGCGTGAAGCTCAAACCGTTCGGAAGTTATCGTCCAAAAACACTTGAACAGAGAACGGACAGACAAAAAAAAACGGTTTTTTTTTCGATGCTGATTCCATCTGTACCAACGGCTACGGTGTACGATGCACCGTTATCGAGATCTCTTCTTAGTACTGTTGTAGAAAAATATCTCATATCTCACGGTGCCTCATCGGTGTGGTGACACCGTGCACATTTTAACTTACATCTTGACAAATTAGGTGTACGGGTTTTTAATGTACAGGTTGGTTCAATGTAGAGGGAATGAAACGAAAACTCACACAAATAATTTATTAAGTAAATAAAATATATGGAGTACATTGTACATTTATTAGGTTTTAAAATATATATTTTTTTATTTTTTTGCGTTATTTTTATCTATCACTCCTATGTCTAGTTAAAAATTAGGAGAAAACAAAAAGGACACTTCCAGATGCAGAATTAAAATTCTATTAACCAACAAAGGTAACTTTTCTCATTATTACCTCAGTAATTCTCTACTAAAATGCAGATATATTAAAATGACAACAAATTATTTACAAATATATTGGGTTTCATTATAGCACGAAAAGTTACCTCCAAAGTAAATTCCCTACTGACCTACACCCCACTTAGAAAATAAATAACTTCATCGGTGCCCGAAATAAGTAACAAAATTATGATTAATCAATGCCATTCTCCCCAATTAGTAATACACGACATTTCTTTTTGTTCGCTAAACCTGGAAAACGTTAATAATTGTGCAATCATCAGTAGTACAAGTAAAATGTATAGAAAACCATTTGACTATTATAAATCCACTTTTTTGTCAATATCACAGAGTAGAGATCAACTAGGGAGTTCAGAACGGTAACCAGTTATTTTTCAAAATTGAATTCAATACCACTTCCAGTTCTACACATTGAAATCAACGCGTTTGAAAAGGTTTAAATGGATAAAAATTGCGAATGAACGCAGTTTATAATCTGAACTGCTCTTTTTCATTGTTAACCAGGCCACAAAAGTGGGAAATCTAATCATTGCGAACGGTTTGATAAAGCGATTTGAAATTATCAACGCTTGATATTTCTTCGAATAACTTTTCTTGTAAATATAATAACCAAAACTAACCAAAAAATTTTACACTTAATCTGAATTAAGCCATACAAATTCAAATCACTGTGTTAGACCGTTGTTAGGCCCATACTTTTTGAAGACCTAGATCCATAGTGGTCCATTGAAACCTACTAGTAATGACAAGAGATGGGATGATATAATTGAGCAAAATCTAAAACAAGAAATTTGTTTGGTGGGGAAATATTTAACAGCCTAAACTTCATTTTTCATAAGTGGCGCCACTTTACCACTATGTTAAGAAGAAATCTTACCCTAGGAAGTTTTCATTCTTTAAGTTAAAAATATTTACACCTTTGGGATATAATGCAGGTTGGTAGAATAATCTCTTCCGTTGTCTGAGGGCGACAAATGGAGGGGACTTCAGTCGGATGAAAAATATGGGCGATGGCAACTCCACGAGTGGCAGGATAAAGTGAAGACTAATATTTATATCGCAAGTTTTCCTTACTTCGCATTTACACATTACATCACAGCTAGAGACGTCGCACATTGGGACAAAAAGGCTGTTATGCAGAACATATTATATAGCTTACAGAATATATTAAATTACTTTTGTATAACACGATGTCTTGAGGTGAGAGATATATAGAGATATATATAGGGTGATTCACTGTGAATAATTTGAGACATTTGTGAAAACAGAGGATGTAGGATTGTTTGCTTAGGTTTTTAGATTTGCCAGTTTCATCGAAAAATGTTTATATATTTTATATATTGAAAAATCTTGGCAGGTGAATTTATATTAATCCATTAGATTTATTTCGCTTTCTCTAGACCAGTTTTCTGATTTAACTTTAGGGGTTTGATATTCGGACAATTAATTACTTTTATGAATCGATTATTATTATTTTCAAAGGAATGATGATTTTATTGATAATATATGCCTGATATCTTCTTCACAATGGATATTTTTTCCGCTTTTGTCCCAATGCGCGCATTTTTGAAAATGTATCATTCCAAATAATTGCAATTCTCAATAACTCTCACAAATGTTTTTTATCCCTATCGAATATACCAAATATAATTCTTATTTTTTATTTGTATTTGCATGCATGGCTGCTTTAATTTAACTAATACAATTATTTTAAAATGTGTATGATTTGTTGCTGATATAAGATGGTTTAAAAGAGACTGAGATTATTTGTTCCATTCATTCACCATTCATTTTATTTTAGATTTTTGTCACAAGTTTTCTCTGTAATCACTTTTTGTTCACTCAATGTAAATTCCATTTTTAGAACATAACGGAAATTTCGGGACGCCATATGTACATGTTTTCCACCAATAAGTCATGACAAAAAAAATCACTTGAGCATGGATGTTACATCGAAAGCATGGGGAAAATTTTATAATTCGTTGATATTTTCCTACCACTTTTGTCTTTGCTAATGCCCTTCTTTTTAATTTAAAAAATTTAAGTTTCTAGAAAATTAATTATTTCCGGTTTGACTATATTGTTGTCGTTAAAAGTATGTTTTAAAGAATTTTTGTGTATATGTTTATGGATCCTATTTTTGTTAATTTTATATTTGTTGCATTTGTTTTCACATTGTAAATTTGTGGCAAAGACAATGTTCTTGAATTTTCATGATTTTGAACATAGATTATAATTATTAACCAATACGAAAAAACTGCACTTAATAATGAATTAATAAAACGAGTTATTTAGTACTAACTATATATACTCAGAATTAGTCAACAGTAAAATTCTAGATAAAAAAAAATCCAAAAACTGTTTTACAAATACTACAAAAATGACTACCTACTTTTTTCCCATAAAAAAATCGGATCCCATAAATTCCCATTATGAAATAGGGAATCAACCTAATTTTGAAATTACTGATTTTCGTCGCAGGGTGCTCTTTCGTAATCAATACCTTTAAATCATACCCAAAAATTCGATAAATCACAAGCCGAAAAGAATCGAAATATCGAATAATTCTTTTCTCATAGTCAAATAGCAGAAGCTTAAATTTTCGCGTTTACTTATTAAAGTACGAATTCGTCACTTTTTAGGTACAGATATTGTTGAATCCAATAGCTATAATTTCAAATCGAAACGGAAGTGACCAAAAAGCTACAGCATTAACAAAATTTAAATACATATTGCACGGTAATGCAGCTTTAATTTCTTCATGAAGCTTCAAATTGGTGTGTCGGTGGTTGTACAAAGGATTGAACAATTCTGTCCTTACTTAAAAATAATAAAATACGATGTTATCCTAAATCATGTTGTACCATATTAAAATTCAAATTAAATATAATTATTGTACATTAACTAAATAAGGTACTTTAACTATTAAAGAATAAACAGCTAGCGCTACTAAGGAAATTACTAAAATATAACAGATACAAGAGTATGGCCGTTTTGACTCGACAAATTATATACAATTACAGTTCGTCGTTCAATTTTTATTTGACTGAACTTTCTATTTTAAATGGTAAAACTGTGGAACATGGAGCATATTATTATGACAAAATGAACCAACCAAGAATACATTTGAATGCGGATAATAGATATATTATCGAGACAGATAGCATTCCTTTCATTAAGTGACATTACCCATAAAATAACAAATAAATCTTTTTTTAACAGTAACGATATGGTTTGCAGGAAATGTCTTATTAGGTGACAACGTTATAACGAACGCCAATGTATGGGAACTTTTTAACCTCAAAAAGTGACTTTTTGAAAGTAAAAAGGTGTTTTTGGATATTTCTATTCCAAAGACTTGAACAAACTTGGCAGTTTGAATTGCGGAATGTCTTTTACTCGTATGTAAACAAATAGAAGACGTGTTTCATAGGCGAGCGTATTTTTTCTTGTTTTGTGTATTGGTGCTCAACGCTCAAATTAATCAGATGTGGTTTGCATTACTTCTAATTATGAAATTTTTTGTAATGTTACATTATAATCTCTAATCTCACACAGGGTATTATTAATTGCCCTCTTTTCGGAATTATTCTCTTCGACGTTACATAGTTACCATAGCAACACTCCTTGCCTTTTGCCTTTTCCAACAATTGGATCATGTCATAGCGAACACAGACAAAATGCAGTGTCATTCGTTAAATAAAATCGTATGCAACTTAATCTTGATCTTATTTTCTTCAGAAAATTAATTTGGGATCATTCAAGATCTCAAATACAGGTGCAACGTTTGTTCGCGTTATGTTAAACGATGATATGTTAAACAAATGATAACTTTTGGTGTACAAAGAGCTCGTCACCTCTATTTACACTTACACCCATCTGTTATAAGCCAAAGATAATTTTTAGGTGAGCTTTTTGTACCAATTTCTCCCAAATTCTTCAATTTTGTAGGTATAAAGCAAAGTTTTAAATGAATGTTTTTTTTTACTTTTTACTATAAACATAACCTATAAATTTCGATGGACAACTTTACAATTGTTATATTTCAAGAACCCCGTAGGAATAATACCAATTAAAATACGACGACCGAGTAAAATGGAACGTAAAAGTCTAGGGTTAAACAGAGAACGACAATCGTTTTGTTCCTGTTTAACCAAAACACATTAACGTTTAAATGGCAATCGGCAAGATTTTATATATGCTTAATGTTCTATTCCTTGAAAACATTTGTCCATTTTTTAAATTTATAAGAATCTAAAAGAATTAATAAAACAGGAGGTAATGATCCTGTCTGGTGTAAAATAGGCTTTCTCAATTGAAAGATAAGGTGTAATCCTATAATAAACGGTCCACAATGTACATTTTTTTGCCACCAAATAAATTGAAAACTGATGTCGTAGTTTAAGTTTTATTTTTTTTACTCCTTATCAAATATTATTAAAAATTCAAACTACAAAAAACTGTCAAATTTCAAACCTCCATTTGACATTTTAAAACAAAATTCAACGTAATCAAAATCTTCACAGCTGATCAAACCAGGTTTTTGGAAAAAATAGAACATCGGTATTAGAATCATGGAACTGATCCCCTTCCTGAAATAATGTTTGTAGGATCAAAAGTTAGACCAATTCAGGCATAAGGAAACGGTAAACATAATTTGAATTCCTCAATTAATCCAATTAATTTACTTGGAGATTTAGTGTATGATTTCTTACTATCTTCTTAATATTTTCTAATTTATTTATGGCTATTTTTGCAAAAGCTTGTGTTCAACATGAATCGATAATACATTAAAAAAATGGCAGCGACTTGAATCGAACAAGTTTTGTTGTGATTTCCTTCACCCTAATAGTAAAGTTTTTTCGGATATTATATTAGACGTTGAAAGTTGTCCGACTATCTATAGCAATTAGATTTGTCTTCTTTGGTTTGATACCTTGGAATTAGACGGATAAAGCTAAATTAATAGCAAAAAATTGTAATATTAATTTAATGGGACGTCTGATTTTGTTTCACTCTTAATAGCCCACAAACTAATTTAATATGTATATGCATATATTATTAGTTTTATAATAATTTCCGCAATGGCACTAGTAAATCCTCATTTAAATGAAATAAAACGAAAAAATAACAAACATTTTTCTACAAAAAAAAAAAATAGAAAATTGAGAAAGTCGTCTAAGCTGGAATTTATTCAATAAAAATTCAGAATTTGACTTTCGAAATCATAATGTTCATAGAAACAAAATGATCTCCAGACATCGATTTCTTATCAAATGGAAATTTGAAAAAGTCGTTAAGTTTAAAATTGCACTACAGTTTAAATTTATTCTGAAATGATAACGTAAAACCCAAACAAATTAGTTATATCAAAATGATCTGCAAATATTATTGATCCCTTATTAAATGGTATGCTATCGAAGTTTCTAAATATAAATTCTGGTTTTTATTTGCTGTACCTAATTACGAGTGGAATTAGACTTGCCTCTTTGTCTAACATTTTGACGGTACCATAATATGCCCTTTTACCTCTTGCGCGAACAGACCCGTATTAGGGACTTTTTGCACCATTTACGAAATTTCACCCTTATGTTGCTTTATTGGTTCTTAACCTATTGTAGCTTAACTTTTCTGAAGAAATATTGTTCCTTCTACTTTTAATTTAGAAGTAATGTTATGGGTCTAAAATAATCCTGAATTATATCCTACGGGTTAGGATTTAATAAAGGATTTAGGCCTTCGGGGCGGGGGGGGGGGGGGGTGACCTTTTCCTTGGTGTGAAGTAATAAGAATGACGTAGAAAGAATAGAATAAACAAGAAACTAGTCAAATAAAAATATTGAAACAGTAACAATTTATCTGTACTTCATGCCTTTTACGCGGTCTGCCTAAGCAATATTTTTTGAGTTTTTTTTATATTCTTTAACCTTTTCGTTTAACTCATCTATTGTGGCGAGATGTTTTCATTTCTAATTTGGTCTCGTGTTGTACAGCCTTTAACGCTTCATAAAAATTTCATTTCTTTAGCCTGGATTCTGCTTTCTCCTCGCTTTGTCGTCGTCCATATCTCACTTCAGTATGTGAGAGTTGGCGACAGTTACAGTAACATTTTAGTGGTGTTTCTTTCTGGTTTTGTTTTTTACAATTTCTTTACGGTTCAAGTACAATAAAATAAAAGCAATGCTTATGTTTTAAATTTTAGTAACGGGCTTTATTTCGGCGTAGGTGGCATCGGACTTAATCTGTTAACGAGGGAAAACGTTATTTCTCGTCAAGTGTGCACGGTATAAAGTACAATAACGCCAAAATAAGAGGTGCAGAAGTCCCCGTTTTATTCGATTCTCTTTTTGAGTGATAACGTTAACTTTATCAATAGATTTAGCAACTATGCATTTTTTTGCTGAAAAATTCAATATTTATTTATTATTGACATACAGAATGGCGCAAAATGTATTTTAGTAAAATTAACCACAAAAAATAATTTTGTACGTATTTGGGCGAAATTGATATCGTTTATTGTTATCCTCAAATAACTTCATCCAAAATCCTTAGACATTTTTGAAGTTAAATAAAATATGTCGAAAATTAAATTCACACTCTAACGACCTGTAACTTTTTACTTGTTTACTTGTTTGACTTGTCGTTGTTACACCGTCCGAACAATGTATTGTATTATTTTTCTTTGGCTATCGATATAAAAAAAAAGTTTTGTGAAAATCGGACCATTTGCACAGTTGATGGGTCCATTTGTTCGGAACATTAAGGACTACTAATTTTTTTTTAGAAATCGTCCGAAAGCCATGGTGCATATGAAAAGTGAGGGGTCCCAATAAAAAAAAAACAAAATCAGACAAAAATTGTAGAGATGCAAATGCTGCAATTTAGCAAATAAATAAAACCGTAATGCAATTTTCTGTGATACCAGAGCTACAGTGTTTTTTAATAGTTTTATTAATTTAAAAAATCAAATAAAAGTATACCGTAACAAATTTGGTCCAATATGGCATATTGCCATAAAATATGATAAACTATATTTAAAAAATGTTTTAATGTTGAAAAATTTCAAAATCGATGGCAATATTGGAATCTCCAACAGCAATTTCTTGGATTCTTCTTAAAATTCTTTTAAATCTTATTTCAAATGTTTTCGAGATATTGACGGTTGAAAATTGGTCTTTTTCTAACTTTAACGGGCTATACAATCAAAACGAATCTTAGTTTTTCATAAGCTCCCAAATGATGGTATGTCAATATTTGACACCGGTTAAAATTGACAACTAGTGTCAAATTTTTAATTGGCGTCATTAGATATGCGCTTCTCGCTGAAAACATGCAAGATCTACAAAATATGTTGAATAATCTCATCACAGTTAGTCGAGAATATGGTCTGGCATTCAACATTAAAAAGACCAAGTATATGATTGTTACCAAAAGTGAGGCGCTTAATGAACAGTTGTAAATGGAAGGTGAAATGCTGGAAAGTGTCAAAAATAAGGATTCGTATTGAGAAGTCCCATGTATCCTTTATGAAGACCAAAAAACTGCTCTGTAGCCGCGATCTGAGCTTGTTATATTTTCGCAGTCTTTTTATATAGTGTAGAAGCTTGGATTCTCAACGAGAAGAATGGAGAAAGATGTAGAAATCCTGCAGGAAGTGAAAAAGAGAAATCTCCAATATCTTATTATATCCCGCAACCCGCAAAATTAAAAAAAAAATCTGTTGGAAGAATATCTTGGCTCAGAAATCTGAGAAAATGGTTTTGAAGCCATAGCTTCTAAAGTTCGCAGTAAACCGTTGACAACGCAGAAAAATTAACAATTCGACAGCTGGTGGTATAGCACAAATACACAAATTCATTGTTGAACAATATTTCAAAAATAATGAAAGTTTGGTAGTCACATTTCGAAAATTGTGTACAAAATATGGTCGGAATAGTGATTTAACTTCGTTAACTGTGAGTAATTGGAAAATTCAGGCAAACTGGACCAACTGATGATGCTAAACATATTAGTCGTTAAAAACAATCCGTTCATCAAATGTCAATATGGAACGAGTGCGTGAGAGTGTTGGTGATTATTGAATATCGACAAGCACATTTTTACCATGATTGCTTTGCAAACTGTCAAAATTGCCGCGTTTGGCGTTCAGAGAACATAAATGTGATTATCGAAAAACAAATGTATCGTCAAAATAAATAAGAACTAAAAGTTCAGATTTTCACGAAATTATATATTTTCACATGACAATTATTTCGACAACACCGTGTGACATTTGACGAAGACACGGTGTTGTCAAAACAAATGTCATGTAAAAATATATAATTTCGTGAAACTCTTGAACTTTTAGTTCTTATTTTCATCAAGTAAAAGCCTCCTCAGTTCAAATGCATCGTCAATATATCACTGTTTGGTGAATGGTGGCTGATATGGATGTGATTTCTACAAGACGGTGCTACATGCCATAACATTTCTTAGTTAAGTACTTTCTCGCTTAGGTGATAAGATTTGCCCCCTAGATCAAGTGATTTGACATCATTGAATTTCTTTTTATTGTACTGCAACCACGTGTAGATTGAAGGGGGGAAATTCAACCCTATTTATAATTTTCGATTCAATAAAAAAACAATTTAAAGAAAAAAAACTGTTTTTTATTTAATTCAAATTTTGCCCTACTTTTGAGGCAGTCTTTATAAAAAGGAAATGAAGCTTATTCCCGTTCATTGATTATCAACTTGTTCTGTGATACTTTGTGGCTATATTATTTTTTATAACCATTTAATCGGTCAATATAAATTATATTCTTAACAAAAGGAATTTTTCTCGTAGGCAACCAAAAATTTTCCATTTTTATGTAAACTACTATTATTTGTATAAAAACATATTTACTGATCTGTTTCTTCATTATTATTTAAAAGTCATTATTTAAAAGCTCATTATTTAAAAGTTATAGATTGTTCCCACTTTCTCGTATCTAGTATGCAACAAATATCATTTCTAAGTCACAACAAACCAATACTAATTTTTCATGTGGAATCGGAGATATGAAACTGTTTTTGCCTTTACTACGTACACAATGATTCTTTGTTGGTTCATTCTGCAAGTTAAACAAGAACCTGTGCAAGAGGTCACAAACTAGAAGCTAGTGGATTTTGAGATTTCTACAAACAATGACTGACAATTTAAAAATGTAAACGCCGTTGCTGTCATCGTCTTTTTCACTTCTTCACTCGGATGTGACACTCCTGAAAACTGTGTAACACTTATGAAATAAGGTATATACGGAAAGAATGTTCGGTAAAATGTCATACACGCATTAAAAATAACTTGATTTCTTCTTCATCTTTATTCTTTTATCCAAAAGCGTATTGTGCAGTATATGATACCGTGTGGCATGCGATAGATTAAACAGGGCGTTATTTTACATATAATCTAATTACTGAATCGATTGAATTGATATTTTGTTCGGTCCAAATCGGATAAAAAAAGTTGTAAAAAGTTTAATGGTTCTTTTAACCTATCATTAATATCTTAGGTGAAATGAAATATACGCAGACGGACCTCGAATGTCAGTTCCACTAATAACATTTTTTGGCATCTGTTGAAGAAAGAGAATAAATTATTCACCATAAAGGAAACCGTGAACGGTTTGCATGAATCCGTCATTAAAGAGGTCGGACGTTTCTCACCCTGTAGTCATAATACACAACACCATACACAATCTAATAGTGGTAGTTAATTCAATAATAAGGAAACCATCAGATATAATTAGGTAGATCTCGGAACAAGCATGACTTTGGTTAGTTGGTTCCATTATCACCAGTTATCGCGAATATATTTATGGAAGCTTTTGAGAAGAAAGCTCTGGATACGTTTCACCCAAATTATGGAAAAGCTATGTTTATGATATTTTTGTTATTTGGCGTCATGGTCAAGAATCCGACCCACATTTATTTTTACCATTGAATTAGAAACTAATAATAATCTTCGATTCTTAGATATTCTTGTTAATTGAAAATCAGACCTAACGTTGGGTCATTCCGTTTACAGAAATATGTGGCAAGGAATATAATGCATAAACTGGCAAAAAATATCAATAAGGCTAAAAGAACATGAAAGAGCCTTAAAAGTAAGACAAATAGGGTCATCACCATTTTCCGAACACAATCATGAAACCAGACATACCATACTAAAATTCTTGCATGTAATCAATTCCTCTACCCAAGAAAAATCTGAGAATCCATAGAAAGCTGTAAACGGTTTTAACCGCAACTCAGGTTTTTATGTTTCACCATCAGTCATCAGAGATAGTGTTAATGTCTCTCGTTTAGCTTCGCCCCCTGAAGACGTATATAAGCAGAATGCAAACCATCTCAAGGCCAGAAAAGTCAACGTAATCCCGAACAACGACCGATCGATCAGTCTACTTTCCTCAGTGGAGAAGTAGTTCAGAGAATCATCCTCAACAGACTGCAAAATCTTCCGCAGGTAGCAGCCATGATCCCATAAGAGCAGCTAGGCTTCCGAGTAGAAAAATCCACAACGCATCAAGCAGTCCGACTAACAAAATATACGCACACACAGGAGCACCTCAACTACGCAACTCTCTGGGCAAACGCCTGGACGATACAGATCAACGGCGACAAAACTCAGACCAACCTCTTCGGCAAGAAGAAAAAGACCCCAGGTTGAACATCACCATCAACGGATCTAGGTCCAGATGGGTAAACGGCATCAAATATATGGGGATCCAGTTCGGCATGTGAATGAATGGACTGGAAAGACCACAGAAAGACTACAAGTTCGAAGGCTACAGGGTTAGAGCTAAATTGAGATCACTACTACACAGGTGCAGCCAACTGGGTCAACAGACTGGCGGACCCGGCCTGGTGCCAGACCGCCAAGAGAGTCGTGGCAGATCTGGAGGTCTTATAGACTCTGCGGTAGATCGTGGATGCACCATGGTACATGAGAAACGACCAGTTCAGATGCGACCTGGACATCAAGCCAGTTGAAAAATACTTAGCAAACGCAAGCAAGGAATTTCTGGAAAAAGACGCAACATCCTGATCGACCCCATCAGGGTCTGCTTCAATTATCAAGTGAACGACCCACAAAGGACATACCACTGCTAGAGGGACCTGTAAAAGACTGAGGCTAACGGCTGCGTTAGGGGTGGACATGCACAATCGTAGCTGCAAACACCAGTCAGCAGTTACTGCACCAGCCACAAAAACCAGAACCACAGAGCCGTTCCTGCGCCTATAATACTTAGTACGTACGTAGACTTAAGAATTAGATTATGAAAGTGAAGGACTATATACCATAATAAAGTACTAGTGGTAGTAGAATGCAAACCAGTTTAAGGTAAACTCCGAAGAAGCCAACGTAATCCGTAATAGTATTACAGTAGCCTGTAGAAGTTTCTGTGAAAAGTTAATTTTTGGTTAGTCTCTTACGACAGTCTACTACTACTTTGATTGACATTTCAGGTAAAAATAATTAGGACAAAACTGTGTAGAATATGTACGCTTTGTAGTACTAGCTAAGTCTTTGTAGCGTTAGTAGACAAAATACGAAGAAAGTTTTTTTTTCATATTCGGATGCCGTCGAAATCTTAATAAAGTCCAGCCGCAGCAATTGTGCAGTTACGTCATAGCACGATACAGTTCATTACTGGATGTCGTAAATTGACCTAGGAATTTTGTTTCCCAGTTTTGAAATCGTTATTTATGGTTATGCTAGCAATATAGCTAAGACATTTTTCATTATGCCACTATACGTCACTGCTCTGACTGGAGTATAACACTAATATTAAAAAAAATATATATTTGGACAGTTAGTAGACAAAATAAAACAATTATATGGCTTATATCGCTATCATTGCTCCATCCCAGAGAAAGACTCAGCAGCATGACAAACATTTTGTAGTAACATTATTAATAGCATTTTCTCCATTTATCACTCGAACTGGAGATTCATTGATTAAATTGTATGACGTCATTCAATAACATCCTGTATATCAGATATACTTGGAATGCTATAACGCATTTGAAAGCATATGTAGTATTACAGCTTAGGTGGTTACGTAGTTAATTACACTTTCGGTACATCACCTCGGTTTTAAATTTAATTTACGCCAGTGTTGAGTCATTCGACTCCTGGAAAACCCTTTGTATATTATGTTCGGACATAAACATTGCAACGAAACAAAAAATGGAACAAATGCACAATATTATACAAAAACAGGAGATTATGTTATCAATATTATTACATATTTCTTTTTCAAGTTGGCAAAACAAAACAAAATTCTATAATTTGACGTTTAGTTGCTTGATATTTTTTGGGTGTCAAAAGCATTGCAACAAAAATAGTTTGTTGCATTTTGCACATTGGTGTGATGGATTCAGGACGAAAATTTAGTTTGCAACTTACTGTTTTGTTAACGCCGTTTCGAAAAGAAAATGGGGAAAGGAGTTGCTGAGCTGAAGAAATAATTTAAATATTAAAGTTTTCTAGTTTTTAAAATTCAAACGGTATATCAAATGAAATGTAAATTACTCAACAAAAAAAACAAAAAGTATTTTTTTTAACTAGTGGAAACCTAAATACTGATTTTAAAGTATATTGCCCTTGAAACAATGTTAACAAAAAACGACGGCTAACGACGAATAAAAAGTTTATGACGTTTTACGGATTGTACTCAAGCACGATTTGTAATATTGTTTTTGTGTTGCTTCCATTATTATCATGTAAAGCACACAAACACAAATACATATTGCCAAAGATAAACGTAAATAATATAATTCTCGGCCTAAAACCTGAGAATAAAACTATAACCGAAAAGCACCGGTATGACGTCACGATCATTCTAGCACGTTTAGTGTTGTTTAAAAGGAATAACCGTGTGTCACAATTTTAATTATTTATTGAAACTTAAATATTGGGTTTTGAGTGTTGATATTTGGTATGCGTTATTATTATACATAAACCGATGTATTAAAGTTTGTAAAATTGTTAATAGATGCTTAGATAACTTGGAAATAAAAAAAGGCGCCACTATTCTGAGTGTAGCTTGTGTAGACGCACGTTTCTTCCTTAGTTAATGTAAATGGTATTCTTGTTTCTTTATAGTGTTTAAAATATTGTCGATTTTTTGTCTATTTAATAAGTCGACCATAACAAAAAATGTTGCAATACTTTCGTCAGTGCAGTTTTTTAACAAATTATCCTTCAACTTCTTTACTGACGTGATGCCTTGAATTCTGCTGTACGAAGCGATTACATGAATTTTTCAATTATTTAAAATCCTGGGATTTTTTTGATTTGTTGCAATACTTATGTCCAATAGATTATATTCTTTTTTATTCAAAGTTTTTATTATCCCCGTCTTTTTTTACTGACTTGGCAAACAGAAGATTTCAATTTTTTTTTATAACTTAGCCAAAAATTTCTTATACTTATAACAATCATCTAAAGGTCATCAAATTCTATCAGAAATTAAGGTGAAAATAGATTTGCCCGCTTTTACCTGCTAGATGCAAAATTTGACAATAAGATCCGAGAGAATATTTTTTTTTAAATCTTCTCACAAATTTAAAGCATGTAAACCAATTTCAAATAGTCCAAAGATTTTTGTTTTTGTTTTGTTTTTTTGATAGATATTAACTTAAACATGAAAACGTAGTTATACATATACACCCCAGGATCTTGGTTTACGTACTTACAAAATCCAACTCGTGCAAGAATTGAAGCCAAACGAACATCAAGTAAGGCGTAGACTCATCGAATGGGCCCAAAACGAGATTGCCGTTGTTCCCGATTTTCATAAGCGAATTTTGTTTAGCGATGAAGCGCACTTCTGGTTGAATGGCTACGTCAACAAACAAAACTGCCGCATTTGGAGCGAAGCTAATCCTCAAGTGTATGTCGAAACACCGTTACATCCAGAAAAACTGACTGTTTGGTGCGCTTTATGGGCTGGTGGAATCATTGGTCCGTACTTCTTCAAAAACGATAATAGCCAGAACGTTACAGTCAATGGTGATCGGTATAGAGCTATGATTACTAACTCTTTCATTCCTGATTTGAATAACTATGATGTTCAGGAGATGTGGTTTCAACAAGACGGCGCAACATGTCACACAGCTCGTACCACAATCGATTTATTGAAAGACACGTTTGGTGACCGTCTAATTTCACTTTTTGGACCTGTGAATTGGATTCCAAGATCTTGCGATTTAACACCGCTAGACTACTTTATGTGGGGCTATGTAAAGTCATTGGTCTATGCGGATAAGCCACAAACGCTTGACCATTTGGAAGACAACATTCGCCGTGTTATTGCCGATATACGGCCACAAATGTTGGAAAAAGTCATCGAAAATTGGACGTCCAGATTGGACTACATCCGCGCCAGCCGTGGCGCTCATATGCCAGAAATCATATTCAAAATGTAATGCCACATGCCATCTTTCGGATAAATAAAATTCATGCCAATCGAATAATCCGCCGTTGTTTTAGTGCAACTTAAAGTTCTATACATCGAAAAAAAAACACCCCTTAGTTTTATTGTGAATGATGTGGCGTATGTGTGCATTATCAAAAGAAAAAGGGGAAAAAAACATAATCAAATAAGTACCAAAAAGGTAATCTAAATCTAAAAATAAACTAAAGAGTGATAAAGTTCTGTTCAAACACCAACATACATGTTTGCGCGTTGATGATGGCGTGTTGAAACACAAAACTTGTGAAATTCCTACGTGTATCAAATTTTGCCAACACTCTAGCGGATCTCAAAGCACAAGGATGAGTAACTTTCTTGTGTGACACATATACACGCCAATCGGTGGCCGTTTTATGATTGCGAGACTTCCCGTTATGCTTTTTTGATGTAGAAGTGGATTACTGTTTTTGTCCAAAAGTTATATAAAACGATTCTACAAAAACATTTAGCATTCGCATTCGCGACGTCACTAGCAACTATACGAAATTGTGTAAAAAGTACGTAAGGCAGTAATAATAAGAAAGATACAGCTTATGAGTCCCTGAATAAATAACCATTACTTCTGGCGCTTCAATAATAACAAAAAAGTAGAAAATATGAATGATCTTGGAGTTCTGAGCCAAACGATTATATTGCCTAGTTTCCAAAGTAATGAAAATAATCTAATTTAAAATTTTCAAACTTAAACGCCCCCCATCTCTTATTAATATCAACTTTTATGCACAACCAAATCAAATTATTTTGATACTGTTAACCTATCTCCCAATGAATTTAAATCGGTGACTTCGGCTTGAATACAACTATTCAAATGAGTTTCTTAATGCGAGAGTTATAAATAACTATTGAACTGTAAAAATTTGGTCTTAGTACCTACGACGATTGTCAAGGCTCCCGAGAATGACAGGTGGAGGGGCATGTACGAGACCTACCTGCTATGTTGGTGTTGAAAAATTAGAATTGTAAGTTACTTTAAGGCAGTCGTTGGCCAAGTTCATTCTTGAAAATGGCGTTTTTCAATTTGTGTTCAAAGATATTCGCCACCAAAACTCAACGTTTCGGAGTTGCAAAACACGTTGAAATGTGCTTGAATATGACTGGAGTTGGACACTCAACTGGTGCGCGAGGATAAAGGCGACCCCATCAGATCACTAAAGAAATCCAAGAACAAAAGAAACTTTTACAAATGAGACTGAAAGACAGCCACCAAAATAACTTTTTACTTTGTTTGTTTGTTTTTACTGTTACTTTAACTTTAACTAAGAATATTTTGTGAGAGTATTCTTATAGACGGATCCCTACCTACGTCATCTATGGAATGCAAACCTTAAATGTTATTAACACCTCTTCTCTATGAGAATCCCTAAACAAATCTGTCACCCCTAACAACTCTAAAATTCCTAGATTGCAAGCATTCCCAAAGATTCACAAACCTCAATTGCCCCTATTGTTAGCACCTGGCAAAATATCTAGCTTCCATACTACAGGGAAAACTTTTAGTTTAATATTTAATTCCCTTCACTTCATCGAAAAAATTAAAAACCATTACATTAGATCCCTTTCTACTAAAATCCCTATTCTTAAAACTCTCAAAATTATTTCAGATATATTAAAATATATTTTACTTATAACTCTCAAATTTATGAACAAATATCAAGAACAGCTATCATGGTAAATTTATTTATGGAAACGCTTAGGCAAAAAGTCCTCGAAACTTTCCATATAAAACATCCCTACAAGATTTTCTTCACATACAACACAATAAACGAATGAAACTGGACATCAAATCTTATTTAAGTAAAATAAAATTTTTGAATTCTACCACAGAATAATTCCAAAATCCATAGAAATGTCTAAACAATCCTAATTGCGATTCAGATCAATCTGTCATTCGAGACAATGTTCATGCCCCCTCAACAGTATATAAGCAGACACAAAGTCGAATGGCAGACAGTTTTAATTAAGCTCTGAAGGACCCAACAGGGTGACTGGCGAAATGTGAGGAAGTTCGATTTATCAACAACCGACGCAAAAAGAATCAAGAAGCTTTGTGTAAATAGGATTTCCGTATTATTCTTATCTCCATGTATTTATTAATATTATTTGATATTAGAATAATTGAATGAGTGATTGGAAAAAGGGTAACATTCCAAAAATATGGCGAATTAAAGTGAGATAGCTAATATATTAAACTTTGTATTTTCTTTCTGCTGCGCGCAAAAACGATAAAATCGCCGGCTCCCTTCATGTTATCGGTCTTCGGCGTAATATGATTTACGCGCCCTGTTGACAACCGTTAGCGTCTTGAGCCGATCATTTCACATAATTTTGCATCTTCCTTGAGACAACAGGTGTTTTAATAGTTACAAATGTCAGATTCATCGGATTCAGAGGGAGAACGTGAAGGGAAAAGGCGACAGTTGAACAAAAAATGTCACATAAAAGAAAGGGAAAACAACGAGGAGTACAGTTTGTTACACATAAAGGTAAACTAGTTAATGTAAGATAACCAGGCCGGATTGCACGTGCCTTAAAAAATGTATGGCAGATTTAACTATTGAAGAAAAACGTTCAGTAATTGAAATTGTTTATAATAAAGATATATATCTTATGGGACAAATACAAAGATACGATGTTGCCAGACATCGTCCTGCAACAGCAGAGTCCAGACAAAATCCTTCTTCTTTCATATATTTTGCTATGAAAGGTACGTGCAGGGTTGAAGTTTGCCGCAGTACATGAGTTTGCATGGTCTCTCGAATAAAGTCGTACAATGTTTAACCAAGTTCCGTGAAACTGAAACTTCACCATTTGACATGAGATCAAGGCATGCAGATAAACTCGATGGCGCAATTGTTGCCAAAATTGATGACCATATCAAATCATTTCCAAAAAAATAGTCTCATTATTCTTATGAGTTAAATACTTAGATGCAAGTTTGAACATCACTAAGATGTATGAGCTCTTCACTAATGAAAATCCTGATTTGAGAACTCACGTCAAGTATGAATATTATTTGAGACATTTTCAGGAAAAATATGGATACCGGTTTGGTACACTTCAAGTCGACGTTTGCTGGACTTGTGAAGACTTGAATGCAAAAATATAGTCGACTACTCTTAATGAAACAGCAAAGAGATGCGCAGTTGCAGAGCTTATGATTTATAAAAGACGAGCATCCAAATTTTACAAGAAACTTCAAAAAATCAAGGAGACCTGTAAAGAGAGGAATGACGTTGGAGCCATAGTGTTTGATTATATGCAAAATCTTCCCCTTCCATTAATGCCAGTTCAGGAAATGTTCTATCTGCGAAAACTATGTATCGGTCTTCTATACTCATACAGAGGGAGATGCTTAGCGAGGCCCTACTGAAGTCAGTACGTCCATTTTGGACTTTATCACCCAACATATTCCTGAAGAAGTCAGAACCCTTCATGTTTTTAGTGATGCGTGCGCTGGGCAAACCCGCAACCATACTCCAACCAGGTTGTTTACTGTTCCTATCAACTATAAGAAGCTGGAAGATATTTCCAAAATAGCTCATTACATACCCAAAGACCTTCTATAATGAAATTCTGGCCAATCCCACTACAAATAGAGAAACCACTGACCCAGAAGACTGAGAAGCATATAAATATTTCTTACAATGTTGGTTACTTAAATAAATCAGAGTTCTTCATTAACCCCCATTTGTTTTTTTTTTAACTAACTTTTTGCAATTTGAGTGGAAAAAAGATAAAATTTTTGTCCATTCAAATTCCAATATTTGATTGCCAAATGGGTGTAAATCGTTCAAACTTTGGCATCAAATGTACTCTGTCAATGTGTACAATTGGTCAATGATAACCATCTTTGTGAAATTAACGGTTTCGCAGATATAAACTGTTTTTTTCGATTTCCCAGAAACAGGCTTCACTGGAATGTTATCCTTCTTCCAATCACCCATTCAATTAGTACCTTAATTATCACATCTCTATAATTATTATGACATCTATTATTCTAATAAATTTTCTGTAATTCGTCTTTCTAATTTAAAAATGATGCGAGGTGCGTTGGTCTGAAGTAAGGAATTCGTACAACACTGTCACTGCAAACTTAAGTTGTCCACCCTGTCATTGTAAATTTACATTTTATTACTCTTTCGCATTAAGAAACTAGGTATAAGTGATAGTGCTTTGTTGTGAAGGCTATCAAAATTTGTATTGTATAAATGTAAATGACGATAATATTGTATATTTTCAAGAATCCCCGGATATCGTGATTAACAATTAATATATTAATAATTGCACTAAAGCACATAACGTAGGCAGTCATTTTAAATTATTTTGGCGTTTGAAGATTACTTTGAATATTACAATCAAATCAAACCCAGCATGACGTCACTAGCTTAAATAGCATTGACTATGTCAGAGAAGTATTCACTGATTTAAAATCCCCTTAAATCTGATGATAAAACTTTGTTTCACATTTTACAGACGTTATGATAGAAATACAAATATAATATAATATAATATAATCAACGAAAGCGGTATTTTTGCAGAAAGGTTGTCAAAAATTGTTTTTTAAGGGTATTTACAAACATACCCTTGCCTCTCGATTAAAATTATTGAGTTATCATTTTATTATCTTGAGTACAAAATTATTTCAAAAATATACATGAACTATTAAGGCAAATCAGGTCACGTCTAGACTTTCTGGTAGAACTTGATACAGATTAGGGGAGATCGTATTTAAAAGTGCATAAGTACCTTACTTTTTGGTTAAATTTTCTTCATCATGATCTCTTCACTTATAATCTTTCCTTAGATTTTACTCTTCTTGCAACGGGCTTTAGATCCTCGACGCGTCTTCTTCGACACTGCTTTAGGCTCGATCGGATCTTCTTCAGAAATTTTTCTTTTAATACTTCTAACAGCTGCGACCGATGAACCTGATGAAGTTTCACACCGGTTATCTTTTTGTGCCGCTTCTATGGGTTCCGTGACATCAGCGGATTCTTCTATACTCTTAGTATTTTGTTCTAGCATAGGCAAACCGGCGAGATCTGCTATAATTTCTATTCCTAGTTTAGAAAAAAAGGACGTCAATTCACTAAAGATGGCTACTGCCTTGTAGCAACAGTAAAAATAATTAATTGGTGTTCATTTATTATCACATTAGTCTATATTTCTTAACACAAAAGAGAGACGGTATTCAATAATCAAAATGATATAGAAGCATATTTTATTGAGTTACGTTAAAAAATCTGTTTTTCACTAATTTTTTGCGACTTGCTTTCTTATAAATACCTTTAAAGCTGGAATGGGACCACCCCGTAGTGGTAAGTAAATTCTAAAAATCTAAGGAGTAAAAACAGGAAATTTTATTTCAATGTAGTTGTAGAATTTCTCAGAAAAAGTTAGTTTTCTGTGGAGAAAAGATTTTTACTTCGGCATATTTCCGCTTTCAAACTATAATAATACTTTTATTAATCCCAGCTGCGGATTCCAGAGAGGCTGGATTAAAAAATCCTGCGGTAATTTGCGGTCTTGCTTGAAATATTTTTTTAAGAAAATTGAATTCCCCCTTTTTTCCGGATTTCCTTCGTGCCTATTTTTTCCTGAGTTTCAACAATAAGTTTTTTGTGCGACATTTATAGGATTGCTGTCAATATATCTATATAAAAAAAAACAATTTAGAATATTAGCGACATACGAGAACATAATTAGAAAAAAAAATTCTGCAGTGGTAACAGGTTTCCGTCAGAAAATCATTTTGTTTTTTTTTTAAGTTGGTGAAACTGGACGTATTCTTAATTGAAGTCCAGCAACCTCAAGATCTGTATTTTAATATTCTTCTTCGCTTCTTTAGTGGTATCCTAAAGTCATTTAAACGGAGTACAAGACTGACTATATGATACAAGATTGGGGCAAAAAATAGAATAAAATATAAATGAGGGCGTAGCGGACAATGCTATAGAAAAAAAGTAGAGAAAACATAATCGTTGGCACTTGAAATTAAAAACCTCTTTCAACAAAAAAAGGAAGCATACCTAAGATACCTTCCGAATAAGAATCAAGTGAACTTCACTTTTTGTATAAAATAAACAAAAAAATATGATAATTAAAAGACAATATGGGCAGTGTAAAGAAGGAATGAGCAAGAAAAGACACTACACAAACTAACACTTTCATTTTCAATGTAATAATGGATAACATAGAAAAGCTGCCTAAAACATTAGAATGGGGGAAACATATTTTCATAGAGTGATATGCGAATGATGCGAGCCTTATCGCTGATTCAGAGGCTACAATGGCCACTTCCTGTTCACGGTTAAGATGTAAATTAGAAATCGTTGGACTCGTCAATCAATTGACGTATAGAAATTTGAAGAAAGTATGAGCAAAACTTTTTTCCTGTTGGAGATACAGGTTAGGTTAAAATAGAAAAAACGTGAATTTGATCATACCAATTTTCTCTTTTCTGACTTTATTTGAAGAGATGTGGTATTTTTAGATTTTATATCTGTTTCTCAAGAAGCCACCACGGACTTTTTTTTATATGTTCCGAAAAAAAAGTACACCTTTATTTTTTTATTAAAAATTTAAGGAGGTATCACTATCACAAGACATTTTTTTTTAGTAAAAACGTTTTTGTTGTGTCGATATTTTCTTGACACGTGGATTTTGTTGATCCCAGTAAAACGGATTGAAGATGCCATTATTAGTGACTATACTTCCATCGGACCATATTATTTTTGAAGAGAAATTTAATATTTTTTCAAAAGCGCGTGCACACCAGTCGCAACAATGCTGGGGCTGTTCGAAATCCCCTGGTTTAAGTCCTTGGCAAATTCTAAATTTATAGCGATGATTTCTATGTTTATTCAAAGTAAATTGTGCCGAGGATTTGGCTACTCCTATATTATCCTCGATTTGCCTAGTTGATATCTCAGGGTTCTCAACAATTGCTTCTGAAACATTGTTTCGGCTTTTTTCGAAAGATTCCTTTTTGTCGGGATAAAACAGGATTTTTTAATTTCGAGCCAGCTTACATAGCTGCTTTTTTTCTGGTTATGTATTAAGATATATTTGTGCTAATATTTACAAATCTTCTGGATTGTTAATCAATCGAACTTGCTGACGTTTCGCCAATCATCTTGTTGGCTTCTTCAGTTTCAGTTAAACTATGAAGAAGCCAACAGGATGATTGGCGAAACGTCAGCAAGTTCGATTGATTAACAATCCAGAAGATTTGTAAATATTAACACAAATATATCTTAATACATAACCAGAAAAAAAGCAGCTATGTAAGCTGGTAAGTTCGTATGATCAACAACCGGCGCAGGAAGAATCCGGAACATTTGTAAATAGTATTAGAATATCCTGCGGAAGTTTCTTTGAAAAATATATTGCTGCTGTATTTATATTATTTTTGTGGCACAAAATCTAGCGCGTTAGCAGGTCAAACTTTTCTTCATCGCTATAGTGACCTATATTTTGAATATTAACTATTCAAAAATAAACAATAATATACCGACAACAGTAACAATAACGACAATTACTGCAAAAACAACAATTCCACAACTAGACCATAAATAAAGTTGCTATTTTATCATGATATAACATAATATATGACGGACTCGGTGACAGGTATTTGCGTCAAATCATTTGTTTGTAAGACCTACTTAAAAATACCTTCAAAAATAGAAAAAATGCAATTTCCCATTTAATTTTTAAAAAAGCATGTGGTACATGGTTGAATTTGTAATAAAAAATGGAACCAAATTACAAAATTATAAATTTCCACTACAGGCAAACAATTCAAAATACTAAAAAAGATTACTATCATAATTATATAACTATGTCGCAATAGAGATCGAAAGATGTCCGGCGCTTAGTGAACTACGAAAGAAATAGGAGGTCCGACAAAATTAATAAATTTTTTGCAACCATTACTCGCAACATTATCGCTACTTTAAATATTGTATGTTAGAACAAAAACAGATATATCAAAGTATACCTACATCGGAGATAGTGTTTCTCTCTACTGTAGGTCAATTTGAAGTATTGAAAAATTGTTTGAAATTAATAGCAATGATCGTTTTTCCTGATAATTTGAAAATATTTGTCGTGCCTGTTCAGGGGATCACAATGACGCAGGTAACTACATGCCTATTTCAATTATGCCCTTATTTGGAAAAATATTTGAAATTTTACTAAAAAGGAGACTTGTGGATTACTTTGAGGGTAACGACTGTGTTAATTACAGTCAATTTGGATTTCGTTGCGGAAAGTTGGCCATGGAGGCGGTCTGTAGGATTGTAAAAGACGTAGGTGGGGGCCTTGAGATGGGACACTTAGTTGAACTGATTTTGTGTGATCTGAGCAACGCCTTCTGTGTCTCCCACGAACTCCTTATGGTGAAATTGTAAAAATATGGCTGTTAAAGACGCAGAACCTCAAGGTTCAGTTTTGGGTCCTTAGTTATTTACCTCCCTATTAAAAAAATAAAATAAAAATAAAAATGAGATAAAAGAAAATACCGAGTAAATAGAACAATCGGCAAATAGGTGGTTTGAAAATAACAGGCTAAAGATGAATTTTGATAAAACCCAACAACTAACTAAATTAACCAACCGATCAGTAACTGACGGTAGTTTAGTTAGCTTACTTGATGTTGTAATTGATGACAGGTTAAATTTGTCAGAACACATAAAAAAATTAAAAACCAAACTTAGTTCAGGTCAATTTTGTGGGGAAGCTCTTCCTTGTCTTCGGCAATTTTTACATTGCAGAAACAGGCAATTGGAACTATTCCAAAACTTATATAATATGTTAAGCATAAATATATTAAATTAAATCACGCACGTTTTTTTTCACGTCGTTTGTATTCTTATTTAGTTTGTTGTTTTTTGAGCTTTCTCTCTTTTGTTAATTGTAACCTTCTACTTATCTAATTTATATTGAACTTTTTTTATTGACTTGTTACAATTTATTGTATCTTGTACAGATATAGGGTGTATTTTTTTTGGGCCATATAAAAAAATAAAGCTGATGACAGTTTCTTGAAAACAATACGTCGAATATAAAATTTAAAAATACTTTCATAGTACCCATCTCAACCGATTATGAAATTTTTAAAATTTTTCTAAACGGCGTGTCAATAAGTTTCAAAGAACACAACTGTTTCCTAATTTGACTGGTATCTTCAACAGGTACTGAGATTAAGCTGATGCTTAAGATTCTTATCTCGGACACATTGTATATATGGAGGAACAAATATCTAAACACTAAGAGCAAAGTAAGGATATATAAAGCGCCGTTAGACGTGTAGTTACCTATGTCGCAGAGACAATGTTACCACAAGGACCACGCAAATTATGCGCACAGTGAAAATGAAAACAGTAGGAAAATGTTAGGAAAATCACTATCCAATAGAGTGGCAAATGAAGAGACCTTATAGAAGAAAGTGGAATGCAAGAAGTGACGAAATCAAGACAGATTGCAAAAGAGAAAATGCAAATAGTCGCTAGGATAAACAGACAGACCATACGAGAAACCATACTGAAAGAAGAAGTGCATATATATCAACTTTTCATTGAGGGGCTGATAAAGTTTAAATGAATCAAACGAAACTTTTGCCACAAGTCATATGTTTAATTTATTCTCCTAGACCCGATCACTCCCATACAAATTACAACTAAGGAACAAAATCGACAATACATTTTGATTTTGTGTTCAACTCCTGGACAAAGAAAAAGTTTCCTTACCTTCCGGATTTACCCCCTGGTTTATAAATGCTTGAAGCTCTTCAGGCTGAGGACTGCCGCATGTGCTACAAATCGGAGGTATTGCAGGCGATTTGCATCTCCAATATTGGAGTTCTGTTTTGCATTTATTAAGTTCCTGAAGTAATGTGCTAAATTTGCGTGAAATCTCTTCGTTTTTCTTATCATATTCGTCTAACCTGCACAATTAACATTTCACAGAATAAGTAACTTATCTGCTTCGCGTGGTTCGTGAAAACAACCTACCTAGTAGCGTATTCAAGGGTTTGTTTTTGCTGATCCGCAAGTTGCTTTTGTTGGTCGCTGATTTGTTTTTGTTGCTCTGAAGTTTTTTTCTTGCACGTTTTCAACTCTTGCCTCAAGACTGTCAGTTGATTGTTATACCGTTTCATGCCCTGCTTAATTTTACGAATTCTTTTGCGCAAAACCATATTCGACTGCGGAATCTCTACCAGATCCTTAAAATAATATTTGGTTAATTTGATTTAGATACTTAATGTTATTATATTTTATGGTTTATGGAAATATATACCTCGTTTTCGAGAACGTCTGTATCGTTTTGATCAACTTCATTTACCGACTCAGATGTTGAAGATTCTAATGGCATATATTTATTAGGGCTAGTACCTAAAATACCTTTTCAAATAAAACTGACACAACTTTTCATTTCCCAAAGATTACCGGCAAAATTAGCGGAAAAATGTAAAAAATCGGTACTGAAATATGCAATTTCGGGCAAGTTCGGTTCAATTTTTTCCTTGAAGTATTCCATAGCCATTGTGGATAAATCGAACAATTCATCTGTTACCTTGTATGGAAGATCCAACTTCTGGGTGGTCTGAAATTTTTATTAAATATAAGTAGCTTTAGTTTACTACTTAATAAAAATGTACTAGTGCTGATTGTTTTTTAATGAATGTCTTAATCGAATTACAGAGCAAAACAGCCTGTTTTTCGATATTAAGAGAACCACTACAGCAATCCCCATACTTAAACTAATCCTAAAAATTGGGCTGGGTTAATAGAAAATCAAGTTGTTATGTGGTCGACGTTTCGGTAATTTTATTGCCTTATTCAGGACTCTAAAAGGGATCAGATACACTTAATATTGTGTTCTAAACTAATCAACCTTTTCAGAAAGCTACCTAAATTACTTTTTTTCTCATTATCCATTTCCTAAACAAAAAAACAATATTGTACAAAATCAAAAAATTAACGGCCTTTCCGAATAAATAAGTCATCTATAGCGACTGCAAAAGTGTACAAAATAAATGTTTTCACCAAAACTAAGGAGTTAGAATCAAATATCGATTATCAAATACCGTGTAATCAATGCCAAAGAGTTTCTATTGGATAAACTGGCAGGTACAGTGAAAACTCCCTATAGCGAATCTATGTATAACGTAAAACTTTGGATTACGAATTTGTTGTACTATTAGGTCTCCATACAAAGCTATGTATTAATCCACTCTGTATAACGAATTTCTCACTCTCTATAACGAAAAAAAAGGGCTTATCAGATATGGTCTGTTCGTAGATATAAGAAAGTGACCAATTGCTTTTGAACGGATTATAAAAGTATGGTCATTAAATGCAATAAGATTATTACCTTAATTAATAATTACTTCTTAGTTACTTAATTAAATAATTAATAACAATAAATAATGTTAATGACCACCCTTGGATAATCCGTTCAAAAGCAATTGGTCACTTTCATATATCTATGAACAGACCACAACAAAGTAAGGAGTGTAGGCCGACTAATAATCTAATTACCGAGAACCTGGTCGTTCTAAGTGTTTTTCTCCTAATAAGCGATTATGTTCATGCCTTTATCGGTATGTATAAAAGGACACCATTGTTTCAATCAGTTCTAATTTGACTTAGTTAATACGGCGAGCATGGCGAGTAAGCAAAAAAGAAAAGTGGTGTGCCGGTCACTTACAAGGCCAACAAGTCTGCATGGATGACAACGCAAAATTTTGAAGAGGAGATACGGAAATGGGATGCAGAATTAAAGCGGAGGAAAATATTACTTCTCTTAGATAACTGCCCTGCACATCCCTATATTCCAAATATACGGAATATTGAATTGCCATTTCTTCCAGCCAAAACAACAAGTGTATTACAGCTGATGGACCAGAGCGTAACAAAAAGTCTTAAGATTCGATATAGGTAAAACATTTTAATGGAAATGATCGAGTCCGAAGACAAATTTTCCATTAATATGCTAGATGCAGTCAACGTTATTAGTAAAGCTTGGAAAGAGATGACAGCAGAAACAATTCAACACTCCTATCGTAATGCAGGACTTATTACCGAGACAGAATGCGAACAGGACTTGGAAGATGATCAGCCACTAAGCGATTTTACGGTGATAGATCAAGATTTGCCTACAACAGTAGACTTGACAGAGGAAGCCATATTACAACAAGAAAGAAAGGGTGAGGAAGAGCACCAAGAGGAAGAAGAAGATGAAGAAGTTGATCTAGGACCACCACCAACCATTCAACAAGCCCTATATTCAGTTTTGCTGCTAGAGAAATTTCTTATGTATCATGGGGAAGATACCCCTCTCGAGAAATGGTGAAAATACAAGCCAAAGTACGAGATGCGTATTGGCATACTAAAAAAAATTCAAAAGAAAATGACCGATTATTTGAAACATTAAATGTAGTCCCTATATATAAAATGTTTCTAATTAGATGGTAAAATACGTATGTAAAATAATTAAATATTACAGAACACATATGCCTATTGTTATTTTTCAAGTGCCTTTAACTCTTTACAACGAAAAAAAAAGCAGTCCCTTCAATTTCGCTATATAGAGTATCGACTGTACAAGCTAACTTTTTATTAACCCAGTATATATTAAATCGGAAAATCATCCTTACTGTGAGCATGCTTCGTTTTTAGCTGTATTTACCCTTGTTAACTTGAATTTCATTCCCTGTTGTTTCATTGTTTTATATTCATTAAATTTTTTGATAACATTTTTATTTTATATAATTGTGCTATTGCATTTAGCTTCATTTTAGAATACGATTTTAAGTACGGTACTAGGGAAACGGACGGGACGGTCTTCTTGCTATGTGCGATGCGATTGCGATCGCTTACAAAAAAAATTGAAAAAGGAATAAATGCAGCTATATGACTTTCTTAAGTCATTAGAAAGTCAAATGAGGCACCAAGAACCGCATCTCAATATCTTTATCCTAACCAAAAATACGACTAAAGGAACTTAACGCTCAAAAAAAAATCTAATTATTCAGAATTTATCAAATATTCATATTCAAAACCAAAATAAAATTTTGTTTTTATCTTACTTTTTTTACAGTACCCTTGGTGGCAGTTGAAATTACTACGTTTTTATTATTATAACTAATTTTTTTTATTAAGGTTTAGCAACTAACCAGAGCTAATAAATTGTTGAAGACTCATTTTATTATTTATTATATTATTTAAGTAGTAAAATGTGTATCGAAATAATCAGTTGGTATCATTCTTTGTTCCTAAAGCGTCCATCATTTTTTCGTTGCACTGGCTTGTGTTTACCAAAACGTTGTGATGCAATATTTGACAAGCATCGAATAGCGACAGGAAAAATGCGTAGCGATTGATCAGATGAAAACTAAATTTGCTTTCATTGCAATCTTATAAATAGAAGTCAATAATTTTCGCCAAAAGAAATTCACATTTAATAGTATAGCAATAATAAAGTAGTGTGTTATCTGGCAAGTTCGGGATAATGTTTTTTTGCGATCTGACGTAATAACCCGCAAAGTAAAAATGTTTTTCAAGATCCAACTTTTTTTGAGCGTTATGTTCTTTTAATCATATTTTAGCTAAGCATAAAGTTATTGACTTAATTGTTGGCCCCTTATTCGGCGAAAAAAGTAATACCCTTAAATTATTTTTGTTCCAGAATATGATTTTTTTGCGATAATGTAAGAAAACGCCATCTGTCGCAAGGTAAGCAATTGCAATTGTGTTAGCACAAAGCAAACAGCATTAAACAAAACAGATTTGTATTTGCCTCAGCCTTAAGACAGTACTCACTTTAACTACGGTTAAAAATATACATTTTTGTAGAAACCGAGACTTAAAATTCAAGATAACAATTATGCCCCCTGGTGACAATGTAGAAACTCTAGGACAATTTCCAGCACTTTCTCTTGCCTGATTTACTTAACAAAACTATTTTTAAATTCCTTCGATAATCCGTTTCTCTTATTGGGACACCCCGTATATGTGATCTGGTTGCCGAAACGTTGACCACATTATAATTTGATTTTTGATAAGCCGAGCCCAAAACCCATCAATACCTGAATATTTTATTCGAATATTGAGGGTTGCTGCGATTTTACATGAACTCGCAGCGAATTATCAACCTAAACAGCAGATCTTTGAGTCTAGCACTACTAGTACCAATTCAGTAACGGTCAAGAAAATTACATACCTTTATGTACAGCAAAATCGAATAAACTTCATCGAGGATCTCCCCAGGAAAAAAGCAGCAATATTTTCGCTCAATGTGCTTCCCAAAAGTCATTTGCAGCAATGTCAGTCGCATGTGCAATGTCTCAATGATATCGCTTTCGCACGCTAGGTAGTGGCTGCGACGCGCCGACTCTCTTCTGGGCATTTTGCTTTTTATATCTTGGAAACGTTGAAGCATTTGATTTTGCAGCTTAGAAAATGTTGAATTCAAAATATATCCGCATATTTGATCAATTCTCCGACTGACCTAAAAAAAAAAATCCCCAATTAAATAAACAGATTCTCAAGATATAACTAAAAAACATTCTTTAAATCTACAGGGTGTCTCAGCAGGCACTGTTTTAATGTATTAAGCAAATATGTAATTACTATTTATAAAAATACACGTTTCGTAATTTTTATAATATCTACATGTATTTAAACTAAATAGAGCAAAATTAATTTACACTACCGATCGCGATATAGAGCATTTTTTATTTTGTAAATTGCCTTATTATATACGATAACAAGATTTGACCTTAACCATTACCCTTCAGAGACCCTGCTTAAGCTGATAACAGAAAAAGTGACGATGAAAAAATATGTTAGGTTAGGACATTTAATATGCGCATGTGCAATCATTTGAAATTTTGTTTTCAACTTATAAAGCCCGTTAGCAACGGCGCTGTGATACAGCTAGCTCCCTCTACATATTACGTTAACAAATAGAACGAAATCGTATTCGCCATCATCAACGAATTTTTATGGAAACCATAGAGAAATAGCAATTTCGAGAACTAAACTTTACACTGTATAATAATTATAAATGAAGCTAAATACTATAGAATAACAATACACTAGAATGTCTGCCCAACAATCCAAAAAATCTTGCCTAGGTTTTTAGCAAAAACATTTCAGCGTTTGTCTCTTATATTCGTCTGAACCCATTGTAATATCAACAAATTTCTTTATTTAGAAAGGTGCCTGACCGATGCGCAGTCTAAAATGTGGCAGGCGAAAATTTTAGGCCGTCCGAGTGTGAATGACTATCCAGAATACCTTGTCATGATTATTAATCATGTGTCATGACTCAAGCGGAGCTATGACCATTCTACTCTGTATCCTTCTTCTGCATGATAAATGCTTTCCGAGAATGGACCGATGTCTGAAAATACGCTTAGAAACAGTTTTTTTAAGCTCCTTAGTAAAAAACGCAAAGAGTTAATTTTTTCAATAAGCTTACAATCAATGTTCAAAAACCAAGAAACTTAATAACATTTGTATTCCTCATGTAGTTTCACAATATATCAATATCGTTAGCATAAAAAGCAGTACTCTCAAGACTAGGACAATACTCATTTGTTACTGTATTTATAGATATAATAAAACGGATCCTTTTTTTTCGGTCAACCAGGTGAAGTGGTGCGCACAATTTTACCTCGGTCTGAGAAAATTTTCATCTTTCTGGCGTAATTCTAGTCTTCAACTGAATTTTTCGGTCTGGATGAGTTTTATATTTGGTCTGCCGTAAATATTTGCTTTGGTTTGGTGTCGCAGTTTGTAATAATTTAGCGCTTTTTATATCATGGCATGTACTTCGGGAGGTAAAGACTCCCCGGATAGAAACGATAGTATCGTAGTTAATAGTCCGATATTGATCGCAAATGATTTTGATTCCTTTCAAACGCAACTAAACTTGGGCCAAGCTTCTACTTGTTCTAGCAGTGGTTAATCATCAGCTTTAACGCTATATACTTCTTAGTACCCAGTAAGGGGGAAATAGATTTATTGGAGACAGAGTTAAGGAAGCTTAAATCTGTCTGGTGCTAGCCAAAATTGGGATAGCCAGAGATTTAACTTTGCTTAATAAAGATTTTCTCACGAACAGGAAGATACAAGTAAAAGATCCGTCTACTAATATAATTGTGTCAGGCAGAACAACCAGTAAGGCGGTGCGTCAAGGTTCAAAGAAACAATTCCTGAAAACATAAGACTTTTACAGTTTGATTGATGCCCGAACAATAGTGAATAATTTGAATAGAACTTTGCAAAATATACATGTTTGGTCTTTGAATGTAGGACCTGAGATTAACTCCAATAAATCTGCAAGTATATTTTTTCAGGAAGAATTACAATATTAATTATCTCCCTAGACTCCACCTCAACACTCGAACCATATCATGGAGAAATTGCATCACATATCTAGGAGTGATTTTTGATCCAAAACTGTCACAGGAGCTACAAATTAGACACATGATACAGAAAGCTTCAGGTGGGTTGAATATGATGCGATTTATAAGTAGAATCTGGGGGGGGGGGGGGCACATCCCACCCCCATCTAACATTTTACAAAGCTTGTCAGACCATTTGGATTATGGAACCACTTTTTTGGGTGGTAGTTCAAGAAAGTTCATTGTTCAATTAAACAAAATTCAATTTAAGGCACTATGAAGTCCACAACTACTAACATACTTCTGCGTGAAGCAAGTGAAATGGATTTGGAACACAGAAGATACATGCTAGCGGCTAAATCATTATTGAAAGTCGCCAGTTTAGTGGGCAGTGAAACCTTAGCAGGGGTTAGATGGTTATACATCACCTATAATGAACACTATTACTTTTTTCGTAGAAAAAGTATTCCTGCACTTGTGGATGCTTTTGAAAGAGTTGATTCACTGCTAGATCTACTCTACAGGAGGCCAGTCTATCCTTGTTTCTCTTGTCCTCTGCCGAACCTCTTAGACTCTGTTCAAATCCAGGATTTAAAACTAAAGAAAGATTGCAATAACTCTAAATTATTTGAAATTAAGAAGAGTGAGACTTGGATTCTTGATTTTCATTTAATTTTTACAGATTCCTCAAAAGATATAGAAGGCCGTGTAGGTTTTGGTGTTTACAATTACAATTCGAACCTTAAAATGGGCCAAGGCCAGCCAAGTGATCTGTCCATTTACTCTGCCGAGATTTACGCTTTTAGATTCCAAAAGTGCCCTTGAAGATATCAATAAAACTGGGTTGGATGCAAAGTCTAAATACCTAACCTTGAAGGTTAAAAATAAACTAATTACCTTAATAACAAACTCAAAATAAGGACATCCAACTATGCGGGATTCCAAGCCATACTAGTATAAAAGAAAACGATATTGCTGACCAGATCACCAATGGTGCACGCTTAGAACCACGGGAGAATATAAAATTCAGTTTTAGGGAATTTTTCCCTAAATTAAAGCATAACATCTGGAATGCTTGGAGCGCCAGATGATAGGATTAGGGAAAGGAGTTAATTTCACCTCACATTTTTCTACTCCGCCATCTAAACCCTGGTTTCATAAGCTGGATCTGGATAGAAGAGAAATCACAACTATGTGTAGACTGAGAAGGAACCATTGCTGTTCTCTGGCTCACCCAAATAGAATTAAAGTTAAACCCTCCGGAGACTGTGAATGTGGAGAACTAGGCGATTTAAGTAATGTGCTCTTCATTCAGAAAAATCACTACAGTTGCATGAGTCACTCATTAGTGCTAATTTTCCGTCGCCTCTGCATATTAATTCTACTTTGTTTCACCGCACTCAGTTGGATTTTGCTGCTAGAATTTTTTGTCACTTTTTAGATGCATGCGGATTAAAACTTTGAATATTGTTTTCACATTTTCTAATTCTTTCGTCCATTTTTTTTTCTCTAGCCGTCAAGTAGGATGATGGTATCACCCAGACCCTCTTTACGGAGGCATCCTACTACCAAGAATTTGGCCGAGCTGCCGCAGCAGTGGCCAAAAAAGGCATAAAAAAAATGAACAACAGATCCTGAACGGATTCCTGTGGCACTCTAACTCTTTTCTCTCCAGGGTCCGAATTGATAACATCTATAATATTAACTGTTTGTTTTCTGGTAGTAAGGTAAGATACTGCCTAATTCAAAGCAACTTCCGGTAACCCACTTGCAAACAATCTATTGAAGGCCCTAAATCACAATACAAACTTACAGAGCACTAATTGAATACGGTCCGCAATTATTGTAACTGTAGCTAAACTAAACTAAACATTTTCCTTAATACACTCTAAACCACACAATTAGTTATGAAGCATGTCGTGACAAGTCTGTTAGGAAGACGGTAGGAATAATAATTTTGGATACCTAGCATGTGTAGCTACACATATGAAAATATTTCATCTCGACTAAAATTGCTATATATGCACAAGTACTGTCCCATTCAAGATATCAGTTCAAGACTGTGTGATTCACTCATCCTCTCATCTCTGGGTTATTGTTAGTGTTCGGACTGAACAATTGACCATCGATTGACCACTTCTTCATTGACTACTCACATTCGACCAAAATGTTTTAAATAACATCTTGCAATTGTAGAGTGTTATCTATCGTTATTTAATAATACTGTGCATTATATAATAATTTATTATGCGACTGTGATGTCCAATTGACTTATAACCCTCTTCAAGGAATACCCGAATACGATACTTAGCGATTCAGGGAATATGAATAAACACATATAAATTTAATTGTATTTGTAAAATTCTTTCGGTCAATTGACTGATCAGTTGACACAAAAAAAAAATCAACTCCACAACGCCAGTTGTTGTAGTGCACTGTATTCGTCTGCCTTTCAAAATAGAGGAAATGCGAGTAGTTGTAGAGTTCGAGTTCAAAAGGCCGATTATGTATTTCATTTCCACCCCCAATGTAATTAGTTACAGTTATGTCAGGCATATTTCCTGTTCAATACATAAAATTAATAAGTCGCTTCTCCTTCAATTTGTTTTCAAAACCTTGATACAAAAATGGTAGACATGAAAACAAGTATATTATTCCTTGGCATAAAATTGTACTTTTTCAGCGTTCGTTTATATGTTCACAGATATAAGAAAGTGACAATTGGTTTTTGAATGGGATTATCGAAGGGTGATCATTAACGTACAATTTTCGGAATTTAAATTCAGGTAAAATTGTGGTCCGTAATAGAAAATAATTTTATAACTACCTGTGTTTAATATTCTTTGGTTTGGTATACTACTTAGTTTAAGTTTATTAGTAATCATTCTTATTTCGTGTGTAATACAGCGTGTGTTTAATCGTGTGCGAATTATGTAAAATATGTGCGAGTCTAGTGTATCTCAGGAGATGCTCCCGCCCAAATGTAGAAAACACTATTCTATTGAGACTAAGGAAGTTATAAACAATGTTTATTTGACTCTCATTGAACGTGATGCCAGCAAGTAAGCATCTTTAGAAGAAACGGCCACATTGACGAAAATTCCAACATCAGCTGTAGGGAAAATTGTGAATAATCCCATTTTAGCGAGGAAAAAAAGAAACGATGCTGACATTTTCTGGAGTGTAGATGAAAGTGATCAAGATATAATACGGCATAAAATTTACCAGTTATTCGAGGAACAAAGCGTGCCTACACTTAATTAGGAGGGTTGAAAAAGATGAAACCGGTGTTAAATGTGGCAGAACTACCTTATGGAAGTGTATTCAACACATGGGTTTTGGATTTTAAAAAAATGACAAAAGGCAAGTTTTAATGGAATCTTTTAGAATTCAGAAATGGCGATTGGAATATCTAGAAAAAAATTAGGATTTACCCAAACAACAAAGGCCAATTATTTACTTGGATGAAACCAGCTTCGACACTTATGATTCCCCGGAAAAGGGTTGGGTTGACTCAACTGATAAGTGTAAAAGAAACGCGCCATCAAAAAGAGGTAAAAGAATACCTATATTGCATGCTGGCTCTAAAGATGGTTGCATTCCAAATGGACTTTCTCTGTCTGCGAAAAATATTAAAGATTCTTCTCTGGATTACTATGAAGACAAGACCGCTGATTTATTTGAAAGTTGTTTTAAAAACAAACTAGTTCCAAACATTCCTCCTAATAGCGTCATTGTAATGGACAACGCAAATTATCACAGTAGACAGTTGACTAAAACCCCTTCCTCATGTGACACAAAAGTAACAATCCAAAACTACATGTATAATAACGGCATTTATTTCCACGAAGATTATACCAAAAAGCAATTAATTGAGGTTCTACATAGCTTGAAGCTACAAAAGGAATACGTCTGTGATAATTATGCAAAAATTTTTAGGGCATACAGTTTTAAGGCTGTATATTTAATCCCATTGAACATGTTTGGCACCAACTGAAATCTGCCATTCGTCGTAACAATGTTTTTCCCCGTGTTAACTCCAATGTCCTCAAACCTATAGAAACCGAAATTTTTAACATCCCTCCACAACATATAGAAAAAGCAGAACAATCGTATATTAATATTGCAAATAATATAGAACAAATAATAATTAGAACAGGCGATGATAGCGACAGTGATACTGATATATTATGTGAATAATTGTAAGTAATCTAAGTAGGTAATAAAAATAATTTGTAATTTTATTATAGATTTAAGCATAAATAAATAAATATTGTTTAGTATCTTTCCTAACAAAACCCCAAATAATTAAATTCTAAGCAAAACGGACTTGTTCGGCCATATTTCATTCTTACAGCTTGCCCGGGTCTTTCCTTAATTCGTATCAGTTAGTCACTTTCTTATTTCGATGAACAGACTTTACCTACAATGCTGTAACAATTTATAACTCTCTGCCAGACGAGATTAAAAAATCCGCAACGGTATCCTCGCTTTAAATGTTTTTTTGTAAATACTTGTCTGATTAGACCTGGAGTTCAAATAATTTAAGTTTTTGTTACATAGTTATGAGCTCTGCATTGCATTGGTTTAAATATTCACTTTTTTGTTCTTACTTAACTGTATTTTGCTCGAATGTTTCATCTAACATAATAATAGTAATCTTTATTGACTAACAGATTAACACCCATTTAGAAGACAATTTCATCTTGAGAACTATAACCATAAGTAATCAACTATATACACTCCAGCAAAGTAATAATGAAATATACAATCCGTGGTAAACTGTGAGCGACTAAGACAAAAAACGTCAATATCATTACAGAAGTCATTAAATAACTTCATCGCCTGATAGAGAACACCTTTAATCATATATCATATCATATCTTATAACTTAAATTATTTCGTCATAATAATATTTCATAAAATTTAAATAAAGGAATTATTTATTTATTATTACATATAACTCGTATGCTTGTAATAATTGCCTAGTTTGTATTGTAGACCCCCTTTTTTATCATATTTTCTTAGAATTGCCAAAATCAAAGGCGCTACTGATGTCGCATAAAATAGTTAGGGCGTTATTTTTTCGTAAAATCGTCCACAATGTTTGTTAAGTTGTAGGACCACGCCCCCTAGCGCCTAGTGTCAAATAGATATAATCCTGGGACTCTAGTTAGCCCCATCTTGTATCTTAAAAGTTTAATGACAAACCGTATATATAGGCACTCAGGAAAAAAATGTAATTGAGGAGCCAACGAACACTTCTAGACGGACGCGAATGACTTACCAATCGCAGTTTGCTTATTTCCCTGAAGGACAAATAACTAAACACTTTCTCAATAACTTCCTGGGGTAATTCCAAGAATTGTATCGATTCCACCGTTCGCGCTGCAGGTTTATAACACGCCGCCGCGGCGCTGTTTCTTGTAAATTTCGCAGGGCCATCGGTGGATGATGAGTGACTAGCTAATTCATTGACGGTGCCATTTCCCATCGACATGAGTCGTGTGGAAACCATTTTGTAGGAATTCACCTAACCTGCAAGATGCAATTATAAAAGAAACTATTACCATTACCAGAAGCATAAAACTAATAATATATATAGAGGCCATGGGTATGCTGATACTGATAATACAGGAACTTTTGAAGCGAAGATGAAAAACAATGTTAAGAAATGCAATCCAATAAGAGCAGCATGACCAACAACCAACATTGAGAGTGCGTTAATTCGACAGGTTTCAGTTTAGTTTACCATCTTTAGACCAACATAATGGCTATATGAGGCAGAGCGAATATCAACTAGGTTTGGTTAATGGCAGGAAAATATGCTTTCATTCTGAGCCAAACGCAAAAAGTAAAGTTAAGTAATCAAATAAGAAGATGAAACAGTAGACCTGTTTTTCATTAACGACGGCAATGTGTATCGACAGTACAACCTGTACCTTCTGGCTGATTCAGTAGTAAATTTCGTTTCTAAATTTCCAATGATAGAGAACATTAACCAAGTTATATATTGTAAAGTTGAGAAAAATGCCAATGATATTTTCCGTTTCTAAATTAGGGCCAGACTAATTTGCATACAATAGAAAGACGAGTTTGCGAAATGAAAGTAATATGAGAGCGGCAATTGCATAGGTAGGTAGAATAATGAATATAATCTAATATTGAAGAATAATATGAAAATCGATTGTAATAAATATTATTATTTAAAAAACTCTACATTTGTAGTAAGACTTCATTTGTAAATTTTAGTCTCGTGTTCCAAGTAGTCGTTAGAGTTAAAAAAGGGGCTCTACAATGTTTCTCAGATTTTTCATAATCGGTTGTCTTTATTTCCTCTTGCAATGTCCCCTATTTTAGTGGTGTATGTGTTAATTTATTTATTTCAGACATTTTTCTCCAAAGTAGGTACTTCTTTTTTTTAATAAAACGAGTGTGTATTATTCTTCTGATGGCAGTCTTCATCCTCATTTATCACAGTTCCTTTTCTTTCTGTACTTTATTTTTGATGAGCTGATGGGGCCGCCTTTATCCTTGTGCACAAGACTGTAGGTTTTTTTTTTAATTTTAGCTAGAGGTATGATTTGTGCTCCACAGTACTGGGAAATTTGAAGACAAAATATATTCATTAATTATGTTACAACAGAGTAATATTAATAATGTCGGTTTCAGTTCCCTTAGTCTTAATAATGTGAATTATGTTAAGCACTTTATCTTCATCAGTTAAGATAAAATTAAATTGTTCATCAATTCCATCAATGACGTTATTTTTATAAAATGTAAGAAGTTCTGGCTTTATATTTTTTATATTATTTGTTTTGCGCTGTAAACTATACTTTTCTATTTAGAGTGTAACTTTTATATTTGTTTTTTTGTTGTATGTGCTTATTGAATGTACAATATCTAAGTGTACTTGCACCATTTGAAGTAGCGGAATAAATTATATTCTATTCCATTCCATCTATTTTCTGATATACCGTTAAAAACTTAAGGACAAAAATTTAAAAAGTGAGAAGCAAGCTTTCTTGGAAGGATGGCCCACTGAAATAAAAGCGTCCTCGTAACAAGGTAAAAGATTAATAATTACTCCCATTGAAAGCAAAAATTGATTGTTTTTAAAGACTACTTCCAGAAAATACTAGATCCTATTTCTCTTGGATCTGTTATAGTCACAGATAATGCCCAGCTACCACTCACGAAAATCCATAGAAATATCCTCTATTTTGCCAATAAAATTACATCATTCATTCATTAAATAAGAAGCAATTTCTGAAACATATGCCGAAAATGGAGTTACTGGAGATTGCTAATTCGAATAAATCTCTTTGTACGAAATTTTCTGTCCACGAAATCGCATTAAAATTGAATTATAGCTTATATAATTGAATTAAAGCCTATAGAAGTGGTGTTGCCGCAAGTACAAGAGTTTGTAGCAAAACATAGCACCACTTTTAAACTGACTTCGAGACCCTCTTCCAAGAGATACAATACAATACAGATAGTGGATTGTTAAAAGGGGAGTATGTGCGTCGAACATACTGAAACAAAAGAAAGAATGTGAAAAGCTGATAACATGCTAAAAAATACTGTACGGCCCCTTATTATTTCTCTGCACTGCAACGAGGAATAATACTGTAATACTGTACTCATACTGACTACTCGGAACATAATAACTCTTCTTCTGCTTAAGGTGCCGTCTCCATTTCGTGAGGATTGGATACAATTTCAGCAAATCTGATTCGATCCTTAGTAGGTTGAAACAAGGTGTGAGCGCCTACGCCAGTCCGGTCTCAGTTATTTTTAAGCCAGGAGTGTATTCTTCTCCCAATACCATCTCGCATTTACTACTCCGCAGATGGCTCTTGTTTTCTTGATAATTGTTAGCAATTCCCTTTCTCAATAGTTTGCAGTGTGCCGAGGAGACTCAGTAACTTCCATATTTCGAATGCTTCTATTTTACTTATGGTGTTCATTTTAAGTGTTGATGCTTCACACTCGCATAGCAAAAGAGATTGTATGTAACATTTCACAAACCTTATCTCCAAACTCAGTGTAGAATCACATCGAAGATGACAAAATCTAAGGTGCAATTTATCCAAGTTCCAATATATTTAAACTTTTCAACCATTGCTTTGGTCTTATCAACGTTTATGCTGAGTCCTAGCTTCTCTCCTGTTTTAGTTAATTTGTTTAGCTACCATTGGAATGTTTCCGAGGTACCGCCAATAACAACTGTGTCATCTGTAGATTGTCATTAATCTGTCCGTTAACTTTAACACCCTTTGTTTCTATATTCTATATTAAACAACAAGGGCGATAAAACACACTCCTCGATTTTCAATAATATTTATTATTATTACTTCTATATAAGTTTTGATTTAGTGGATCTTGGAATAATTCATGTCTCAATAATTATAATTACGTATATTTATTATACTAATAAAATACCTCTTGTAAGGCCGCTGTCACATTACTTTCATTCACCAAACGAGTCATTTCTATTGTATACGAATTAGTCTGTCTCTAAATTAGGAAAGATTCGAGGTCTTTCAAACTGAAATACGGAATTTTTAAAAACTATCATTACATTACAATGCATTATATAACCTTCAACTTGTCCGTCCTGTTTAATGGAAATTTACATTTTATTATTTTCTCGAATTAAAATACTAAACACAGTAACAAATTATAAAGGATAGATTTTTATTATATAGCTTTGTTGGTTAGTTTTCTTCATGTTTACTCTCAGTCAAGTCCCATTCCTATGACGATATCGGAAATTATTTAGCCCCTTAAAACTTACTTACAGACGCCAGTTCCAAGATGAAAAAGAGCAGCTAACGGGAGCGCAGCTATCCGATGATTCTGCTGCGGAACCTAGAATTAAAAAAATAATTTTGAGTGTTGGGCAGTTCAATGTATCAGCTGTAGATGCCGCGCATTTTCTAGAGGGTAGCATTTTTTTCTGCAACAGAAAAATTTGCCAAAAAATTAAATACGATATTTTTAAGAAATGGAAGAGACACAAAAATATTTGACAAATATGACAACAGAGTATCATTTCTCTTTGATTCCACGAGTCATGCACATCTGGTTGTGACGCCGTGGTCTACATTCTACAAATAATTTCATTGTCAAAGTGTTGCCAGACATAACAACTTTGAAAGTTTGTTCTAAATTTATTGCACTTAGATACATACATCCACCTTCAACTGCTGATTGTCGATAAATAAGGCTTTAAATAAATTTTGTCTTAGCAAAAGAAGTTATCTAAACCAAATCTCGTCCAGTATGTATCAGGGTATATTAGTTTAATGCAAAAATTTCAAAGCAAGCTTAAATATATTTCCCGTTTAGGAACCTTATAATTCAAAAATTTCAAATCGAACATCTAGTCAGAAATATTAGCTAATAAAAAACTCTAGTCAATGGTATGTATTCCTATACTTAAATGCAACAATTCGTGGCAGGATATGCAGTGTTGCGGAAGTTTTTCCCCATTTATTCGTCGAATACTACGCGAAGTCGTGAGAGCAAGAGCCTTTGCATACATTGAAACTCAACGCAGCGACTTGTAAATCAGTTGTAGTGAGGAGGGTACACTTTCGACGGTATCTTATTCAGAGCCGAGAGACACTTTTATTTAGACGTTTGTATAACTAAGAAGAACTGTTAAAAAGTTATTCGTCCTTTTTTTGGAAAAAGGGATGTCTAAACGGGGGGATATTAACTGGCCACCCAGACGTCCTGAATTAACTCAACAAATTTTTTTCTATGAGGTGATCTTAAAAAAAAAGAGAAAGACTTTAAACCAGAAGGAGTATAATATTAAAAATGCTATTTTAATACATTTTCAGAAAAAAAAATAGAAACTAAAAACAAAACTGCAAAACAAAAAAGAACTGTTTAATTAAGTTTCACATTATTTATTGCTTGAAATGTCTCTCCCTGACTTCGATACAAGCTCTAACAGTATTTGCTCTGCAGTATTAGCTAGCATTTCATGACTAACACTTTGAAAGACTCTTTCATTCTGTTTCATGTGCTCTTTTGTTGTGGGAAAGCTTTATTTACAACTGGTAACTTAGGAGATCTAGGTGGCCATCTAATCGGACCACCTGTATCTGCCGTTGAGAAAATAAATTATTTAATTAGTAATTTGATGATCACGGTGTGCAGGAGCTCCATCATAACCACATTAGCACATTCTCTGCCCCACTTCATTTTTACCGTATTTTCCAAAAAATGAAGCCCTACAAAGTTGTTTTCTATTATACCACTTCAAAAATGTCCTGAATGTGTGTCGTCATAAAATGTTGGCACATAAATAGAAATTATGCTTATTAACACAACCGTCTTTATAGGACGATTCATCCGTAAATAACATATCTTGCTTAAAAAACCTTTCTTGTGTCCATTCACAAAATGTAGAGTTCTGGACGAAGTTTTTCTGAAAATATTATTCACAGAACTTGTAGAAATTATTAAATCTTGGGAGATTTGTCGTATAACTGTGGGTTTTCTGTGACGCTCAGTAATGCTTGAAATTCATTTTCCTTTTGGGCTACAGTCTTCACTTTTTAGTTCTTTATACCAACAAAATTTTCAGTTCGAGTAAAATGATACATCAAATTTTCAAGAGTTCCTTTAGAGGGCTGCCTTCTATTGGTATACTTTTGCTTGTAAATTATCATAGCTAATAATACATTGTTCTAGCTAGATCCTTTCGATATTCTGAGCTTTTGAAAAGGAAGAATTGCTAAATTAATTAAAAGAAAGCAAACATTTTTTTCACAAAATCAAAAATTTAGCTATTTAATTTTGTTTTTCATGGCTTATTGCGTTATTTTTTCAAAATTTTACAAATTTCGGAGTTTTCTTAGTAAAAATGGGTATACCTCAAAAAATACTAAGTTTAGGCATAGGGAGTGCTTAATAAAATTGAAAGAGTAATAATAAGAATAAGCAATCGAAGAATAATATACAGGGTGTCCCCGGCATAAACATTTCGAAGAAACTTCAAGACAAGTATATTATAAATGACTAATATTTTATAAAATCGTTGGCATAATAAAATTATAGCTGTCGTAAATGGCGTCAAAAAATCAAAAAAACAGAAATATAAATCTTATTTATAGTTTTTTTTTATTTTAATACAAGGCGTTGAAGTACCAAATATACATTTAATTTTTTACTACAATAATAAGTTTTGTATGCAAATTCGCCCCAATTTGAGCTGCTTTGTATCTGTTTTAATTGCATTCTTATCGAAAGTTAGTGAAATCCAAATTCAAGTAAAACTTTTTATATAGAAACGAAAATAGAGCATTTAAAACAAAATGACAAGTAATGTCAATTCTATTTTTCAATCTATCCCTGGAATTTTTTTTCGGTATTAGTAAATTTTTGTAACTAAAATGGTAATTTCTAATATCACATAGGCATTCGAAGATGCTATTGAAGATTGTAAACATTCAATATATTGAAGGAACGATACGCCATACATAATTTTTAACTTTGCAAAAGTTCAAAAAGACAAAAATGTCCTGGCTTTGGTTTTCAAGACACCACATAACCATATAAAACCAAGGCAGAAAATTTTATCTATGCGTCGCTCGCGTTTGGTATTTGAAAATAAATCTTGTCGTCCATATCGGCTACAGAATTGAAATTAAAGAAGAACATAACAAACTTGTCAATGAAAGGAAAAAAATTGTACAAAATCACTTTTGGAAGAAGTTAAGGCGTTTTTTTTAAAAAATCGCGGGTGTTTCACTTGAACTCATAACGAAATTTCAAACAATTTTGATTGTTCTGGCTTGTCAGTTACCTCTTGGTCGTGAAAAATTTGAAACACGCTGCTTTAATACAGCTTCCATCTACAAAGTTTGGTGCATGGTAAGCAAACAAGAAAAAGGTGCTGCTGAATTAAGAAATAAACTTTACAAATAAGATCGTTTACATCATGCTAGAAAAACTAGCAGTGTCAGCCTTATAGAAAAAACAATTTTAAAATAAAAAATCTTCTATGTGCAATAATTGGGTTACTAAAGTTTTTTAACTTATAAGGTTCTTTCGATTTAACTAAAGATATGGAAAAATCTAAAAATGAACCAAATGCAAATCTTGATAATCTGGAACATATTTTAGGTATTAGAGCTTTAAAAACTTTAGAGTGAGTTATCATCTGGAATGAACTTTTAATTTTAAATCTATATTGCTTTTGTCATTTATTTTTATATTAAATGCATTTTGCTTTTATGATCAATTAAATAAAAATTAGGAGATAAGTAATTAATTGTTAATTATTGAAGTAGTTAAATGTAATAAAAAAAATGTCGTTGGTATTGGTTACAATTTATTTTTCCAATTTTTATAGTATGCTCTTAGTAATAAAAAAAATGTCGTTGGTATTGGTTACAATTTATTTTTCCAATTTTTATAGTATGCTCTTATAAAACAGAAATTACTTTCTTTAAAAAAAATAGTTTTTAATATTTTGCGTTGGTATTATTAGTTTTAAACAATTAAAAGGTTTTCTAATATCTTTTCTCGTAATAAAATACTTTTTGTGCACATTAGTTCAACAGCAACAGTTCAACAACAAAGTTCTCAATCACATATAAAAAGCTATGGAAATAGTCAAAACCGTCAAGCGGGGAAAATTAGAACATTTTGGTCCTACCGAAAAAATATGAAATTTCCAAGGAGAAGAAGAACATTGTGACTAAAGAATTTGAGGGTGTGGGTATGGGAAATCTACAGTTTCCGAACTGCTGTCAATGGAACAATTATCCTCAACATGGTAGTCAACATGATAAAAGAAGATATGCAATAGATTTACAAATATTATAAAAAACCTAATTATTTAACTGAAAACACAAATAGTAAACCATATAGTAACAAGCCCATAATCTACAGGGTGTTCAACTCAAAATTCCAAAGGTTGTGACTTTTAAGTAGACAGCAATATCTCCCTGTTCTCTAGACTTTCCAGTAGCACATCCAGTGTGGAATATTCTTTATACATAACTGCACAGGTAATAGAGACAGAAGATTTGTAGCAAATAGGAAATTAAATTATTTGTATATATGTAAGCAGTGGTAACACATCTATGAGGATGGTAAAAGTTAAAAAAAAACAGCAACATAAAACTGTCAGAAATTTAATTTGATGGGAGTACACCATACAAAACTTTTTTCCATAGAACTCGAAAGCTTTTTAAGTTTAATTTCTTTTTCATTCTACATTTTGAATTTGATGCAGGGTCTTTAAAAAAATTAAGCTTAATAATTTTTTTCTACTCCCCTCCCCTCCTATAAAATATCCAATAATACACCCATCTAGCATGCGCAAAACGTCACTTTACCACGTGAGTGTCTTGTCGGCCATGTTAATGAATGTATTAGTATTGTTTTGCAAAAATGAAACCCTGCCTATGCAAATAATACAGGAACTTATGAAGCAACCATGAAATGAATATTTTGGCAAAATCCATTCAATATGCGCATGCGCGAGATTTAAAGTCTCGTTTTTAACCAATGACTTTAAGTGTTTGGATATCTCTATTTAGAAAAAAAACTGGCTCAAAGTGCAGGTTAGTGAGAATCTTAAGGAAAATATCATAACCACCTGAGGCGCATCAATTTATACACTCTTTGGAGTCGTTTTCATGACCGTCAAATATATGTTACCGGCAAAGGTTGAAATCTTTAATTTTATAGAAATACTTAAAATTTTAAAATAAGTTCACCTTTTCCTCTTAGATAATCTATATATTTACACAATATAAGAAGATAATTAGACAATAAATTCAAAAGATTTTAAATGCATAATGAATTTGAAAGATTCAATGCAACTTAACTTATTAGTCTAGCTAAGTTCTCATTAATATTTAATTTATTATAAAAATTTATCCTCCTGATTTTATTCACTTCCGGAACATCATTGTCTACACTAAACAACAAAGAGTCAACAAATCTCTGAATTTTTGTATATCCCTTATTTTGCAAATATACAAATACGGTACAAATCTGGTTTGTACTCCATGGCTAAGCGTTTCTATAAGATTTTTTTAAGACTTAGACTTTAGATTTTGTTAACATTTAGTTCTTTCGCTCTTTAGGTAGAGTTTGTTTTTGAATAATCTTATTTTTAAAACACATTTCTGGCTAATTTATAGCAGTCAAAGAGTAGCACCCCAAACACATATACCATAGGATAAAATTGATTCTACTAAAGACTTTTATATATTGTAATAAGGGAACTCGATGATAAGAATTTTCATAGTGATTTTATCAGCACATTTAAGATTCTCATTAAAAAGTACTCCCAAACTTTTTCGTAGAATTTATATAAAGATCCCACTTACAATTTGTCTTATAGCTCGAGCAATGAAATTTATCAATTTTAATCTGGATTACCAGTTTTTGTCATGGAATACTGACTTAGTAATTCTTCAGGCTTTGCACAGTGTTGAAGACCTTGACCAAATCCAACAAACAGAGCTTTTTTCCTAAAGCCAAATTGATTGGTGTTGAATAAGATTATATTTTTTGATTTCAGGACCAACTAGTTTGTCCTAGGCCAAATCAGTCTACTTAAAAGACACCAGAAAATGAACGAATACGAATACACTGACTAAAAGGTAGTTTTTCCGTAGTCAAAAGAGTTTATCTTATGTGAAAATGAGATAGGATGACGGGTTTAGTCTGCATTGGTTAATTTTTGCTTTTTCCTAAAAACGAATGAACCACTCCTAACATATCTAGCACCAAGGGTGTTTCCCTAAGTTTAGTTAAGCATATCACCTGCGACTTTTATTTCAAATATTTCCTAATATTACAAGAAAGGTATAATAAGAAAAACCTAGGTAATGTAAGTAAAAAACATTTAAACAAAAACCACAAAACTAACCAGAAAATTATCTAAAAAATACAAAGTTGCATCCCATAGAAATATAAAATATAAATCTCTAAAATTATAGCTAAACTGTAGCTTTATATATTTCTTGAGGATGAGAATAAAAAATATTTTACAATTGAATGAATTTAGCCTAAGGAGGTTATTTCCAAAAATTGTACCACGCCATTTTCAACAACAGTTCAAAGAAACACCTTTAGACTATCAAATAAGTAAATGTTCAAACCTGGCGAAATAGAAAAATTGTTGCAGAAATTGTAAAACCACAATGTTTATTTGCATAATGCAATGGATGCAAAATTTCTCTTTTATATAATAACTCTTGATTTATAACAACTTTGAATAACATGATGCTTTTTTTAAAAGCTTACATCTACTGATGCACCCATAATATTGAGATGTTTGTAACTTAAGACTGCTACAGGTATTTACGTTTCTAAAGTACTATGGCACAAAATTGACAAAATTTAAAAGAAGTATTAACTTTTTATATTATTTAAAGTATGAAGTAGTCAAATACCACTTGCCACTTTTACTGCAAGGAGATTCAAATACAAACTGAAGTGAGAAAACTGAAAAGTCACATACCGAATCAAATATTTTTGAAAATACAAATGAAGAAGTCTTATACAAATTGGAAGACCAATAATACATTTGAAACTGCATAAAAATATACAGTGTTGCTGACAAACTAACTAATGAAAAATAAACTAATAAAAGAACTATGATATGTCAGCTTGGCAACATCTGTTTGCAAAGGCTCATATATGCAGTATCGTTAAAGAACTGTTGTACTATACTTTTTATACTAAATGAAAGATCAATCCTAGTATATCTATAAGTAAAAAGAAATATTTAAACTGGACATGTGCCATGCATGCTGTCTTTAACTTTCTGACTAATTCCTTAAGATTTGTAACCACTCTTTAAATACTTAAACAGAATTTTACCTCATGGTAGCTTAGGACAAAGCAAATTATATATAAAAAGGACTTTATAGGTAATTCGAGTTATATCTTGTGAGGGTTAGTGATACAAAAATCTAGAACATTTTTAAATATTTGGAATGCTTTTCCATATATTAAAATACAGCAACTATAGAGAAAAAAATAAACCATTTTACGTCTGTATGTATTTACGTACAAAATGCAAAAAAAATGTTTTGGTTCAATATTTTGTAGCAAATTAGGTAGGTATAGAAAACAAAAGTCGGAAATAATAGGTACAGTACAGAAAATCATTCAAGTAAATCATAAAAAATGAACTCACTTACCGCATTTAGTTTTTCGCACCTAATTTAAAACAGTATTTTAAGAGAAAAATCGATTGTAATGTTTAATCATTTTGTACTTCCTAGTGTGTAGCAATACTAATTTCAAGATTGATTTTAAAAACGTTATTTCGGAATAGAGTTTACGCGGATTGATCAAAACCCGGATGGATTATCCACAATATTTTTGATTGAATTCATGAGCAGTTTTAAATATTCAACTAAAAAATCCACACATCCAATTTTCTTTATAAAATCTAGAACCATAAGAGAGAAGTGTTTAAACTATGAAACACAGAACAGACATAATGGTCAGTAATACTTATTTACAAAGAGATAGTCACATACTTAACGAGAAAACGTTAAGTGGTACCTATGCTTGGATATTTAAGCTATACGAATCATTGCAGTTCACGTTGCAACATACCAGTTTTGTTCTTGTTTTTTAAAAGGTTTTAAATAGATTTTATATTTTGTCATTCAGTGACCAATAGTAAAGAAAAACATTTTCAATTAATTTTGAAGGTTTTCAAGGGAAAATATTTTTCCACGCCGGCAAATAAAGACCGTAAGTTGATAACGTCCAAAAACATCACAAATAATACATTTCATTTAGCAGTTCTATACTTTATGCTCTGTGACAAGGACCAAAATATGGTAATCGCTTTTGGGTTCACCCTTATAGTGCTTTGATTAGGCACCTTTTACACTTTTCTATTAAGATTCGGACTCCGGAAACCCTTCGTTCTGTATGGTTTCTTATGTCGTGTGACTTGACGTCACTCGGTGAGAGCTATGGTCGTTCCTCCGAGTAAAACCTAACTCGACCTTCGATACATTTTGACACCTTGGGTTCCGTACTCTGGTTTCTAGTTTATTGTTCTGTGGTGTTAAAGTGTCAGAGGTTTTATGTGTAGTTTGTAACAATTACCTATAGCAAATTGTGCAAATAAAATTATTACCAATTCTCCTTGTCTCTTGTATCTAAATTATGAGTTTTTGAAACACGTCTCTGCGGAAAAATGTGATAATTATAAATACACAATCAATCAATAACAATCCAGATGGAGATGTAATACATTAATGCAGAATCACTAAAACATATTACAAAAACATTACTCTTAAGGTAAGAATTTGTGAATAAATGATTCATTAGATAATCATTGGGTTTAAATCCTTTTAATCACATCCATCACATTTTTATTTTTGTAATGCAAGTATGATGTTGTTTTTATTTTTTAAGAAATTGGCCAAGGATGAAGAACGGCAGTATAGAAGATGACGAGGTGGATATATTTAGTTTCATTTTAAGGCTGCGACAAGAAAAATTATTCATTAAAAGTGAGAAAGCTGACATACAAAAACTGAATGAATTAATCAGAAACAAAATTCATACGGTTGTCAAAACATCATGGATTACAAACAAACAAAGATTTTTACTGGTTGAGAGAAAAGCATCCTTTCAGAATTATGAAGGCTTTGATTCGTTAACAAGTACCACCTTTGTTGAAGCCAAAAATGCTCTTGGATTTCAGGTGAGTAGTTATATAGAAGTAAAGTCTAAATATGCAATTTAAGTAATACCTATCCAATTATTTATCTATTAACAGTACATATCTCAACTTGAATAGATACAGGTACAGGTTGTTATAGGTACAACCTTGAGCTTATGCTTTTAAGGCCTTTACAGACAGACAAAACATATTTGAGTGTGCACCCATTGTTCTTCTTCACACACACTAACATTTTTGCATGCATATTTATGAATGCTTATTGATTAACGCAGACATCTTTTAATTTGTTGGCACAGTTTGTATATAAAAGTTAAAGCTGGGAGACATAAAAAAATAACATATCTAAACAAATAGATAAACAAGGAAACTTGAAGAAAGATGTTATAAAATATTGCACCCAAAAGAAATTGTAGAGTTATGAAAGTTTAGTTGACATAATAGTTCACATGAAAAAAACTGAATATATATACAGTATTAAGACCGTTTTTAAATTGCTAGCATGGATTATAGCTTTTCTTGTTACTGAGTCCTTCAGGGTAGAGGTATTTGATTGTGCAAGGAAGATGCAGATATGACTAAAACAGGGTCGGTTCTTTTTCGGGATTTATATTTGTTTTTTAAAGACGACCTTCAAATTTGATGCATCCCCAACATCTTTTTTTTATATTGCAGATCTGATTTAAAGAAAGAAAGTTTATTGTAACTATAATTTTGTCCAGCCTCCTTGAGTATATGTCGTTTATTTTCATCTTACACAAAGTTTACATTCGCAGGAGACAAGCATTAAACTGCTGCTTCAAACTGGGAACGAACTCGACCAAAGTGTTTTTCCATTAAATTGTCATATGAATGTGACTTTTGATCCGTTCTCTGTTTATTGTCTTCAATTTTTTGTTTGTTCCCATCTTCTGTCACAATTTTTTGATATTATTTTCAAATTCACTAGAATTTTGTTAAATGCTCTCCAAACCTTGCCTCGAGTTTTTTTTTTTGAAAAGTGTTACAAGATTAGTCTTATCATAATAACTTCCAATTCATTTTTGCTCTATACTGGCCAATATTTAGGTGATGCTACAACTAACTTGCAGCCTCCTATAATTACATGGTAAATCTAACATACTAAATTGTTATAGACATAGATAGATAGTTTATTGGCATTTTTTGAGAAAAAAATAAAAAAATCTTTTCGTTAATTTTCTTTCCTATGTATTGTTTTTTATGTTTTTTCCTTAAATTGCGCATTTTATTATATATATATATATATATATATATATATATATATATATATATATATATATATATATATATATATATATATATATAATATTGCCAGAATACCTACCATTATTAAATACTAATAATCAAATTACACTTGAACTTCGATAAGTCGAACTGCGATTTGACACATGAAAATTTCGAGTTATCAATAAAAACTACAAATGCATGTACTTTTTTGCGAATGAACATTTATTCATTCATTTTTAAAAATGGGTTATACGTTACATAAATGCCCTAATATCTATGATTTTTGAACAAAAAAGGAAAATTATGAAATAGTAGTACATATGTATGTATGTATTTACATAATATATGTACATACAAATGTATTGTATATGTACCCAGTATATATAAACACAGTATGTATGCACATATACATACATATGTATGTACCTATTAAAGTTTACTCATTCACTGGAAAAAAGTCAGTTATTTGTGACTGACGACCGGATTTCTTATTTTGGTTTTCAACAAAAGCTTCAATTTTATTTAAACAATCATAGAGGGAATCGGTTGTGTATTCACTGGTTTTTGAAATAGGAACGCAAGGCAATCAACGAATTTTCCACCAATTCATTTGAAGGTGGTTGCTGAAAATCATCTTCCAATTCCTCCTCCATCGTGTCACTTTCGCAGTCATCTTCAATGTTTAACTGTACTGGTTCGGATCTGCAGGATTCGATAATATCTTCGTCAGTAGGAAACTCTGAAGAAACAATATCCTCATCCACATGTATAAAATTGTTGATGGTGCTACCTTCTGCTATACCTCTAATGTTTGTCCAAGCTTTAAACTCCATTTCTATTTGGATTTCGTCTTCACTCTGTTCTTTCAGGCGTTCACTTAGGAAAATCCAGGGAATCTCATCTTCTTCTTCCCATTCAGAATACTGACCAAAACCGGTTTTTTTAAAACAATTGGAAATTATTTCAGGCTTAACGTCGATATTTCATGCGGTAGTTACGTGGTCAACACCATCACCATCAATCCATTAGTGTGATGTTATTGTTTTTGTTTTCTTCGAAACGTTCCATTGCGGTGATGACTGAGTTTTTTTCAAAATTGTAGACACTATACTTGCCGAAATCCCATACTTCACAGCTACATCTTTATTTTTTGAGCCACTTTCCACTTCTTTTATAACCTTGAATTTTTGATCAACAGACAAAGCTATTAAAGTACGTTTTGATGACATATCAACAAATGCAAAAATCCAAAAATGTCTTTAATATAATGTGTAAATTGAATAGGGACAGTATTTTTCACTTAGTATTAACTATTAAGTCATACAAGTGAACTTAGCAAGCACAGAAACTGAACTGCTTGCATAGATACGTTAAAAAGACAGATTAAGATCGGTCGTAATTAGGGGGTTCCCCGAGAAAATTCGACTTATCGAAGTTGGCACCAAATGTTTCGTTCGAGTTATCAAGATATTCGAGTAATCGAAGTTCAAGTAATCAAGACAAACTAACACGCATTTCCTACCTTTGGCGCTATTGCCAACCAATTTGGTTCGACTTATCAAAAATTCTAGTTATCGAAGTTCGACTGTATATTATAAATGGTCTGAAAAAGATATTACTGTACGATTTTCATTATAGACCTTATTTAGCTATCTTTTGTTGCAATGAAAGTGCTTCCATTTAATTTTTGTAAGAAAATAAATTTTATTTATATTGATGTACCAAAGTGCCCTCTAGCGGCGCTACAAGTAATCTAAATCAATGTGCTCAGGGTAGCGTTGATAGCATAAATGAACCCTTTTGAACAACTCAAATTTTGGCAAAGGCGTTCAGCCATTCTGAAGTTGTTGACCCCGATTTTCGAAAATACTGTTGTCAACTTCAACTCTTCAACCTCTGTGGTTCTATATATAATGTCAAAAAACACACATTCTGAAGTTTAATAAATACCTGTTCTTTTATTTAGGGAATTTGATTTTTTAATTATAATCGATCCATCATATATTTCTATTTCCAGAATTCCATAAAAATTTCGAACTTGATGCAAATTCTTCGGTCTGAACCGAAGCAGTTTGCGGAATGGCTTATAATGGGCGAATCTACGATGCCAAGGAACATTGACTATCTACTGATCTTGCAGAGTATAATTACTGGATTGTATGGAGGTTGTATTTACTCAGAAGATTCAAAATTGCTGCTTACATTGTTATTTGAAGTGGCAAAACAGCAGCTACTGACAAGCGACAATCCTAGAAGGTAAACAGGGAAAAATAATAATTGATTTAAAACGTTGAATAATCATCAAACAATTTGTAATATAGGTCTTATATTATTCAGCTGCCTTGGCTAACTTAATTTGCGCGCAAACGTGTTGAAGATTATTAATAATAATTATGACCTTCTTTCAGGACTATAAAACAGAGGACTTGCACTTTTAGGCACCTATTTTTTTTGTTTCACGAGGTATATCAGCCGGCAAAATTTTTTTTAAGTGCCGCGCTGGAAATGCCCATTTTAGAACTTGTTTCATACAATCAACATTATTTGGATGTTGATGCCGACAAAACAGTTTTGAGGTATGAACTGCAGAAAATCTTGTGAATAATTCTTAACTAACTGTTTGGCTCTAGATTCCGCCAAGATGACAATCTAAAGAACTTTAAAGATGCCATAAAATACAGGAATGAAGTGGTGTCAAAATTGACTCAATTTACTCATAGTTTTATACAGTCTATGTTGGAAAACGTCTACAGTTTTCCAAAACCGATAGCATGGATTGCTTGTCACATTTATAAAATCGTTGAAAAATCGTTTTGTGCAAAAGAGGTGGCGGATTGCACGTCTTCTTGATACAGTCTTTAGATGTTTTTTTTTAGGCAAATGCTATTACCACTGAACTGATATTTACCCTTTTTATATGCCCCGTAATTGTTGATCCGGAACAGTATGGTATTTGTAATTTCCAAGTGACGGAAATCGCTCGTCACAATCTCATGCAAATAGCCACTATTTTGCAGATACTGGCATTAAATAAGTTCGAAGGTATCGATAAAAAATACGTGGACATATTCCAGTCAGTTGATAAAAATAGCATGTCCAATTTTATCGAGCTTCTGTTTTTTGATATGGATTGCGATGAACCACCTGTTGAATGCTCACCGGAAATATCACGTGATATCATGCTCTTTTCGGAAGAAGAACTAAATAATTTGGTACGTTTATTTATTATTTACATAACATAACAAATTTATTTATTATTTACATAACGTAACAAACATAGATGGGTTTGCTAAACTCTCACTATTTATGTTTAAGTTAATGAACCAGTAAACTCAATTTTAGAATTTTGTGAAATAGAAAATTAAATACCAGTTATAAATGGAATTATCAACTCAATTGCTAAACAACAATTTTTTTGGGTTGATTGTATTGTATCAATCATTTTTTCAATTTCAGCTGGAGACTTGTTATTTGCTATTGCATACCTTAAATAATAATAATAATCTTACGAACGCAGTATTTGGTACAAATGTGGTTTATTTCTTCATAATATAAACCAACTTTCTGGTGAAACACTATGTCTCTGTTATGAGTGTCTCCCTTTGCAACAAACTTGTTGTATATTTCCGGACATCAGGAAGGTTGCCAAAATTGAAACTATCATCATCATCATCCTTTTGTAAGGTATATGAAATCATCCAACATAAATTCTGGTTTCCTAAAATTCAAAACAGGCTCTCCATACATACTCTCAGTTTACATATGCGACGCTATCAATATGAACCGTCAAGTCAATGTTATTTACGCCAACTTTACTAATAGTTTTGACCACTTTGTTGAGTTTAAGGGGTTCAGATCGGATTTGTTTCAGGCATCCCCAGCATCTAATTTAAAGCTACTTTTCAACATATTCATAACTAAACAAACCAAAACTATTTTACCCCATTGACACGGCTACTGATAGTAAATCCCTCCCACAACAGTGTTGATGAGCTGTTTGGCTATTATACTGAATGCCAACCTTACTAATTGAAATACCATTTCTTAGCCTCAATCCAAAAATCTACTTCATTGCAATTGCTCTATAAATGGCTCCATATTGAACCGACTTACTTTAGTAATTGGTAGGTGGTCAGTGCTTCCTAGAACCTCGGGTTTTGTTTTGCGAAACTGTAACCATTTTCTTAGTTAAACTGCTGAATTGGCGCCTATGTGGGGTCTAAGTTGGATTTTGCCCCCTATCTGTCCGGAGAGTTGACATTGACTGTTTTTAATGATTGACAGTAATCATTGTTTCTCCATAAACTCGTCAACTCTTAAGATTGACTGCCTATTTTTTCCGAGTCCCATCCAGAAAATTTGCTGCAATTGCAATGGTATCTTGCATCTCTCTGACCTATTTTGTGACAATGTTCCATTTTTGTTAAAAAAAATGCGCAGTTTGTCTCATCAGTCTCTTTAGCTATGGCGTTAGTTTTTGTTTTGGGTTTGTTAATGTTAGTTTTAGATTTCTACTTTATACTACTTTTGGTATTTTAAGCATTGATTTAGTTTTGTAAGATTTGATTATTTAGCTTGATTTAAATGTGTGAATTTCCATCCAACACGCAACACGCTCGGACCTGTTGAAATGAAGAGCTATTATTATTAGTATCAGCACAAGGTAGTGACCAATATTGTGAAAATAGTTGGTACATAGCTTTTTCGATCATCTGGAATTTGTACCTTATTTAGTAATTGATCACAGTTACCATAATACATTTTTATATAATATATAGAGCAGTTTTAAAGTTAAAACCCTTAAGGTACTGACTGCTGAGGGGGTCACCTGTGCTTTTGTAGTTTAGGAAAACTCTATAGCATAGATCTCCAGAGATATATTGATTATATTAAAATATCCGCGGTTTTGTCTAATAAGACGAAGATGATACTAAAAAAGATTCCTTGCCGTTAGGTATTTATCTGTTGTTTCATTTAAACGGCGAATAAAAACCATTTCCACCGATTTTGGTAAATTGATAATCGTTAAATACTGATGATGATGAAAACTGACGAAAACTTAAATTTTAGTTAATTTTGTTGCAAAAAGTGCATGCAATGAGAATTCAAAACGACAGTTTCGAAAAGAATCCGTCTGTAACTGTATCAATAGAAGAACATTTATCCTCGCTTGTTCTTTCTTCAACTGATAATTCGCCGAAAACAACGCGTTTGAATGAAGATTCATCCGAAGGGGCTCCGATTAAGAAAGTACCATTTTCTTTGTTAGGATCAATGGGTAAGTTGTTCACAAGATCTGTAGAGTACAAGGAAACCTACAGGTTATCTAATCAAACCAATTATTTGTTGACTTTTATATGGCGCACGTTCATTCATTAAACACCAGAGTTCCAGTCCAACGATGTTTTGCAACCTACACCATATGTACATATTTCCAAACATTGTAATATAAGTCTAGCCCTACCAACTCGCTGTCGAATTTTATTTGACACGACCGTTGAAATTGTCACTGCTGTGCGTTGTTTTTAAAATTTGATAATCCAATGTGTTTAGTAACTTCAATATATGTCTGTCCATATTTGTATAAATATATTTTTCTGCTATGGTTAGTACTGCGCCAGTCGGAATGGTCCACACGAGTGACTATTTGAAAAAAATAACTCAATCAAATTTTTTTTTAAACCTGTTAACATGCCAACATGGAAAAGTTATAAAAAGGATAATAACACATTTATTCAAATAATAATCATTTATTGTCTAACAGATTCTACATCCATTTACAAGACAATCTGACAAGCATATGATACATCATTTAAATCCAATATAGCAAAATCTATAAACAAATTAAAGAGCTCACACTTGTATCTTAGTGCCCATGCGTGATACAATATCAATTGCCTAAACAAAGAATTTTGTTTTGAGAATGTTTGATAACTGATTATAGGAGAGGTTGAAAATGTCAATATCACTACAACGGTCATTGAAAAGATACATAGCATTGTATAAGGGGGTTTTTATAAGGAAATTTGTAGATGGGGTAGGCAGGTGGAAAATCGGCGAACTGCGGACAGATCTTTGAGCAAGATGGAGAAGTAATTGCATTAAGAGCTCCGAGCAGTCAATACTGGACAGAACAATTTTGCAGAGGAAGATAACCTCTAGATAGTTTCTTCGCCATTTTAAAAAAGGGAGTTAAAATCTTTCCAAAAGTAATGAAGTAATGTTTCACCGTTATCACTTTGTAATATTTTTATTTGTGTCACTTTCGACTCAAACACAAAATTGTCTAAAGAGCAGAAAACTTTTCTTGTGTTATCGTCTCGTCAATTAGTGTAAAAATATAAGTAGCATCACTTCAGCATTTTATTTCTATAGACTTCATTACATCCAAGATGAGACCTAACCTTTTATGCCACACCATTTGCACCTGCAGCATTTGTGACTTTTTGGTATTGCATTTATCAAGCCTGTACAAACCAACCATGTTACTTGCTGTTACTACCTACTATCCCCTGTTGGTGAGTGAATTATATATATGCAGCTCATTTCCTGCGACAGACAATCATCAGCCACCATAATTTCTTGCCAAACATCATTGCGCATAACTGTATGGTAAAATATGCCTTTCACTCATTTTCGACAAGTTGACAACAAACCTATATTTTTGGCTGACAGTGATGGATATTTCTTCTTCTTTTTGGGATTGGCGCTGTTACTAGGCAATTTTCCAACACCATTTGGAACTACCCCAGATAATCGAGACTGTTCTCCTGGGGAAGTTTTCTTTTCAGACTTCTATTTCTATTTAAGAGGCATAAAAAGCTGCTGAGGGGATAGGGTCCGTTAGTAGGCGGGCTCAGAGCACACAAAAACTAAGACAAACAGACATCTAAAAAAAAAAGACAAAAAAAGGGACGAGCAATCTCCAGCACTGTGGGACTTGGGACGGGCGTTCCTGGCCTAGGATGGACGATAGGACCAGGCTCGTCAGGTCTGAGAAAAAACGACAGATTCAAATACATATAATTTAAAATTCCCTAGTATTGTTACTAAGGAGAGGCTGTCCGACCTCGACTCCTAACTTAAAGTTTTATCCTATTGTAATCTAAAAAACATGACCATTTGTATGATCTCCGCACTCGGGGTGCGTAACATATTTTCAACACATAGTGGTAAGTTAAGCCCATAACTTCTCAAGTTTATGTATAAATCCACACCCGCAACTTTTGTTATAGGACATTCAAAAAATCTATGATGAAGGTTCTCAACCCCGCCGCACCCGCAGAAAGAAATCCCTAACCCCTACCCGTGCCAGGTGTTCCCCCACCGCGCAGTGACCAGTTCTCTATGTATTCTATGTAGGCAAGTTCAGAAAACCATCTTCTATTAGGAAAATTACTTTGTATTAACTTTCTATCTCTTTTGCCTTTTTCTTGTATTGAGTTTTTCCGCCGTTCTCGAAAAATATTTGTAATATCTCTAAGAATTTTATTCTTCGCGTCTTGTATGTCCAGTTTAATATTCAAGGGGATGTTTAGTTTTTTTCCTATTTTAGCCAGAGTATCCACTTTTTCATTACCTTCAATAACCGAGTGCCCCGGTATCCAGGCCATCATCACATCTATTATGCCCTTATCATCTTCTCTCGGACCTGTAACGTTATGTAGTCCATTTTAGTGTCGGTGTTTCCATTTGAAATTTTAGAAATCCCGCTTAGAAAAATCTGAGAAAATAATAACTTTTGTAAAGGCTCTTTGTAGAGCAACTCTTGGATGGATATTTCACATATCATTAAATTAAGGTATATAAAAAATAAATAACCAACCGACATCCAACTTTTTCTAAAATCTTATTGCCACCGCTTGCTTGGAATATTAAATAAAGAGCAACGAAAATGCTGTCATTACAAATGGGTCTAGTTCCGACTTTGATCGACTTGAAGGAAAAAATTATTATTTTTACGCAACCTTCATGTCGTTATTCGATGCTTATCAAAGTCTCTTAGCTGCCTACAATTTTAATTTCTTTAAGTTTATTAAATGTTTATTGCATTAAAAATGTCTTATTTAAAATCATAATCAAGTGCCTAGAAGAAATCGAAGCGTTAGGAACGAAGAATAATATTAATTCTTGTAATACACAGTTTAATAAAATTGGTTAGTGTTCAGCCGTTTATTACGTTTGGTTAGTTGACTAAACCTAATCTATTAATGCATAAATTAGTAATAATAATTCATTAATTGAAAACGAGCAAAGATATGAAAGCATACTAATGTCAACTACTTGATAATTTTGTATGAATCAAATGTACTTTATTTTAAATATCATTTAAAATCAAATGATCCAACTTTTCTTAAATGTTAAGTTCTTTTAATTACATTTTGTATTAAAAGAAAGATATTGAGATGCGGTTTTCACTGGGTTGTTAGTCCATTGTTTGAGTATCTAATGACTTAAGAAACTTGTATAGTTGCATTTATGCTTTTTTTCAGAAAATTAAATTTTTGGCGATCGCAATTTTGCCACACATACCATAGCGTAGAAAAATACCTTTTTAACTACTTCAAGTTTATTAAAATGTATTAAGTGTTTTTGGGCATATGGATATTTATTTAAGAGCACCCTCCACCACGGTCCTTGCAGTATTAAACAAAAATATTTAGGTTCAAAACATTTTTTGGAGAAACTGAGTTCTAAAATTCAAGGTAACAATTATGCCACTTGGAACCAACCACCACCAGAAACTCGAAAATGATTTCTAGCACCATCCACTTCCCTAATAGCGTACCTCCTTGCCCTTTCCTAACACGCAAAATATTGTACTGTAACATTTATTGAATCCTTCATAAAGTTACAGACCAGTTTTTAAAACGTGGTCTTTTAATAACATTTTGTATAGACGTTTAGTTTTTATTATTACAGCTAATAATGTTTTTAAGGGATTAAAAAGGGGAACTGCGCATGTAGGACAGAAGATTGCAAAACATATTCAAATGTTATCGTTTTTCCGATCGATGGCGTTGGTTTCGAATATATTGGCCTACTTCCCGAAGATAAGGTAATCGATCTGAGTGTACCATTGAAAAACGAGAATGAAGTGTACGTACCACCCAATAATTTAAATTGCAAGGACAACTTAAATCTATCGGAGAACAGTGTTCAGAGTTGTGAAGTTAAGTCAAATTATTCCAACTATCAGGATGAAGGGTCCATAGGAAACACTTCTGATAACTTGGAAGCTATTTCGGAAGCGGCTAGTAATCATTCAGTTGCTAGTAGTTTAGAATTGGAGAACGAGGATCAAAATGATAACCTTTCGGATATGGTGTCGGCGAATGTTTCTGGTAGGGGCAGTCCAAATATATCAGGGCGAGATACGCCGAGCAGTCAAGTGACTGAAAATGATAACGCCGAGAATCGCACGGAAAATGTTACACAACCTCGGCAGAATATCAGCCGTCAGATTAGATCTGAAATAGAGGATAAATTTTGCAAATTTGAGATAAAAAAATTGTTAGAGGGCGACGAAACAATATCCATTATTTCTGAAACATGGAGTACCGATGTTCTCGCTTCAGACAACGAAACTGTCGAGCTCAATGAATCAAGAACTGAAAGACCGACTTTTCAACTTGTAGATCAGGCAATTCAGGAGGTACCTATTGGTAAGTGATATTTTTAGACATTGCTGTTGCAGAAGATGTTGAAATTTACTTAGTTGACCGTACTAGGAGCTAAGTTAGCGTCAACATCTTTTGAAGATGACCAAAGATGGTGTAGTTGCAAACTGGAGAAGCCTTAACATTTCAGTAAATTCAAAATTGTAAAATAAACACAATGTTTTCAGATTTTCACTAGAATATGTTTATATATATATTTTTCAAATATTATTATTAAATTATATTATTACAAAAAAGTATCTTATACAAAAATTAAAATTAAACAATTTAATTTCAAACACGAAAATATTCAATTAGAAGCAAGTAGTTGCAACATATTCCTAATTTTTGAATAGACCACATTTTCAAGAACGAGCATAGAATAAGTAGAAAATAGTTTTAACTTTAACTTACAGTACTTAAATTCTAATAAAGGGTTTTGAGTGTCGACTGTGAATTGACATAATGAAACAAAACATATATTAGCTTAATGTCAATTGAAAATTATTCTGTTTGATGAGTCACTTGCAGTCCTTGCCCTAAAAAACCGTAAATTACTTACTGATACCAGTATACAGATCAGAGCTGACCTTACATCACTACAACGTAGGCAAATAAAGGAAGCATATGAAAAACTTGCTTTGCGTTCCCAAACAGAGCAGAATTTACGCGTACAATATATTAAGGGCATACCTAAGGTAGTTCGTCAAAAAAATAATTATAACTCTATCAAAAAACTTAAACTAAATGTATACTATCACAATATTGGTGGGATACGCACTAAGTTGTCGGATCTGCGTCAGGCTGTCAATAGTAGTGTGTATGATATTATAATTTTGGTTGAATCCTGGCTTAATGAAGACTATTCAGATTCGGAGTTGGGATTTTTGGATTATAATCTGTATAGACAAGATAGAAATCAATTTAACAAAGGTAAAACAAAGGGTGGGGGTACTCTAATCGCCGTTAAAAGGAACATACAATCAAGGATGGTACAGATTAGCGATTGTGTATTAGAACATGTCTTTGTAAATTTTTCATTTGGGTATAAACAATTTATTATTGGTGCTGTTTATATTCCCCCCGCATCACCAATCACAATATATGAAGAATTTCATTCCACAGTCCTGGATCTCGTTGGTGTCTATACCGATTGTGATGTCATGATCTGTGGTGACTTTAATTTACCCAGTGCAATCTGCGAAATTGTGGTGCACTCGGGTGTGCCTCAGGGTTCACACATAGGTCCAGTTTTCTTTAATTTGTTTATAAGAGATCTGAGTGATGTGGTTCTTCATCCTGAACATCTTGCCTTTGCAGATGATTTTAAATTTTACAAAACAAATGAATCATTTATGGACGCTCAGCTTCTTCAGAGCGTCCTTAATAATTTTAGTTCGTGGTGCAGAGAAAATGGTCTGGATCTAAATATTGGAAAGTGTTTTAGTATTACTTTTTCTCGCTTAACTAACACCCTTCAAAATAGATATATTATTAACAATACAACGATAGAGTGTGTCACTAAAGTTAGGGACCTTGGAGTCATCTTTGATAGTAAACTGACCTTTTTGGATCAGCTGGAGTATATTGTTAACAAGGGCATGAGAGGTCTGGGTTTTATTACCCGTAATAGTACACTGCTCTCATCCGACTGTTTTAGAACCCTTTATTGCTCCTTAGTTAGATCTACACTGGAATATGCATCAGTAGTGTGGTCTCCACATTACAGATGTCACATTAATAGATTGCAGACTGTTCAGAGGGCATTTCTGAAGTCCCTAGCATATAGAGCAGGTATAAATATTTACAATAACTTTCAGATTATTGATATCTTGACGTTTTATAAAATTTTGAACGGTGTATATAACTGATTGATTTTAACATCTATCAAAGACGTCAGAGCTCCCCAATGTTTTGTATTCCATTTCATCACGCCAACTATGACTATTTTTCTCCTTTAACTCGAACCTTGAGGTTATTTAACAGTTGCTCTCTTGATCCCGTTGCTGGCGGTCTTCGAGACTATTTAAAACAAGATTGAAACAGGTGGTTTATTGTAGTTGTAACTAGTGTCATACTGTTTGTTTACTGTTTCTTACTGTTTTTGTGTTTTTATATGTTTTATATGGTTATTTAAAAAGCTTGTTATCTAATGTGTTGTTTTGTCATGTTGCTATTTCTATTTATATTTATATTATATTTATATTGTTACTTTTTCTTTGTAAATTGGCTCAGCCGTTGAAATGAATAAATAAATAAATATTCAAATTTTAAATAACAATAAACAGCAAGGAATCTCACAAATTCTCTTAGTAAAATCCAATTAAGCCCCTTTAAAGGAATGTAATATTGACAGTGCAGGCAAAGGGCAGACAATAATAGCTATTAATCTTACAGAATACATTTCGAAAAGAAAAACAGTTTTTTAAGCCGGAACCATTCCACGATCCTACCGAGTTATATCAAAAACAAGTCAAAGAAGTAATAACAAATTTATTACTCTTTAATGATTAAGACGGAAACCAATTAACAATAATGAATCCATTACCACCAAAATTATATTCTTTTATTAAATTGCAAGATTACAGGATATACCAATGCCGACGTAATAGACACTATAGACAATCTAACTCGAAAACAAGTAAATCCAGTTATTAAGCAAAATTTAATGGATAGCTTAAGTTCACTTAGCCAATTTCTTGCGGAGGTTTTTTTTTGTAGTCGATATTGAAGATATGGTAAAAGAAAATTCCTTGATTAAAATCTTTCCTTTGCGCTACAGATATGTAGCTGACGCTTTTATTTGTTTCATTGGAATTGATAGACAATCAAGCACTTTTTTGAACTATATTAATTCGATAAATACCCGAACAAAAAAAATTTATTAATTAGATTCATTAGATTTAACTATAAATAAGACACAAAACAAATTGATTTTTCCATTTACCATAAAATCTCACACACAGACATAGTCAGAAATAATAGTTCAAATCCACGGTACACGCAAAAAGTAACTACTTTGCATTCTTTTACTCACGAACTTCCTAGTAGGCCACTATAAACAAAAAAAAAATAAAAGAATTAAACATTATTAAACAAATAGCACGTAACATGTCTATTATAGATAAAATCATAAACGAAAAACAGTATCAACTATCAACTCCATTTATTTTAGATTCAGTTCTCAAGCCAAGTCATTTAAAATAATTACACTCATAGGGGAACCTAAGTAATGAAGTACCAAAGCTTCTGTCGAGGTGTGATCTGTGATCTAAAGATTCCATTTAAAATTGACAACAAAATTAGAAAATATTTTAAAAAACAACAAATTGAAGGTTGAAAAAACTCAAAAATCAATGTCTGTATGTTACACGGGGGATCATGTCCTAAAATTTATATTTACTTACAGACTTGTAATTTTTGACAATTGAAGAACTAATCTATCTTTTCATTTCAAAATTAAATTGTTGTGCTAATAAAAAGTAAGAGATAGGTATATGGTATGCTACGTAAATTATATATGAAATTTGATGCAGAATTCAAAAATGGATTTAAGAAAATGGTATTATCGGGGACTTGGTATCTACATCTACTTTTTGATGTATAATTTCTTGAAATCCAATAACTGAGGAATTTGTTACCTATTTTAGCCGTTCACTGTATAGCACCAGGTAGAATTAAAGTTAATAAAGACACGGTGTTGGCAAAACAGCTGTCACAGAGTAAATAAACATATGCTGGTGAAAATTTGAACAAATTTGTGTTCTTAATTAACTTGAAAAACGATTATGTAAATATAAAATAATATGGGCCATTAGATCCAAAATAGTAAGTACACAAACATCACAAATTAGTTGAAGCTCACAGACTTCAGTTCATACTTAAAAGAATTTACGCTTTAAAACTGTCAACCACTGGATACTTATTTACCAATGTAACTACTGATTAGGTGAAACTATGCTATTATCAACCTTAAAAGAAAAACCAAATATCCAGATATATTCTCCTATTTTGTAATATGCCTTAGTTGTAGTGAGTCATTTTGCTCCAGATCTATGTAAAACCTCTCAATCGGTTTTATATGCACTTCATAATTAGGACACCAAATTATAGAACCATATTCTAAAACTCATTGAAGATATGTAACATAAAGTAAAACAATACATTCATTTTCATTCAATTTCATTTTGTTGTATTAGTTTACCATTTAATTGAAATATATTTGGTTATGTTGAGTAACAAACTATTTTATTTTAATAGAAAATACTCTGGATGTTTCTGAAACACAAAGCGAAAGCGCTTGGTCTACAGATGTGATGACTTCCGATACTGAACGTCTTACAGAGGTGGATAACGATGACGTAGCCAGTGTTGCGCAATCGGACGATACTAACAGCGTACCAAGATCGGATGACACAAGATCCGAAACTGACGAAGTCGGTGGGGTCAGGAGATTGTCGCAAGGATCAAATGTTAGTTGCACTAACCAAAGCACTTATGCCAGTAATTTTGCGGGTCAAAATTACACAGCTAGCGTTTCCGTAAACAATATCAATTACGTCAACGTTAACGCCAATATTCCGAATTATGTGTCCAGCTCTAACTCCGTGACAAATACGGTGAATTTTAAATCAGCAGAATCGAATTTGATATCGATAAATCATAGTTATATGACCGGCATGAGCTTTCAAGAGACTAAGAAAGTTGATGACAGAGTCGGCAAAAAATCAACTCAAGTGGATAGCAATTCTAATATGATACTTAAGACGGCGGTGCAGTCTATTTCCCAGCAGACTCAAACGTCCGTATCATTCAGCAGCACTTCTACTAATGTGACAACGTCGTTTAGCAACAAGGTCCAAGTAAGTGTTTGATCTTCAAGTCTTAGCTTACAGGGTTTCACGCTAAGTAAATCAAACTCTGCTTATGAATAGTTCTAAACATACTGTGGGGGGGAAAAATGTCTGGATAATTTTAATAATGTTTAAAGTAAGGGTGCTTAAAGTAGACTGTTTTTTTTTTACTTCGCATACACTAAGAGACGCCTCTGCTTTATTTTTTTATCAATTTTAACAAACGTAAAGGTTTGTTTTTTGCAATAAGGGATTTGTGGTTGAAATAAGCATGGAAACTTAATTCTGCAGTGCAACATTAAATATTAATTACACTTTAGTAAAAGCTCTTCAAAATTGGTATAACAGTTCAACATCAATAATAAAAATTGGTAATAAACTATCTTGAAATTTTCCTGCGAACAACGGTTTGCGTCTAGGTTGTTGTGTTTCTCCCAAATTGTTTAAAATATATGTAGCAAAACCTCTAAATCGAAGGAAAAGGAAATGCAAGGGTATGGGTATATAACTGGTTGTAACTTGCTTATATACGTTACAATTTGTCGACGATCAATTATTGAACGTCTTTGAGGAGTTTGATTAGGTAGATTGTGCCTACATAGATTTCTCGAAGGCGTTTGATCGGGTGGGCCATGTGCATCTAGTTTCTAAGCTTAGAGCTATGGGCCTGGGGCTGGGCTGGTGCAATGGATTAAGTGTTTTCTGTCTGGTCTTACTCCATTGGTTTATATTAACAATTATCTCTCAGGTAAAATTTATATTTTTTCGGGAGTCCCTCAAGGTTCTCACACTGGACCCATCCTTTATAACTTGTTTGTAAATGATATTGTTAGTGTAGTTTCGAAATAGCAGTGTCTTTTGTTTGCGGATGATTTGAAGATATTCAGGAGGGTTGGATCGGGCGAGGATGCCCTGCTGCTTCAGAGGGACAGGGACAGTGTTTGCAGAGAAATAGTCTTGCGTCCAATGTAAAAAATGCTGTGGTATTAGCTTTAGTCATTCGCTGGGTATGGTTCACAAGCTATATAGCATTGATGGAGTCGATATCGAGGCCGTTACTAGCATTAAAAACTTGGGTGTTTTCTTCGATTCTAAACTAAGTTTTGTGACACATTTTGCAGAAGTGGTAACAGGTCTATGTGAATCCTTGGGTTGTACGCAATAGTGGCCAACTTACTCCTCATTGCCTTAAACTCCTTTATATCTCTTTGGTTCGCGCTAGACTGGAGTATGCATCTGTGGTATGGTCTCCATATTATGCCTGCCATATAGATAACATCGAAGCCGTTCAGAAAGTATTTTTAAGATCTTTGGCTTCAAAGGCGCATATCAATATCTATAATGGGTATCAGATCAACTACAGTATTATAGCTAATGTCTTCAGTATTGATACTCTTTAAACCAGAAGATCTCAAGAGTGATTTAGTTTTTCTCTTTAAGATTCGGAATGGTTGGTATTATTGTCCAGCTCTTTTATATAGCATACAATTTAACGCACCTTACAGAAGCTGTGGTAACTAAATGTTCCGCATATCTTACCATTGCGCAAATTATGGAGTTTATTCATCCCTTACCACAATGCTGAAAGCGTGAAACTGTTTAAAGCTTGATCCTTTCGTCGGTAGCCTCCGGTCATTTCGTTCTGATGTGTTCCAATTCTATTTATTGTTATTGTTACATTTTGTTCTAGTTTCTAGTTGTTATACCGCTGTCTTTCTCTTTTTACCCTTAATGAATATAAAAGTTTTGTAAATTGGTTAAACCGTGAATAAATAAATTAATTAAAAAAATAAATAAATAGTGGGGTTGATGAACATCCAGAAAACAAGGTATCTTTCAATAGGAGCACGATCATCCAACATCTGACCCGGTTCAGATGATATTGCAATAGTTATACTGACACTAATAACTCGGGCCAGGAGATTAACTTTTTGTTGAAATCCTTTGGAGTTACAAGATAGGGAAAACATATAAACACAACATCTATGAGACATTAATTAAAAGTTGTTCATTGTATGGAGCCGAGATATGGAGAAATACTAAGAACAACAAAAGGGATTTGGAGACCAGGTGGTCATTGGGAGTATCCAGAATAGAGAGCAAACATAATGAAGAAGTTCACGTGGCAGTAGAGGGAATTACTATTGACAGATACAGAACAAAAGCAACGGATATTATATGGTCGAGGAACACTGAGAAAAACTTGGAAGGAGGGAGTTTCAAGGGTGATCAGCTTAAGAAACTTATAGATCAATGAGATAATAGAGGATTATAGAAGTTTTATGTATTTATTTAATTATTTACGGTTTAACCAATTTACAAAGCTTTACATTCATTAAAGGCAAAGAGAGAGAAAGACAATAATATAACAGCTAGAGACAAGAACCAAATATAACATTAACAATAAATTGAATTAAGTGGTGGCACTCAAACGGAACACATCAGAACGAAATGTAAGGGGAGTTATCACAGCTTCTGTAATATGCGTGAAATTGAACGCTATGTAAAAGAGCTGGACAATAATACCAACCATTCAGAATCTTATAGAGAAAAACTAAATTACTCTGAAATCTTCTGGTTTGAAAAGTATTAATATTGTAGGTCTTAGTTGTAATACTGTAGTTGATCTGATACCCATTATAAATATTGATATACACTTTTGAAGCCAAAGATCTTAAAAATACTTTCTGAACGGCTTCAATGTTATCTATATGACAGGCATAATATGGAGATTATATCACAGATGCATACTCCAGTCTAGAGCGAACCAAAGAGATATAAAGGAGTTTAAGGCAATGAGGAGTAAGTTGGCCACTATTGCGTACAACCCAAGGATTCACATAGACTTGTTTACCACTTCTGCAAAATGTGTCACAAAACTTAGTTTAGAATCGAAGAAAACACCCAAGTCTTTAATGCTAGTAACGGCCTCGATATCGACTCCATCAATGCTATATAGGTTGTGAACCATACCCAGCGAATGACTAAAGCTAATACCACAGCATTTTTTACATTGGACGCAAGACTATTTCTCTTAGACTACATGTAAACACTGTCCCCGTCCCTCTGAAGCAGCAGGGCATCCTCGCCCGATCCAACCCTCCTGAATATCTTCAAATCATCCGCAAATAAAGGACACTGCGATTCCGAAACTATACTGACAATGTCATTTATAAACAAGTTAAAAAGGATGGGTCAATTGTGAGAACCTGGGGACTCAAGAAAAAATATCAATTTTACCTGAGGCATAATTATTAATATGTTAGTTGGTATCTTGTCTTGGATAAGTATAATCGATTGCATTCTAATTTTAAAAATCAACATGAATTGATTGACTGTATGCCTAGAAGATCCGTCTGTCTTAGATGCTTAAACGAAATATTCAAAATCATAAATAATAATTTTTTAAAATATTTTTCGATATAATAATAGAACTTTCCATACTTATGTTCAGCTTTCTTTTGAAATTCCTTTAATATTTCAATATATGAAATAATTCTTTGTAAAATGACCTAATATCGTTTTAAAAACCGTTATAATTATGTAAAACGCAGGCATAATTTGCAGAAACAGATATGCTCATGATATTAATTTTTTCCACCACTGTAATAAATAAAATTTGTCTAATGGTCTAGAGTGCCTTGTTTTCATATAGGTGCTACTTGACTACACCGATAAAACATCACATCAAAAAATGTTGAGTAAGGAATTTAAGTATTCACGTGGGTGAGTTATTTCAAAGTTATATTCACTGCTAAAAATATACAAGGGTTCATTTACATTATAAACCAAAATGGCGTCGTATCTTTGACATTTGACAGATTTCATCATTCGGAATCACAGATTTCGTTTCCTCAAATTTACATGGCAAGAGTTTTTTAAAATTTGAAAATGAAAAATTGCTAAGATTTGGTTTTGAGACGCTTAAAATGTTTTTACCTGTTGCTATTGTATGGGACGTTTTAAGTACTCTTACAAGCTATGGTGTGTTTAGGTTTCTTTGAAGGTAATTTAGTTTTTAGCAAAATCTAAAATTTTATTATTTATTATTTATAAAACTTCTGGATTGCTCCTACGTCGGTTGTAGATGAATCGAACTTGGTAACATTGCGCCAATCATCCTGTTGCCTTCTTCACAGCTTAACTGATTTATCAACAACCGACGCAGGAGAAATCTCGAATATTTGTAAATAGTATTACATTAAAAAAATAATTTATTTCTTATCTATCTGTACCTAGTAGATTCCACCTTGGAAGCGGAACCACAATAATAAAAACTGAAAATTAATTTTTGACATTTGTGGCTTTGTCATGTTACCATTTTATTTAATTTAATATTTCGCAAGAGAAGTGTACACACTTTTGTGTTTTTTATTTACTGAATTATTGGAATACGGTTTCAAAATAGGTTACCAATTAAATTAAAGTAGCATGCAAAAACAGTCAAGCATTCCTGTCAACTGCAACTTACGGGTCCCGACAAATGAAAGGAACCACATTGCTTATTTATTTAATTTTTCTTGAGTGACGTAACAATATCACTTTTCATATTTCGACAGAAACAAATAAAATATTCATTGGCGGGGAAGTTAGGACAAATATCTCCCAGTGCCTACGTCTCTGATATTCCAATTTTTATTTTACTAAAATGTCTTAAGTAGCGTATCATGAAAACAAGATAGCATATAAAAGAAACTTTTATATGTAATATTTTGTATTGCATTGTGGGAGGTATTGCAAAATCCTTTTCCCATATCAAACTGGTACGCAGTTCTGGTGGACAAACATTATTCCTTATATGAGAACAAAAGTAGATTGTAATTATCGGTTTGACATTCATATTTCGATTTTCAGTAAAAAATTTATTTTTGAAGAGCTATTTTTTTATTCCTATTCAATTTCAAGGGACCATATAAATCATTCATAAAATTATAATCATGAAATCTTTTTAATAAAACTTCTGGATTCCTCCTGCGTCGGTTTTTGTTGAGTCGAACTAGCTAACGTTTCGCCAATCATCCTGTTGTCTTCTTCAGATCTTGACTGAAACTGGCTCGTATTTTACTCTGTACCTGGCTTTATATTGTTTGAGGGTGCGGAGTTAAATGAGGGGCATAAACACTGTCTCGAACGACGGATTCTGATATTTTTGACGGGTAGAGATCTGAGTCGCGGTTAAGATTGTTAGGTTGCTAAGACAAATAAACTCATCTGCAGTTGCCGAACGCAATCACGAAACCGGATATAAAATTTTATTCGATAAAAGTAAAATTTTTGCATGTAATCAATTCTTCTACCAACGAAAAATCTGGGTGTCTATAGAAATCTATAAGCAACCTAAAGGTGGCTTCCCACGGCCCGTGTTTTTGCAGGCCCGGACGCGCCGGCTCGCGCCAACCGGCCGTAGGAAGACGTCGCCTGAGGTGGCGTGAGGAGGTCCGACGGATCCGCAGCGAGTCCGTAAATTCAAAGGTGCGAACCGGCGCGGCGCGTTCATGCCTGTGCAGACCTGTTGTTATTGGGGTAGACAGATATCTTCATTGTTTTTGCGGCTCTACAACAAGTTGTTTTGGTGTTTTTTTAGCGTTAATATGGAGTGGACGAACGCAATTACTTACACATTTATTAATTTATATAAAAATGAACCCGCGTTATGGAATACAAAAAGTGACCGTCATAAAAACCGAAACGAGCAGCACGGTTCGTGGAGTCGTATTCAAGATAAATTAAAAGACAATATTGGTGGCCTTACGATTATGTATGACAGCGGCTGCGGCAACAGTTTTTTCTTCTTCCGACATTACTGATAATCACGAAAAACAAATTGTTAGTAATCACCAACCCCGAACACCAGTAAACACAAAAATATGTAGACAGCTGATTTGTTTTGAAAGGGTACTTGGGTACAAACACGCCGCGCCGTGGGAAAAGTTCGGCCTGAAACCCGTTCCGATCCACGCACTGCCCGTTTTCGCGTCACGGCGCGGCCCGGTCTGTAAAATTTCGGGCCGTGGGAAGCCACCTTAACAATCTTAACCGCGACTCAGGTCTCTACTTGTCACCATTTAGCTCCGCCCCCTCAAACAATATAAAGGCAGGTTGATGGCGAAAAGTATTACAGTATCCTGGGAAGTTTCTTTGGAAAACATAATCATGAAAATTAATGTTTATTTTAAAGACGGTAAGAGTTAGACATAGGGAAACTTGAACAATATTGGGTTAGTTTCTTTCCTATAATTGGAAAATGGAAGAATATACACTGCGCGCTATTTAAAAAGTTCAAAATCTTAATCTTGAAACCCCCTATTTGTTCCATTAAAAGTGGTATGCAAGAGTCTGTCTGGAAAAGTTCAGCTTTCCGCTAATTAAAGCATAGAACTATTAAGTTTTCTTCTAGGGTCCAATTTGATTAAAATTCTAAGATATTTTTTATTTCGGTATCGGAGAGACATAGGTATAGGGAAACCTGAAGAGAATCTACTTGAGTAATTTAAAAAATAATATCTGTGTAATTTAAATCCTGCGCCACCCTGTATAGCTTGCTTCTCTCATCCTGGAGTAGTTCAAATGAATGTATTTTTGACGGCAACAAAATATTTACTTTATGAAACATATTCGTAGTATTAATTTTGTATTGAAACGGGAAAACATGTAACCGATTGGATCTTTATTTTAATTAATCTGCACAGTGTTATAGTTTTCTTTTCATTCAGGTTGCGCCAATTACTGACCCATGTATGGCAGGCCCGAGCGGACTTAATGGGAAGTCCAGTTTAATGGAATCAGACCAGATATTTATCAAACGGAATGCAAAAAAATATGAGGATTTGCCCAACGAACTTCTCTTAAGTAATTGCAGTTTAAATTCAAGTTCGAGCGGCAGCAGTAGCAACAGTTTCGAAAACAAAAACTCTGCCAATGAGAATTCCGAACAATGGGAACCTAAGCTTTGGTTAAATAGTTCCGGTAGCAGTCTTAACGTAACTCTAACTCCGTCGGAAAGTACCAGCGAATTATCGGTGTTAAGCATGAATAATCTTGTGGTTCCAATGTCCAACGGATCGATCGCTACCACCGGGACGAACAAAAAGGTGCCCGCCGCTATAAATCGCAATGTGAAATCGTCTTCTACAGGATCAATAGCAAAAAGCATAAGCTTCGATATGAGCGTCGATAAGGGATTAGATGGAGAAAGGTCAAAGAGGGGGGGCTTCTTTGGAAAATTGCGGAACGGGTTTAAATCTAGAAGAGGAAAGTCATTCAGGAATCAGGATGATTTCAGGTGTGGAGATGACTTTTTATCGAAGAAACAGTTAAATGATTCTCCAGTAAAAACTACCAGCTTTGGTAAGTAACTGATTTAGCTTTGTTGCTTTAATACAAATTTTTATACTCATCATCATTATTAACCTGTAAAACTCAAACCTGTAATCCATAGCTATGATGATTGTTAAGCGTCCCGAGAGTTGGAGGTAGACGGATCGCTAGATCAGTTCTGTTTTAGTGCTTTTAGACTTTTTGAAGGCATTCGATACAATTAGCCATGGGCTGTGGGTAAACTGCGATACTACAGTTTCAATGTAGAATCTTCTAACCTTCTCAAATTATACTATGATATGATAAGAATAAATTTTAACAATTGTGCCAAGAATCAGGGAGTTATCTTAGACACCAAACTTAGGTTCAAAGAAGAGCTAAAAAAAATTTCAAAAATCCTTTGCCTCCATGAAAGTTTTATATAAATGAAACAACTGATCATGTATCACACATATACAATGATATAAAATGGCTCAAAATGAATGACCGAAGAATCCTACATTTCTCGACATTTTTGTTTAAAGTAATGAATAATCCGCCAGTTTCCATAAAAAATCGCTTAATATTTCGTAACACTGTCCACAATATTAGTATTAGAAATAATGCCAAACTAATACTGCAATCTTTCAGCGCTCATTAGTAATATAGTTATGTTATCAAACCAATTAATTCGCCTCCAATGTTATAACCTAAAAGTTAGGTACTTAAATGTATATAATTTGTTTTTTCTGTCACTTATTTCCACGGTGTATAATTACAGCAATTTCTCTAAGTAAATTTTTATAGCATTAACATAGTATTGTTAAACTATGTTTGTCCTCGTTTGGTTCAGTAAAGTAGCCACAGGCTAGACTTGCGCCCAACTTTGACAGGTAAATGAAATTATTTCTTTGTTAGAATTTTGTCATATCATATTATTATTATTATCTATCTACGACTTGGTGTTTAAAATTGCAATTATAGTTACTTTCCGGTAGGTGTTGGCAATGTTCGTTCTTGTAAGCGGCCTTACTACGGGTAAATAATATTCACTTCTTTATTTGTCACATGATCTATCCAAAAGGTTCTCAGTATCCTGCGGTAGAGCCGCATCTCGGACGCGTTTAATCTTTTAGTTGTTGCTTCTGTCAAGGTCATAGATTCCATACCAAAAAGACAGCAGCGAAGGAGTCTTATTATTGACCGGTCCTTAAAGAGTGGGACCATTTTAATAAATAACACAAATTTAGCTTGTTTTACTGAATATGGCGATTTAGCTTTAGACAATTATACTTATTGGTTAGTAGATATAATATATACCGATTTTGCTAAAGCGTTTGATAGAGTTAGTCACGATGTTCTTCTGGTGATTAGTTTGGTCCTTTCGAGGGTCTTCTTATTTTGTGTGTGCTATATCTGAGTTTTCAAAAACAATATGAGGGGGTCGTTTCTGAACTTTTTACAGTACATTCTGGAGTAACACAGGGAACCTCTATCTTTTGACACTCTTATTAATGTCATGCTTTTTACTTTATACCAATATTTTAAATGTTTTAGGAAACTAGAATCCCGGAAAGATCGTGAGTTGTTGCAAAAACATATTAACGAAATAATAAAATGATCAGGAAGCAGTCATCTTGATTAGAATATTAAAAAATGTTATGGGATGATGTTCAGCAGAAAATCTAATCCAATTAAATTTTTGAACCTGGATTAAAATTTAATATAGACATATAGAACAGATCGTGTCCAAATTGTATTGAATGTCGGGGATGGTGATTCGAAAATCTCAAAGAACCTAGAGAACTTTAAATATGTCAGAAGTGTCAATTGTAGTATTGTTGAATTATATGGACTAAATTCTATGCAAAGTATTAAAAAAATATTTATTATTTCTATATAAGATATGTACATATTTATTGCTAATAAAAAAGACGCAAAAATAAAGTCCTTCTTTTTATATAAATTTTATATATTTTATTTGTATTAATATTTTGTTTTCATTGTATTTTGGTAAATGGGCACTAAAATTGAATGAACAGTGAAGTGTTAACTAATCTAAAACTGCGTGGTTAAGCACGTATTCAGTGATTGTAATCTATCATTGGGCGCAAGCTTGTTGATTACTTACTTAATAAAATAAAACCAATTTGCTCATAATTGCATATTGCTAATTAGAATTATTTGCCAGATTTGCCGGACGATATCCTCGCAAAATATCGAGTGAAGCCGTTTATTGAAGACAGTCCCAACAAAACCAACGCCGAAAAGAAGTTTATGAAGAATGGCACCGGGGTTCACATTGAAAGTGATATAAATACTTTTAGCGATATTAAGAAAAAGTTGCGATTAGTATTAGCCAATACTTCAGAAATACCATTTTACATCAAGGTAAGCCGTGGTTCCGAATTATTAATATGCGAGGTGATTCACAGCGGATGGCGGGTTAGACGACTACGTTGCATAAGGCGAAAATGCCATGCGACCGTTGCCGTTTCCTCCAAAACGTAACAATATCTTTGATATTTAAATTATACGTTATTGGAATAAAAAAAAAAAGAAAACGAAAATTTGCACGCAGTAGCGGATACAGCTACTGCTGACTGGACAGGAAATTAAGTATAAAAGGGATCATAAATTAATATTAAGAATACAAACAAGTGTGAACCAATACATTTCCTTTAATATTATTAAAAAAACTCTCTTCGCCATTTATAAAATCAGAGAAGTCCTCTTATAAGGCGCTTCTTCGACATCCCAACAGTTCCTTATTAATTTCTCTGTATGTTCGACATATTTGTTCAAGTACTTGAACAACGCATATGATTCAACGCATCTGGCCAGACCATTTGAAATTGCTCAAATTTAAAACCAGATTTTGCCATATTTAGTAAAGGATTTGGATGTTGTTTTTCAAATTATGTTTGGACTCAAACGAGCATCCCATTTTGATATCAGTTTTTCTTGCACCCATTTTCAGTTTCACAGTTCATATTGTCATACATTGCCTTTTTCTGTTGGCACATTTTGCAGACTGCTTCCTCTTGGCAAGATTTTAAACCACTTCTACGTTTAGTCTAAAAATATCACTTCTCTAAATTTTGATATGTAATTTCCACTATATTTCTATAAAAATTATTTACTCACTATCTGTAGCAAAAAAATATACAAAGTATTATGCTTTTTTAAAGTTTCTTTCAAAACTTTGTCATTTTCACATCTTTCCTCAAATCTTCTTTGACTTTCTTCGCTTACACTTTTTAGTCTTCCTCGGCATTATATTGTTTTTTTTTTCAGGCACAATTTGCTGGACAGTTCTTAAACTGATTCCCAGTGCTTTAGCTGCTATTTCTTCGATATTCGTTAGCGATTTTTCACATTCTCTTTCATTTTCATAATAGTTTATCAAATTTAAAACCATTGTTTTTGATTGGAAATTAAACAGCCATTTTTGTTAGTCATAGAGTACCTTAAAATTATCAAACCCTCATAAGTGATAACTGTAAATCAAATTTATAAGTATATCCTTTTTTTATGTCAAGATAAAATACGCCTGTGTTATTTATCTTACGAATTTTATTTGGACCGCACAATTAAATAAGATGAAATGAAACCAAACGCGGAAGTTTGTCGTTGATAAATCGTAAACCCCTCCGGATAAGGCCTGTTTTAACTATATATGTCTGAAATTTGATATTTCACGGCTTTGTACAATAATGGCGAAGTGTCAATTTTTTAAAATATGTAGTTTCTTATAAATAACGGAATTTTTTGGCGTATTTGACTTTCGGAGTCGTGAAATTTGCGTACAGTCCAAAAAAGTATACCCAATTTTTGGTTAGTTTTACAAGTTACAATTTGATACAGACTCATGACACCGAGGAACTAGGAAGGAGCACAGTATTTTTTTTTGTGGTGTAATTTGGAAACAAAAATCTGTATATAGAAAACAGACCAAACAGAAAACTTTTGAACAAATTGTTAATTTCATTAAGATTAAGATAAAGAATAAGAAAAAAGTGAATCAACGCGTTTTCGGATTTTAAAAGATTTTCAAACCACTGGTTGATATATTTTTTAAATTTGATTATTCTATAGTTTCCTGAATACATGGTTTCTGTTTTGGTTTTCGTCCACATAGTCTAAAAACCAGTGGGTGGCAGACTCTATGTATTTTACCAAACTTAAAGTTTTGCTACCTTACATGAAATACACTCAGATAAGACAGGTACCCAAATCAGACTAACCTCTGAATTATTTTAACAAAGCTGCCATTTGGTCAGATTAAAGAGTATAAATGCAACCACAAACAGTAGTGGTAGACGATTTTGTTGGTTTAAGCCCGGGACTTCACAATGCGTTTTAGCGGGACCCGTTTGGCGAGAATGCAGTCTTGGGTCTATACATATGCGATAGAACGGGAACTATGTTTTACATAAATAAAGATTGATAATTAAGGATTGTGCTTTTGAACATAGAACATAGAATTACCATTTTTTTTGCGGAAAAGTAGCATTTCCATTATTCGGGCTTTATAATTGTCGCAATCAGTTTTTTTGAATATAAAACATGTTTTACAGAGTTTGAAGTTATATTGAGTCCAATGATATGTGAACCCAAATAAATACTCTTCGATATGGGTAATAACTTGTAATTTTTATTGTTATTATTACAGATACACCTGTACTAAACATATTGTATTATTAGTATTAGCCAGCAAAAAGGAGAAGATGTACTGTGCATCCTAATTATCCCGGACAGGAATCTAGTAAAAGATTTATGAAATTTTGTAAAGTTATACGGAAATATGCAGAAAAGTGTTTTCATCAAAATATGTTTCAAGTTTATATTATATATCAGTTCTCATCTTCGGAATCATTTCTACTCCCATAATGCTTGTCATCTTGTTTATCATCTTGGTTGTTATCTGTAAAAATGATGTATAGATTTTTTTTGTGCATCTTGAACTAAGTCACTAACGCAACATGGAAGCTGATCTCCTTCAAACTCATTTACAGTACAAAATTATACAAAATTGGACTGTAGATAATATATCAAAAGTAGAAATAATTCCGAAGATGAAACTCAAACTGAAAAAAAAAAATTCTAATTTTTTGTGGTGGTTATACTTTAAGCTGTCATTTGTTAAAATACTTCCGAACCTGATCTGATTTTCGTACCTGCCTTACCTGAGTGACGTCACTTAATTTACTTTGGTAGCCAATACCAATACTGTTTCCGCGACGCGATGAGTCGGAGTCTTGTCACGTTGCAAATTGTCTGCTCGTCTAATGGCAGATTTTTTGCCTATTTATCTAAATTACATTTGTATATCAAAATTATCCAATTTCAAGATAAGCGGAATTGGAATCATTTAGGTATAGATAGGTATTATTAAAAAATAGTGTTGGTTAGTGTTTAAAAATATCAAAAATGCTACTTTTCAAAGAATATTATGTTACATTGTTTTACACAATTTTAGAAAATAACCTTAGTTCTCGCTTTCTATTCTATATAATAATATATAATCATGATATTTAAAATATTAAAAATAATTAAAAACAGAAACAAAAATAATCAAACTTAAACTACAATGGTTAGATCTAAAACATGTGTTATATGAGCATATCTCAATCTCAAGGATAGTTGAAGTACACTAAGTGACGAAACAAATGTCAACGAAAACTGTCAGCATAGTCCAGGGATCAGTCCTCGAAACCTTAGACTATCGGTCCTATTAAGTAAGTTGTGAAATTAAAAAAATTACCATTAAATATCTGTGATGTGATTTTAACTGATGACTCAATAAACTTTCAAGTCAACCTTTGACCTGTCAAATAGAAAAAACACAAGGGTATTTGAGTATTTTTCATGTCCATCCGGTTTTATTTTGTATATTTCTATATATAATCACAATCAGTTGCAGGGATAAGATTTATAAACCTTGCACTGTGGTGAAAAAGGGAAAAAGGCATTTTTTGTTTGTGTTCGTAGGTTCCATAAGGCGTTACATAGAAACCTTTAAAATAATTTAAAAAACTGGAACTTAGATAAAGCCAATTAACTAACTCTGTTTTGGTTTGTAAAATTCTATTTTTTAATCTCCCCTATAAAAAAAAATCTAACGAAGTTACATCACACAGACCAGAGAATGGGAGGGCCTCTAGCTCCGATTCAACATTGTCCAAACTCTTCATTTGAAAGTTCCCTTATAATTCGTGTGTTGTCAGCGGGGCAACTATCTTACTGATAATAAATATTGGTTCCAAGTATTAATTATTGAATTAAGTCTTCCAAAAATCGAACAACACATGCTCCCAAAATATTTATATAACCATCCACTGTTAGATTTTCGTAAATCTACCTCGGAATATTCCTACCCATACAGAGAATCCAAAGCGATCTTGCCTAATTAGATAAGCTATAGCATGGGGATTTTCTGCACTCCAGCGATAACAATTTCATCTATTAAATATTCAATGGGCAATGGAAAATTAATGTTTAATAATTTTTTTGTCCGAATCCAGAATTTTCAAAAGGGCCGAAAATTAAATGTTTCTCAAAAATGGAGCCCTTGATATGTAAGTCGATTTTGCTCTATCTAGTTCAGAAATAGGTTTTTCCTGTTAAAACACTCCAATTACTACCACCTTGTATAATTATTACTTGTGTGTATGACATTAATTTTCTCAGAGTGACTTATTGTGCCTCTTTTTATTTCAGAGGAATCCTTGTAGCGTCAAGACAAAACTCGAAACGATTTTAAGGTTGGAATTAGGAAAATCACGAAAGTTACGTGATTGGTGTATTGTTGCTCGAATCTCAGAAGCACTAAGATGTATCAATTTATTGGATGAGAAAAGGTGCCTCAAATTGTTCCATTCTATGAAAGATGATATTATTGTCAGATCTTCGTACATTCAGTATTTGATCACCTCTAAGCAGCAGCTACTGTTTTGCGAAATGTATTTGGATAAGTAAGTTGCGCAAATTTAAGATGACTTCGTGTTTCCAAATCCGTCGTACATTTGATGCTTTTTAATGTATACATCTATCGTTTGCAATAGTTTTTAGTTTGCAGGAACAAATTAAACACGACGGGTATCAGTGCGAAAATTATTTTGCAACAATTTGCGTCCGGGAATTTTTGTTGGAACAAGAATCTAATATATTGACCTTCTGTGATGAGTTTAAACAGCTGAACCTTGCCGATGAGAAGTACGATGTCTTAAAGAATTTCTACCATAAGCTTTACATTATTATGAATGAAAGTCCATTTTGGCATGGTACTGCAAATTTGTATATCTCGTGATCATTCAAATGTTAATGTCATATTTTTAGATGTGCTTCATAAGAGAGGCAGACTGATAAAGCTAATTTTAGAAAGATACATTATAAGCAGGGTGTACAATAATGCGATTTATCCCAATGGTGACGGAGATCGTGATAGAGACAGGTAAGATTTTGAGATTGTTTTTTTTTTCTTTAGTAATTTTGGATATGTAAATTTTAAATACTTATTACGATTTATGTACGAAATTTGCCTTACTCATTTCAATTGACTTTTTCAAAAATAAAAGGCAAATAAAATTACTTCAATGGCCACAATTAATCCATACAATTAACCAAATTGATATGGTTCTAGTGTCACCAACATTTACTTAAAATTTTTAATTATGTTAAAAAGTTGAATGATCATCACAATAACCAACGCATTTATTCCCAAAAACTCACCTTTTTTGTTTGGAGATTTCAACTACGCAAACATAAACTGGGATAACCTTGGTGTACCCACTAGATAAAAAAAAACGCAGAAAATATGGCATGTGACGCATGGATGTGTGGCAAAAAATAATATCCTACCCGATATAGAAACACTCAGAGCTGTCTTTTGGACTTATTTTTGTGCAATGGGGACAAAGGTATTTTTTATTTGAAATTAGAACCACCTGTTTCATCATGCAAATATGGGAAAGTCGATAGCTTTATCATGACACAACCACATAATTTAGGTCAAACAAATTTTAGAAGCTTTAAGCGAGTTCTGAATGAAGCTGTAGGAAGACTGCAATAGTAAACTAACAAAGGAAGTGGATAAATCAACCATTGTTCTAAGAAATGAACCAAAAACGTAAACTGTGGGAATAATAAGACATATGAAAATTGTTAGAGGTACTGACTCAAAAAAAAAATTGGAGGAAGCTAGAAGGACATATGAACGTGGTTTAGTAACTTCAGAATCTCTAAAACAACCATTCAAAGATATCACTAATAACTTTGAAAGTTACAATAACGCAAGAAGTTTTATATCCAATAACCATGGCAGAAGAATTTGCAAAACAGTTAAACAAATCCTTCATTTAACATTCCGCACCGAAATTAAATAAAACCATTTCACTAAAGAAAAAGGTAAAGAAACACTTAAAAACCTGAAAACAGGTTCAAGTCCAGGCCCAGATGGCGTTTTTTCTTCAACAGATATACTTTTTCTTCACTATGAAAAGTCTTTTGACAAAGTACCATATAATTTGTTGCTTGTAGGACAGCTGTTGAATCTAATTACAGATTTGCTAAATGAAAGACACTACCGGGTGAGAGTAAACAATGTTCTCTCCAGTCAACAATTGGTCAGTAGTGGTGTTGTTTAGGGTTCTATTATTTTATTTATTATTTATTAAGTACGTCTTTGATGTGGTTAATTTGGTCGACACAAATTTAAAAAACTTTGACGATGACAAAAAGCTCTATGGCAACCCCATCTTGATACAGCAAACCTCCAGGGGAGTTGAGAACTGGTCGAACACATTATAGTAAGGAATATATACTGAACAGCACCATATTGTCTACAGTGTCAGAGCAAACTGACCTTGGAGTTAACTGCCAAATAAGCCAATTCTTTTATAAATCTATTACAACGCACTTTTAAAGACCACTTAATACACATGATAGCAAAGCTCGAATATGCGTACACAGTGTGCAAATCCATACTACACTAAAGATATAGAAATGTTAGAAAAAATTCGGAGACGTGTGACTAAAATTACAACAAAATTACAAAACATGAGCTACACTGAAAGATTTGCCAAATTTGAACTCACAACTCTAAGGGAAAGAAGACAGTGGAGATTCAATAGAGACATTTCAAATAACAAGTGAACAATATACTTGTAATATTGATACCATTTTTAGCCCCAGTCAAAATCCGCAACTTTAGACAACACTCAAAAAAATTGAACAAAGAAAAGTCGGCCAAATTGAGAAGAAAAAAATTTCTGTCGGATCGGGTGGCGTATTCTTTGAACGCGCGTGCAGAACATACTGTTACTGCTCCTAGTGTAAATCTATTTAAAAACCGATTAGACAAAGAACTAGAATAAAATACATTGGGAATGCTACAAACAGTACATAAACAAAATAGGTGAATGTATTACTCAAAAACATCAGTTTTATCGCCTGCCATTGGAACATTACATGATTACATTTGACAGAATTTGATTACTGCACATTTTTCATATGCCTACCGATTACTCTGATAGCATAACCAACAGTGGTTAGTTTTGAACATACAGTTTTTATGAGGGTCCCGATCTAGATATTCATTTCTATAACTTCCCAAGAAATTTGTATTTTCTATAAACTCAGCATTTATTTTATTTAACTGTATATAGTCAGGAATCAGAGTGAGTTGACTTTGAAATAAATTCGTTTTTGGTAGTTTTTTGCTGCTATTTATTATTAGTTTGTTTTGCCTAAACCTCAAATGTATTTCTTTAAATTTTTGGTTTTATTTATAATGTCGGATATATATTCTCGAGGTAGTAGGATGTGTGTGGATGTGTATTATCCAGTTGAATGCTTTACTTCTAATATGTATATATAGTCTGACACACGTTAAGTGGTCATGACAGTAATAATGATATTAACATTTTTATCTATTCGTTGCCAAACCAATCCAGGGTAGTAAGGAAATTGAAACTGAATAATTGTAATTATATAAATAATAAATATTTATTAAATAAAATGAGTCTACAGAACAGTTTGAATCTGTGCTATTAACGCTATATCAATGATTTTACGTTGTCTAAAGTTATTTCCTCTTCAAGTACATAATTAACACATTCTGTCCAACTACTCTTTGGTATTAGTTCACACTTAATTACGTTGACTACATGGGTGACCTTTTTTGGGTGTATATTATTGCGTCAAACTTTTTTTTTTTTAATTTGGCCTATATCATTTCTATAGGATTCAAATCGCAGTGGTAATTTAATGACCGGTTTTTTTATGACCACACGTTTTATTATACGATTTGGTTCTTAAAACTTCAACCAGTTTTTTTTGCGTAAGTATCTTCAAAATAGTACAACATACTGACTAAAGAACTCTTGAAACTGTTCATTGTATATTCTACATATTTCAATTATACCTTTTAATGCTAAACATATTTTGTGTAACATTATATTGAATAATCTTATTTAAAATATTTGCCATGTTACAAAAATTATATGAATTACAATGTGTGTCCATGTTTTTTTCTTCTTTCACGCTCCCAAAATCAAATGTTTTCCTTCAATATATATCCTATACATAGTTTCCAAGATGTATTACATTTTACATAGACTAAACGCCATGTATTTTTTAAAAATATTTATATTCTAGAGATTAATTTTCTTTTAGAGTCTTGCGAGAACATATCGAACATCTGTCAAAGTTAGTCACGCCAGAACATAAAGACTTGAGGATACCGAAGATTTATCTTCGCGAAAGCCCGTGGTTACCCGCACAGGACGCGCTCAGAGCGTTGGATGTGTGTAGAACACCCAAAGATAAGTTGAAATGCATTTTGCGCTGTGCAAAAGGTATCATGGATCTACTTTCCCTCTCTCAAAATAGCGGCTCTACTACGGCCGACGATTTTACTCCTGTGTTGGTTTATGTGATAATTAAGGTAAGATAGTCTTGTATTGAAACTCCGCTTCAGACAAGAATTATTTCTTTTTCATCACTTTTAAGATGGTGATAGGTAAAGATACAGATCCGAACCATCTTCCAATGCTTAAAGACCGCCCCTCTCATTTCATCAATGAGCACATTTAAGTTGTTAATTTTTAAGTAGTGCTGTGGTATCACCAGCAAAGATAGCCAGCAAGTTTAACTAGATAATAATGAACTAAAAAAAGAACTGAGCGTCAGAATTCCAGATACTTTACCCCCACAGGACTGCTGAATCCGGTCAGCCAAATAACTGCAAACAAGTTTGATAGCTTGTTCGTGAAACCCCCATAATGTCTTTACAAAAGTCGCTGCTTTAGCAGATATCCGAACACCTTTGATAAGATCGGCATCAAAGCTATTGGTTGTTTTTATCTCCAGTATCCTCTTGACTTTCTAAACAATTCTGGGTAAATTATCTCTCCTGTACAGCTATTTATCAAATATGTTAATAGTATAACAATGGTATCCTGAAGGTTTTTCTAACAGAGTAACATTTTATCCAAACAAATCTGTGCTAGCCTTTGACTTTATCTACAGCATCTTGAACACAACAGAAACGCCTTTCACGGTGCACATATTTCTGAGAAATTTCTTCTAATTTTCCTGGCAACTGCATAAAAAAAAAGTGATCAGCACTTTTATTTTATACCTTTATGATTTTTTCCTACAGTCGTATGCACACGATATTCACATATCTGTGTTTATTTGGTGTATGTACCATGCGTTCAATCATCTTGCTAACATTATAATCGGCTGTAACTTTTTTCTTTCAAGTGACGTATAAAACAAAACACTATCAATTTTCTGACATATAAGCCTACGTCATATTTTTTTATATGGAATATCCTGTATATTAATATGTGTTTAATAGAATATCTTATTTAGATTACAATGATGTAACACACCTTATATTTTAGTCCACTCGTTTTTGATAAATCGGCAAAAAAAAATTTATCATTTCAAAGAGTGCCGTGTGTAATCGTAATCGGATATTTTATTAAACACATATATGATATACAGGGTATTCCATTTAAAAATATCTCTTGTAGGCTTATATGTCAGAAAATTGATAGTGTATTGTTTTATACGTCACTTGGAAAAACCTTGGCAACTAACCCTACATTTTGTTTTTTTTTTACCTTGATATCTCTAAAAACAAAGTTATAGTCAATTAAAATGTTATCAAGATAAATTGAACGCACGGTACGTATTTTATTTTAATATCTACCGCCAAGTCATATTTACCAATTCTATAAAATCTAACTTTGGAACTTTGTCGCTATACGTTAAAGTCCAATTGAAAAACTATGATATAGTATGATCCAAATCAGTAAAAAAATTGGAACTATAAATAAATAATTTTTAGGTTAACCCGGAAGCTTTGCTTTCAACAATCCAGTTTGTGAATAGTTTTCAAGGTCAACTGAGTGGTGAAGAACAATATTGGTGGACACAATTTTGCGCCGCTGTTGAGTTTATTAAAACAATGGATTACTCAGATTAACAAGAAAACATATTATATATATATAGTGTACGAATATTACAGTAAGGTGTATAATATAGTCATGTATTTTTATTAATTAATAGCAAAGATAGGAAACAATTTATATATTTTAAATAACGAATATAACATTCAAAATACAAAATATAATAAATCTTGTAAATTGCATTGATTTTAATAATAAATCCAGTTCATTATTCCCATTCTATTAGTTTTAAGTCTACATATGGCCGTAAATTTCTTCTTTAGGTGCCATGCAGATAGCTGCTTAGGCGTCCTCCCTTTTTCGTATCATATTTCCATATCATTTACTACTGCTTCCTGGAGCGACTGAAAGTCGCTTATACCCGTCCACTGGCGAATATTTCTGAGTCAAGACGCCCTTTTCCTTCCGATACTTAGTCTTCCACCTTCAATCTGTCCCTGAAGTATTAGACGTTGAAAGTCATATCGCTCTCCCCGTATAATGCGTCCCAGGTAAGAGATCTTTCGTTGTTTAATATATTCGAAGAGTTCTCGGTCTTCCAATCCAGCCGTCCTAAGCATAACCTCGTTCCTGACCCTTTCCGTCCACGGTATCTTTAGCATCCGTCGCAGAGTCCACATTTCGAACGCTTCAATGTGGTTGATAGAAACAGCTTTAAGCATCCACGCTTCCGCTCGATATAGAAGAACTGACCAGACAACACTTAACGATTCTGTACCTGAGTTTGAAATTTAGATTCCGGTTGGTGAGGATTTTTTTTAGTTTTAGAAAAGTTGTTCTTGCTTGTTCTATCCTGCATCTAATTTCAATATTATCAATTTTCTCAAATATTTAAACTTATTGACCCGCTCTATTGAGTTGAAGATATAGGTTTGGCACGACATCTCTAGATATAATCATAAACATCGTTTTGTTGGTGTTAATCTTTAGGCCCCTTTGTTGGCTTGCCTCATTGATAGTATTTAGTAGGGTTTGCAGATCGTTAGCATTATCGGCTATTAATGTTGTATCGTCAGCGTAGCGTATATTATTAATTGGCATACCATTAACTATAATACCCATGGGTCTCTCAGATATTATCTCAGCAAAACCTCTCTCCACATAGAGATTGAAAAGCACTGGGGATAGAATGCAGCCCTGCTCCCTTCCTTATTTCAAATTCCTTTGTTGTTGCTGAAGATGTATTTCAGCCGCCTGGTGCCAATATAGATCAGCAATCAGTCTTACATCTGTGTCGTCTAATCCAAGTTCTTGAAGATATGTTACCAGGAGTTCATGTCTACGTTATTAAATGCCTTTTCGTAAGCAATGAAACATATGAATCCTTTCTTTCTTTGGTCTTCCTGCACCAATGTCTGCATGCTGAAGGTGGCCTCTTTGGTTCTAAACCCGTGTCTTAAGCCAAACCGCCTGAACCCGCTGACCTCTTCGCATGTTCTGGAGAGTATTGTGTGCATCATTCGAAGAAGAAATATACTCATTGAGCTAATAAGGCAATAGTCTTTACATCTTTGTGCGTTATTTGATTTTGGTAGGGTTATTAATTTGGAACAAAGCCAGTCTATGGGGATGTTTCCAGTGTCGTATATATTATTAAAAAATCTTGTTATTATTTTTGTTTTGATCAATTATGAACTGGAAGGTTTCATTATTAAAAAAGTTAATTGCATAAATTTTCCACGTTTCTAGCAGATTTTCGGGCTCTAGTATTATTTCATCTTCTTCATTTCGGCTGTGGGTTGTTGCTATTTTCTTGTACAGACCTGCCATTCTGGTAAGGTGTTCTGCTTCCATGCATCCATGCATGCAAGCCACTTCTCCTTAGCAATTTTGATTTTATTGCGAGTTCTCCTCTGATAGTATCGATAGCCAGTTGTATCATTACGAATCTTACATTGTGTGCGTTGTAGTAGATGCGTGTTATTGGCGTTTCCAAATGTATTTTTGAAGTTAGCCCAGCATTCCTCGATGTCGTCTGTCGCATTGATGTTTGATAGCTCTTAAGATGGTTATCATACTTTGACCTAATGTCGCTGTTCTTAAGTAATCTGGGGTCGAATATCTTGCTGCCTCTTTTCTTTTCTGGCCTGGCTAATTTCAGTCTGATATCAGCATGATCGGATTCAATTGGGGTGATTTCCAGGTACATAATCTTCTAGGTTCGAGTTTGGACCAAGTATTTGTAATGACCAGATTGTTCGCATCGCAGAATTGAATGAGTCTTCCGCCTCTGTCGTGCCTTTCTCCGAGACCTCAGTGACCTACAATACCTTCCACTCTACTCTTGCCGACCTTTGTGTTCAAGCCGCCCAATAGGATATTCCTGCTCCATCTGCCCGTAAAATTGTTCAACTTTTTCTGAAGTGGGAACATATTTCTGAATTATGTTAATGTCTATCGATCCTCCGCAAAAGAGCAACCCTCTCAGAAACAGGGACAAAATTCTTTACCGATTTTTTTAGGCTCTCTTCTATTAGGATGCCCATTTCATGACGATGTTTTCTATCTATGTCGTCAGTAACACTATAATAAAATACTTTGTCCGTGGACCGCGTCACTCAGCCTATCAAGTTGTTGAGTTTCCCAGCTGCAAATAATGTTCGCAGATTCCAGGTTGCCACTTTGATCTTATTATCTAGTCGGAACCGGGAGGTTCTTCGCACCTCCTGACCACTTAAGGTCTGCCCGGGACTGGAGGCCGCTTGTTTCTGTTCTTCCAACATGATAAGACTGAAATCGGATGGATATCCTGGGGAGAGTTAATGCGGTGGTTTCCCTCTTCTCTTCCGCATCGCAGTACCATGGCCGTTGAACTGTAACAGTTTTGCCCATGGAAGTCCACTTTCCAATAGGTCCGGAAAACTTTTTTTGCGTTTGAAAGTGGTAATGATGATCGGTGCTGCCCTTCACCATGCTAGTTTTGGTCCGCCCCGGTACCACCACCCATATCTGGAATGCTTCCCCCTAACCGCCACCCGATGCAGGACTAGCAACCCCACATTACTAAGAGCTTCTATATTCACAAAATATATTTTGAATGTTCAAACTATAGATACGTAAGGCTTTGTCTATGCTTTTGAAGCTATAATAAAAAAATGTGGATAAGTGCTTGCGGCGTTGCACCATCAACATGCTCCCCGATAGTACGTGAAGTCGACAGTTTTCAGCGAGGCTTTGGGGTTAAGTGATTTGAGAACACTCGGAAATGTGTCGATTATGATTAAAAGAATGTATTCCATTTATTTGTTGTTGTGAATCAATACGTCTCGCGCTCTTCTCTGATTCATTTTGTGATTGCTATCACCATGTGTTTTATAGAACTGCTGATCAATATTGTCAATGTTATTAATGCGAGTTTTGTGAACGTAGTGAACCTTCACTAGAAAATTAGTGTCTGGTAAGTCTTATGTGTTGTATTTACAAGGTGGTGTACAGTGGTGGACCATGATTAGTGAAAATTGCAGTTACAACTACTAATTTTGTGCCACCCAATAAACATCCAGTCACAACCATGGATCAGATAAATAAAACTGGTTTCGAATATTTATTGAACTGAGGAGGCTTTTACTTGATGAAAATCCATTTATCGAAATAAATGAGAACTAAAAGTTCAGATTTTCACGAAATTATATATTTTGACATGACAATTGTTTCGACAACACCGTGTCTTTATCAATTTACAAACTACCTAATACTATATATACCGAAAAATGACAAAAAAGCCTTAATTAATGTTGTGAGAATTTAAGTGCAATAAAGGAGAGGTATTTAAATCTAATTGATCGTTAAGCAATACATTTGAATGTCTCATTTTGTTAATCTCCCATCTGTTCCAATAAATTTAATTTTCTTCTTTTGGTGGCTGTATGTAAAATATCAAATTTGTCATCAAAAATATGTTTTTCTGTGTTTAAGTGTGTAGCATAATTAAAATCTAGACTATTGTTTTTAAACGCGCTTATATGTTCTTTAATGCGTTTCTTGGAGGCTCTATCTGTTTGTCCAATATCAATTTTAGGACAAGATCCACATTTCAACCTGTAGACACCTGATTTTTGGGATTTTGAACATTTCGATTTATTGTTTTTTAAATGTTTTCCTATTGTGTTGTTAGTTCTGAAAGCTATTTTGAAACCACATTTTGACAAATGTTTTGAAACTTTTCACTCCCATGTATGTAATTGTTTTAAATTCGTTTTAAATTGTTCGTGTTCTGTATTAGGTTTCGGATAAATAGAGTTTACTGTTGTCTGTATTTGTTTTTTATTTATAATTTTATCTATAATGGACGGATTGTAGCCGTTGTTCAGTGCAATTTGTTTAATGATATTAAGTTCTTTGTCTGTGTGTAAAAGAGTTAAATGCAGCCATGTTGTGTATGACTGTGTCCGTGTGTGAAGGTTTATGACATTATTGAAAAATGTAATTTGTTTTACACTTTCGTAATAGTTCTAAAAAATTAATAGAGTTATCCGTTCAATCTCGATAGTGAATTTTATACGATTATGTATTGAGTTAATGTAATTTAAAAAAGAATTCAATTGTCTGTCCGATCCAACAAAGCAAGCAAAGACATCATCCACATATCTATACCACCATAAAAAACTTTTACTCAAAGGATGTTCTAGTATGATATTTTCCAAATTATCCATAAAAATCTCGGCTAACAAAGGACTAAGTGGGTTTCCCAAACTTTCTTTAGAGATATAAATCTATTCATTAAATTCAAAATAATTTTGGTCTAAAGATTCTATTAAGCAATCTAATAAATCTTGTTTCACCAATGGGTTAACCTGCTTCAGAGTTAGGGTGAAATCTACTAAATCTATCACACATCCATAAGGGGAATACTGGGAAATAGGTTTTGTACATCAAAAGACAGTAGTGTTGCGTTAGAAGGGATTTTGAGGTCTTTAATTTTGTTGATTAATTCCAAAGAATTTTTTATTGCAAATTTTGGTTTAAAATCTGTGTGGAACTTTCAAATATTTCCTAATTTTGTAGAGAGTTTAACTGCTGGAGCTGTTACATAAGACACGACTGGTCTAATGGGCAAATCTTGTTTATGTAATTTAACTAAAGAATATAATTTCGGCGGTTGTGGATTCATAATTGTTAAAAAATATTTGTCTTTGTCACTAAATAGTGGGGATTTAGTAATTACTTCTTTGATTTGTCTTTGATATAACTCGGTAGGATCGTGTTTGATACATTGGAAAAGTTCTGGTTTAAGAAAATTGTTGGTTTTTGAAATATATTCTGGGAGATCGATAGCTATGACTGTCTTTCCTTTATCTGCACGTGTAAATATTATGTTATTTCACAAGCTTTGTTTCTAATAGTTTTTACTAGTGACATTTGAGAAGGTCCTTTGTGTTTGTTGTTATCTATTAATTGAGAGTTTATTATATTCGCTATTACATGTTTGTTTAAATTAGCGTCGTTAATGTCCTTAATTGCTAATTCACAATCGATCCCAGTCTAATTCTCTATTAATGTATGAGTGTTCATTTTAAGAAAATGTTGTGTCTGTTAAGTTTATGAACCTGTTGTAAAATTGATTGTCGGTATATTTTTTAATAACTGGCTGGTTTCAGCTATTTTTGAAATAGAAATTAATAAATTCGGGAAATTAAAAACCAACAACAGAAGTCCCGCTGCAAGGAAAGCCCAGCAAGGCCAGACGAAATGGATGAAGGAAGAACGAAGCCACGAGTATAGAAAACAACATTTATGTAAAGGTAATACATTCTGAATTGTCTCATAGACTTAATCCCATAGAATTTGACACATTGATTATAAAGTTCGAACAGATATTTCTTCTATCATTCATAAAAAGTTTATTAGACAAAAACTAAAGTTAGACAAATTAATTTCTAATTCAAAAATAGCTGAAAGCAAGCCAGTTATTAAAAAGTATACCGACCATCAATTTTACAACAGGTTCATAAACTTAACAGACACAACATTTTCTAAAAATGAAGTTGAATTTCTGGAAAAAGGTTTCAACTTTAATTTACAACACTCGTACATTAATAGAGAAGTAGACTGTTTAGTTTTCAATTGTCAATTACCAATTAAGGACATTAACGATGCTAATTTAAACAAACATGTAATAGCAAACATAATAAACTCTCAATTAATAGATAACAACAATCACAAAGGAACTTCTCAAATGTCACTAGTAAAAACTATCAAAAACAAAGCTTGTGAAAATAACATAATATTTACACGTGCAGATAAAAGGAAGACAGTCATAGCTATCGATCTCCCAGAATATATTTCAAAAACCAACAATTTTCTTAAACCAAAACTTTTCCAATGTATCAAGCACGATCCTATCGTGTTTGATACATTGGATACATACACATAACTCCACATTATTTAGTGACAAAGACAAATATTTTTTTACAATTATGAATCCACAACCGCCGAAATTATATTCTTTAGTTAAATTACATAAACAAGATTTGCCCATTAGACCAGTCGTGTCTTATGTAACAGCTCCAGCAGTTAAACTCTCTACAAAATTAGTAAATATTTTAAAGTTCCACACAGATTTTAAACCAAAATTTGCAATAAAAAATTCTTTGGAATTAATCAACAAAATTAAACACCTCAAAATCCCTTCTAACGCAACACTACTGTCTTTTGATGTACAAAAGTTATTTCCCAGTATTCCACCTATGGATGTGTGATAGATTTAGTAGATTTTACCCTAACTCAGAAGCAGGCTAACCCATTGGTGAAACAAGATTTATTAGATTGCTTAATAGTATCTTGAGACCAAAATTATTTTGAATTTAATGAACAGATTTATATCTCTAAAGAAGATTTGATTATGGGAAACCCACTTAGTCCTTTGTTAGCCGAGATTTTTATGGATAATTTGGAAAATATACTAGCACATCCTTTAAGTAAAAGTTTTTTATGGTGGTATAGATATGTGGATGATGTCTTTGCTTGCTCGCTCCATTATAGATAAAATTACAAATAAAAAACAAATACAGACAACAGTAAACTCCATTTATCCGAAACCTAATACAGAACCCGAACAATTTAAAACAATTACGTACATAGGAGAACCTAGTGAAAAAGTTTCAAAACATTTGTCAAAATGTGGTTTAAAAACAGCTTTCAGAACTAACAACACAATAGGAAAACATTTAAAAAACAATAAATCGAAATGTCCAAAATCCCAAAAATCAGGTGTATACAGGTTGAAATGTGGATCTTGTCCTAAAATTTATATTGGACAAACAGGTAGATGCTTCAAGAAACGCATTAACGAACATATAAGGGCGTTTAAAAACAATAGTCTAGATTCTAATTATGCTACACACAAACACATTTTTGACGACAATTTTGATTTATTACATACAGCCACAAAAAGTATAAAATTAAATTTATTGGAAGCCATGGAGATTAACAAAATGAGACATTCAAATGTATTGCTTAAAGATCAATTAGATTTAAATACCTATCCTTTATTGAACTTAAATTCTGGCAACAACATTAATTAAGTTTTTATGGTCATTTTTCGGTATATATAGTAGCAGGTAGTTTGTAAATATTACATTTGATAAGACACGGTGTTGTCGACACAATTGTCATGTCAAAATATATAATTTCGTGAAAATCTGAACTTTTAGTTCTTATTTATTTCGAATATTTATGCTAATTTCAAGTATTTTTCATCATTTGACGTTATTTCATAGCTATGCCTGATAAAAAATTATCTGGTATCGGGAGGCATAGTGAAAGGACAAGAGATAACAAAGCTTACTCTATTTCCATTGAAAACAAAGCTTACTCTATTTCCATTGAAAAATGTTTGACACAAAATTTTTTGCCAAGTTGTTGGTTTATCAAGAATTAAGAGCCACGTCTTAGCCCACATTATCGCTTTCATTAAAACAAATATAAACCACAACAAATGCAATATACATGTTAGGTAGAGGATATTTTCAGTTTAGTTATCTTTTTCTTTATCGCTATGTACGGAACAAACCATCCATATACAAAAGCATGTATATATATTTATTATATGTACAACTTATGTTACAAATAATCCATTTATTTGTTATTGTTCTTAATTTTCATCACTATTCCTTGGAGGTCTAATAAAGGAATTCCTTTTTATACAGTCCACAAGCCATCGAATTCCTTCATCTACACCTTCTCTGAAAAAGACAATTTCTTAAATTTATGTCACTCATTTTCAAAAATTTATCGTAATTTGGACCTCTAATTGATACTGTGCATATAACCACATGTCTACAACAAAATCATTGAAATATCTTTATCGTTTCATGTAAAGCAAAATCGAAAGCAAAATATAATATCTTCACTGATAGATAATCAATGGATATATATTTACATAAGATTTTTGACTGTTAATAGTAGAACAGGGAATATTTCTTCTTCTGGTTAACCAGAAGATGTGGAATTGGTGAAATAGTTCAAAAACTACACAAGTCATTAAAAAAAAACATAGAACCACTTGTTCAGCTCTTAGTATAAAAATAATAAGTGTACCCAAAAACATTTAGTACTATTTCAATGTTAATTCTTACTTAAAACAGTAATGTTAAATATAAAGATAGTCCAGTGCTGGAAGTACCTAATGTAATGGAAATAGATGACAAAGAAGTACACAAAAATAGAACTTTTTAAGTTACTTTTTTTCAAAAGGTTTTAGAAATGTGTCCTACATTTGTGTCCACCTTTAAAGGCAACAAAAATAAAATTACTACCTCATATAGGCACTGAAAAGTTTAAAGAATAGCATCCTTCTACTAAGCCATCTAAAAAGATCAAACTGACAATAGTAGTGCAAGGAAATCATAATTTAATGTGGAGGTTATTAGATGCCAGTATAAAATCTTCCTATTCTTTTCAGTTAAGTTAATCTAGACTAATTAAGATACTACTACACATGTGAAGACTAATCATAACAAACTATATTTACCCCGTCAAAGCTGATACGGGCATAACCATGCAATCACGTTTTCCTATTAAATGTGCATTTTTGTTAAATATAGGTTTTACTTCTCTAACACCCATACAATCTGGAAGATCTTGTTTATTAGCCAAAACCAATAACGGAACACCTTGTAGATTTTCATTGGCTATCATTTTATCTAAAACAATATTACAAAAATATTATAATCGGTATATGTTACAAGGTTTGCATTTTTACCAAATATTTCTTTGGATTCATTAATTTGATCCCTGTCAGATGAATCCACAATATAGATCACAGCATGTGACTCTTCGTAATACTAAAAAAGGCAAATAAACTAGATTTGTTCTGCTTGCCAGTTAAGACCTTCCTGTTTCCAGATACCTTATCCCAAAGCGACTGTAGCTCACTTTGGCCCCCTAAGTCCCAAAAGTTTAACCGCATTCCACCAATATCAATTTTGCCTATATTTAATCCAACGGTCGTGGTTATTTTTGTAGGATGAATCGCTTTATAGTTCTTCAATAGCTTTGTTTTAGCCACTTCTAAATACGTCTAGAAATATTTTTTGTTAAAATATTTCGAATTTGAAAAAAAAAAACACACACAGTTTTTCCAGCATTGTCTAATCCTAAAATTAAAACACAATATTCATCTTTTTGTGTAATATACCGATAAAAACCTGAGAGGAGCGTATACATTTTTTACGTACGCTTACAAAAAATAAACATAACCAAAAACGTTCTTCTTCCTTACGTATTTGGCTTCGTTGCACACAATTACCAGCTCAATACCGCGAAACTTCTGCCTTGGCAAGTTTTATTACCAGGAGTTTCAGAAAAATACTTGCGCTTCACACTGTTCTGTCTGCATAACTTGGGTTGATGGTGGATATTTTGCACATTTAAATGACCTAACAAAAGCACTTGACAATTTATTCACTTATCATCAAAAATACCCATCAGATTAACATTTTTAAAATGTTTTAATTATTGCAAAAAAAAAAGATTAGCCCATGCTTATTTGGCAATTACTGATCTACATCGGGCCGTTTAAATCTTAGAGCCGGCACTGGTCACTGGCAGATTTGAGGTTTTTTGCAATGGTTTGATTTATTTTCCGTTTCATATGCATAGCCAATGTATTCCATATTTGCAATGAAGGTTGATGTTCTGGAAGGATAAACAGACCATCCACAAGTACAAACAGCGGCAGGAAGATTAAAACAACGTTCCACAGTCAAAATTTGTTTATTATCGTAAATATTTGAGTTCAAATGTCTGAGATAAGTACTTTCATAAAATATTAGGATTCTAGCATACGGGATAAAACATCTTTGCTGTACCTACTTGTATAAGAATAGGTATAATTTATTAACTAAATATCCTTATTTCACTTTGCTACTACACGATGTGTTAAGTTTTCTGCCATCGTTACCTTAAAAACATGTCTAATTTTAAAAGGTTCAAAATTTATATTCCGATTTAAGAGAGTCTGCTCGAAATTTTGATATGTTTTCATACTTCAATTTGTAAGTTTCCACCCAAAATCTGTCCGTTCACTACTGTTTAAAATGTCGAATTTGAGCAGAAAACCTTTGAAAATCACTTTACTGTGGAAGCTGCTAATACCTTACCGATTGCTCTAAACTGAATAATTTAAATGGTTCGTATTAGTTACCAAATAAATTTAATTCGTCAACAAATTCATCTAAATTTGCTCTCCAGTTTCTAATAGGCGAAAAATTTATCACAATGATAAATATGGGACATTTCAGTTCTATATGTTATGATGGTACTAATAAAACCTGGAACAGTCACTGGACTCCTAAAGGGTTACCTACATATATTTTTCATTCTCAAAATTTGCCTTAATTTTGCTATAGTGCATATCCCATCCCTCAGAAAGATCTCTGATTTTTCAACTGATGGGTTTTTTCAATATTTCTATTAGTGAGATAGTTTTTTCCTTTCTAGAAATGTTATTTTTTTAACACTATTCAAGAATAAAAAATGAACATTTTATTTATTAAAACCATATAACCGCAAAACGTCACCTGAAAGTACAAAAAAAAAACGGAAATATTCTGTTAAGTTGGTAAGTATAAGGTTTAGGATGTAGCAGTTTAAAATTTTATGCTCGTATCCACTATTTTTTTTGTAATAAATACCTCCTAAAATGTTTTCCTCATTTATGGATTTCGATAATGGAAAACATTTGTACTTATTCGAACATATCCGTACATTATTTTGAAGCACTATTGCAGTCAGAATATTTGTATAATATATTTTCTCATTGCATTATTTCAAAAATAAAACTAAAATATCACATATTAATATTTTGTATCCTAAAGGGATGTGATATGGTTTTATTCATTCAGTTTTATAAGTTTCACGGCCTATTACGTTCCTGAAGACTAGAGTTTCAGCGACTGTTCATATAAAACGGATAAAAATATGTATTCAAGCAGCTATCTTTATTTTATAACAACGGAAATTTTATTCGTTGTGTGAAACAGTAGGACATTGAAAAATTGTAACCTTTTAACACTGCAAATTAACCTAAAAAAGTTACTGCTCTACGCCATCTTTACACAGAATTTGATTAAAACAATTTTTTTTCGAAGTTGAACTTGAGTTAAAACATATCAAATTTCGTGAATTTGTATTTAATTAATAATATTATAATAATTAATATTATAATATAATTAATTATAATAATAATTATAATAAAATTTCTTAATGAAATAAATTTGCACACTAGTGCGAGCAGTACATTTTTTGTTACTTCTAGGAAATTTTGTCCTATAGAAAACCAAGAGGTACTGCTAAGAAAGAAAGGTTGGGATACTAATTATATGAACAATAATATTATAATAACGATGTTTAAATTTTAGTAAATTTTGAACCTTATTGCTCTACCTAGTACAAGTCTACCTACACCTTTAACTGCCTAGAAAACTAACATTCAAACGCGCTATATATTAGTTTAATTTTGTGTCACCTAGCAGATAAATAAAAATAAGGGGCGAAATACAAAAATAATTTTTACACGTCTCTGGAACAATATTTTTTCTCCAACATTTTCCAACAAACTTATCGCTCCGCTTTGTAAGTATCGAAGTTTTAATTGGGCTTTAATTTACCTGTAACTGACGCCAATGAACAAAGGCACTTGGTAATATTGAACTAGCTGAAATCAATATAATCTCTCAATAATGGTCAGATTAGTTGTCAATTAAAAACTTTTTTTTTTAAATTTACGAATTTCTGTTTCGTATTATCGTTTCAAATCAAAGAAGAATAGTAAAGAGGCGGTTCAAAATATAATAGTTAAAAAGTATGGGGTCTCATTTAAGCGTGTCGGTTTGAAGCAATATTACAAAATGTACACCGTGTTTCACATAACACTGTGCTTTTTGAAAATATATCAGAAGGAGAAAAAAGCTTTATTACAAAAGTTTAATGATTTGTTGAGAAATTTTAAAATATAGCAGTTTTTTCTATAGATTTAAACTTTTTTCAATTCGTTGTCAAAAATTAACCTGTCTTACCTATTTAAGCTTTAGTCGAACTTTGCGTAGTTGTTAAGATATTTGAGGTTATGTGGGCCCTTGTGAGAAAGCAAGGCATTTTTTCACGAGCTACATAAATCGGTCAAAAACTTGAATGAGTCATTAAATGTAAATACTGAATATAACATTTTTGATCACTCCTACACTACGAATAATACTTAAGAACCGTAAACCCTTGTAAAATCTTTGTTTATGGTTCTATTTGGCTTTTTTGTTGTTGGATAGATTTCTCAAAAATGCACTAGTAATAATAATTGTAGATCCATAAGCATTGTTTAGTACATTATGAAACATAGCCGAAAAAATAATTAAGCTAAGAATGCTGATCTTTATTAAAAAAATTCAATGCGGCTTTATTAAAAACAGTTCAACACTAAGCGCTATCGTAGTCAATCACAAAAATGTTTTCGATGTAGTCACGACATCAGACTCAATAAATTAAGGTTAATTAATTGATCTCTTGACAGCGTTTTTAATAAATAGAAAACATTATGTTAAACTGGACAACTACTCGATTGAGATGGAAACCAGGGAGTGTGGTGTGCCTCAAGTCTCTATCCTTGAAACTCTGCTCTACTCTCAACGCAGAGAATATAAAGCATTAAGTTAATTGCGATCTTAAGTTAACATTCAACATTGACAAAACGAAATGCATATTTAAAAAATATTAATTAATTAGTATTAATTATACATCAAAGTCTTGACTGAAAGGAGCCTGCATACCACGAATGTAACAAATTATCTTCGATGTTTGGTGCAATGTTCGAAATAAGAAAGTATGCGACTAACAAAACTGAAATAACTGTGCACGGTGCGTTTTTTTCTGTCGAGGAACAAATGAGGTCTACCGTTCTGAAAGAAGAGGCCGAGTGAGCAATAGAAACAAGAAAAAGCGGAATACCTCTTGCTGTTGACCTAGTACCTGTGTCGAAGGTGATTGAAAAACAACACTTAGACTCTACAGCCCTATTCAACAGGGATCAGGAAGTTTACACTTGCTTGACTAACTAGTAGAAGTGCTAAACCAGAAAAACCTAGACAAGCGAGATATCAGGATCATTGTTAAGTAGCGGCGACTGACCCTCAAAAGGGGTATAAGGCTTGACACTTAATACAAAAAAGGACAAATACATGATTATAACAAAAACCAACCTTAAGCAAGAAGCAAGAAGACAGAAAACAATTATAGAGGGTTAGATAAAGTCGCATAAAGAAAGCGATCTGACCTTAAAACTTACAATACGTATGCTACTTATGTATTCTCGGTGCTGTATTATAGCGTAGAAGAGCTTATCAGATGAAACAAAGAGTTGGTGGTGTTAAAGAAAGTAAGAGAAGAAAGATCATCTATCCGGGTCCATAATATAAGATACTTCACTTGATAATCCATGCATGCATCCATTGCAAGTAGAAGGTCAATTGGGATAAGACGGATATCATGGCTGCGGAATCTGCGAAAATGGTTCAAAATATCTTATGCAGATCTATTTAGAGTAGCAGTATCCAAGATCAATATTACTATGATGATGAAACAAAGAAGGAGAATTCCTGTGTGGGGTCTATGTGGTATAATAGGGATTATGAGGATGCAAATTCTACAAAAAAAAAATCTAAAGGATCTTACTTGGTTATGACCGACTAACCCATACAGAACAACTCTGTATTTGATTTGCGAGAGCTGATGAAGTTTGAACGGGGTAATCATCTGCTCCGTATAATAATCTACGCGTAAATATTAAAAACATTGGCAAGAAGAGTAGTTGTGTTAGCTAACTGCAGCTGTATATTTACGGCTAGCGACAAAAAAATTAAGCCGTTGCTTGAATATCAAAAATCCGCGGGACTTGTACTGATTAGAGGATTTGATTTTTTTTTTAAATAAATAACAAAAACAGATAACAAGGAAAAGTGCAAGTGCAAAGTCTTTTTTAAGCGTTATTAATTTATTCTTAACATATGTTACTAATTTCTTCGATTTTTTTTTTTTTTTTGATTTTGTTACATTCTATATAACAACAAACATCTAGTGGTATAAAATCCCGACTTAGCTGGCACCCTAGTATATCCCCGTTTTTATAAATTCTTAAAAAGGGTCTTATTTGTTTATTCCAAAATCACAATAGTAACATGAAAACGTAGCAAAACTCTCAAATTAAAGCAAACTTATTTTC